TTTTTAATGCGCATGTCGCATTTTTTTCTTAATCAGATATCATGGACGCTCAAATAGATAGAGAGGTACATAGGTATCAAATAGCGTTAGCAATAGATTGTAATTTGAAGATTATCTGATCATATCAACGCCGAAGTATGCTTGGTTCAATAAAGGCCCAAAAAAAGATCAAAGCTAGGTTGGCCAAGAAGGATATCTGAACATCAACGAAAAAAAGTGTGTTTGCGAGAAGTTTTACATGACCTAAAACGTTGTTAGCAAGAAGAGGAATACCGAGAAATCGAGGTAAACACATACCTCGGCGATTGACTGCCGCTCAATGATTGATTTCTGTCTCTCGTTGCGCGAGACACGATAATAATAGTCACTGAAGTCACCACACTTCATGTGGCGCAAGAATTCTTCGTCGTGCGTGATGACAATCAACTGGAAGTTGGCTTGCTGCTGCCGAGTGCGGATAATGTCATGCAGCGACTCGGCCAGAGAGCGAATATTGTCTCGGTCCAGATTCGTAGTGGGCTCATCAAGAGCAATAAGACCACAATTGACACCGAAACACTCCGCTAGGGCAAGGCGAATGATGATACTAGCCAAAACCTTTTGGCCTGCACTGCAGCGGCCTCGCATGTCCATCTCGGCGCCTGACTTCACCATACAGACGCGATAGTTGTACGATCGGTTGCCCTTGGCGTTCTCGTTGTCGGACCGGATGAGGATTGTGTCAACGTCCGTTCCGCGATAGGTCTTCTGCCATAATTCACCAGCGATGGCGTTGATTTCAGCCATCTTTAGGCCATGGTATTGCATGATGGCTTTGTCAAGGGCGCCACCGTATCGGGCTAGGTCCTCCACGGCGGCTTTGGTGGTCTCGACCTTGATGTGAGATTCCTTGTATTTTGAAGATGCATCCTTATAATCTGTGTTCCAGTCCGCCAGCAGCTGCATCAGCTGGTCGTCCTTGGACTTCATTTCGCCCATCTTGCTCGCCTGTTTGGCAGCAAGGGCATTGTGTTCACGTGTCCAACGTTCTGACTCTTGCTTGAAACGGCCTCTGTCCACTTCAGCATTTTGTGCTTCTAATTGCTCAACCTCTTCAACAACTGTGTTGAGTGATCGAGTGGCTTGGCGATATGTTAAGTTGTCCGAGTATTGCCGCTTTGTGTTTTCGCTGTCCTTGAGTTGGCTTGAAATCTTGTTGATCTCCCTTGTGATCTCGCTTTGATCGGACTCGAGTTTGCCGATTTCAGCTTCAATTTCTTGAAGCTCCTGCTTGCTTCTCTTAAGCTGGTCTGGACCTCCTCGTTGATTGTACGAGTTGATATCGTCATTGGCAAGGTCAAGCTGATGTATGTTCTCGGATAGGCGGCTGATCTCGTGCTGCAGATCTCGTTCACGCTCGTCGGCTCGCTGGCTGATATCATCATAGCGGGCTTGGGCTTGAAGCAATTCTGGCGTGAGACTTTCGATATCTCGATCTGCCTTCTCAATTGCGTCCCGCTGCTGACTATTGAGCTTCTTGAATTCCTCCATCCGAACAATCAGATCCGCTTTCTTTTCCAGCTGGAATTTGGCATTGTCCAAGTTGCTCTTCACATCTCTGAACTCAAGCTCGAGTTTGTTGATCTCTGACCGCGTCTTTTCTTTTTCATTTGTCACTTTGGCAAGACTCTTTTTCAACTCCCGTGACTTTTCATTGATGGAGGCGATTTCCTCCTGGATATCTTCCAGGGTGCGAGCAGTTGAAGCGTCTTGCTGGTTTGCAGAAAGCTCTTGAATTTGTGACTTGATCGTCTTGATCTCGACATCGTAACGCGCGATAGTGCTCACTGTCTTAGCAAGCCCCTCGACGTCACGCTTGCTTTCTGTCTTCTCGCTGACTTTTCCATCATGGGTTTCCAGCTTCTCTAGCAGCTGGTCACGCTGTGATTCACATTCTTGCTCTTCTTGTTCAAGCTCTGGAATGACAGTCTCTGACAAACGGACCCAAGTATCATAGGATGAACTAGCGGCGCGGGCAGTTTCGAGATCTTCTTCAAGGCCCTTCAGAGTCTCGTCTTCGGCGTCAAGGCCAGCTTTCTTGACTAGAGCATCCAGCTTCTTTGTAAAAGTCTGGAGTTCTGTCTCGTTCTTGAACGATCTTTGACATGTTCGGCACAGCTTGGTGCGCTTAGCAGCATCAAGACATTTGGTAAGATACTCTCCCATTCCGGCATATTGATCAGCATCTTTGCGAGCGAGATCATACTGTGCCTGGCGCTCCTTCACAATTTCAGGGTATTCGGAAGGCTCTGCGTCGACTGCTCCATGAATCTCCTTCACGCATACATCAATTTCCTTTTGCCGTTGCTTGAGGTTCTTCTTGGCTGTCTTAAGCTTAAACTCTACATGCTCCAATTCTCGGCTCACGCCGTCACGCGCTCGCTCTGCGTCGGCTACCTGCTTTGATTCGCTATCGAGAGCTTGCTGGAAGCTTCGCTCCAGTGTCTCAGGTTTCCAGTCTGCGTCGACGACCTTCTCAAGGCGATCACCATGAGCTCCCTTCATCGTTTGTAGACTGCGTTCACGGTCCTTCAATTCTTTCTTGAGGTGGTCTAGGCGAGCCAAGTCGCCAGCCTTCTTGGTTGAATCAATAAGCTCAGTGTTCAATCTCGCGCTTTCATCCTCAAGGCGACGAATTTCCGCATTTGTATCCTGGATATCTAGATCCCAGGAAGCATTTTTGGCTCGCTCTTTTGCATGCTCAAGGTTTGACGTGATATCCTCCACCTTTGACTCAAGCGCACCCTGGAAGCCTTCGTCGACCTCAATTTCATTAAGCCTTTTCTGATAAGTTGTTGCCTCCTTATCATTCGCGGCAATCTGTCGTTTTGCCGCGTTTTTGGTCTCCTGTAGTGCCGACTTGGTTTGTCCAATATCGTTCAACTTTTCTTGAACCTCACGAAGCTCTTTCTGGGCTTCACGCCTCACGCGATCCAAAGATTGGTTCTGGTCCCTCAAGAGGCGTTTGATCTTCTGCATGAATGTGTCGATCTCAGACTGGTCCATCTTCTCGTCAATACCACGTATGTTGTTGGCACGAGCAATCTCATTGATCATATTCTGGCGCCTTTGAGACTGGCGCTCGAAATTGGCCTTATCATTCTCAAACTTTCCATTCTCGGCTTGTTTTAGGCCAAGCCGGTGCCGAGCTTGCTCGATCCGCTCCTTGATTTCCATATAGTTTTCCTTTTGTAACTCTTCTTGTTGTTGATACTGGATCTGCTTCGTTTCGAATTGCTCCAGGGTAGACTCGAGCCATTCATCAGAGTCATCAAGCTCAACCAAATGTCTCTTGAGGTTGTCAATTGTACTTTGGATACTTTTAGCTTCAATGCGCTTGCCCTCGAGAGCACCTAGGACCTGGGCATAACTTTCTGATTGTGTCCAGGCCTTATCAGCAAGCTCCGCGACGCGCCGCATCTCTTGCGACATCCGCTGGGTCTCTTCACGCAAGGCCTCAATTTCGTCTTGAAGCTTGATGGATCGTTTTTCAGCACGGTCTGCCTTATCTTTGTCTTCTTTCGCATGCTGTTCCATGATCTTGAATTTGCCAAGCTCCTCATTCTGCTTCTTTCGCAGTGCTTTGATGTTATCAATAGCCTTGGTGTACTTCATAGCCTCAAATATTTCATCAAACCTTTTCTTCAGCACAGACGGTTCACTCATTGGCCACAAACTTTCGTCTTGGTGGCAGAAAATGACTGAATCCAGCACGGCCTTTGATACGCCCAGATACTGTGGCATGATCTGGTCCAGCTCAGCCACTCGCGATGAAATAGCTGTGCGTTCGCCGTTTTTGATCATAAGCAGCTGGCCTTCTAGGGTCTTCTGTTGTCGTGTTGTTTTCTTGACCGTAAGTTGCAGACTGCGCGTAGCAACCATTTTCGCTCCGGAAGTGGCCTTGAATGACAGCTTCACCTGGGCCAGTACCTCTTTTTCACCACATAGTTTCGGGTCGTGGATAAAGGCACCGCCTTTGCTGTTCGGAGGGAGATCGCCCGTTGTGGCATATTTGAGACACTCGATGATGGTCTAGATCCACGTCAGTTCCCTGCTGGCCGCAACTCCTGGTTGCCCATTTCGCCATTTCGCCATGTCATACCGTCTTTCCTGAGCCATTGTATCCGACAATCAGTGTGAGGGGTGTGTGGAACTGGATTGTTTCGCTACGCGTATTATCGAAGGAGCGGACTCTAGAACAAGCGCGGGTTGGTGAGCATGAGTATGATTACTCTCCGCGGTGATTGCACGCGAGTTAAAAATTTCGAGAGACTCACCCCAGAATAGAAAGCTTATCAATCTTCGCTTCATTATGTTAGATCACTATTGAACCCTTTTTTTTGCCGAGGTATAAGCTGTTGCACTTACACCTAAAAAACAATTAGCATTGCGACACGTCCGGCGAGGCGGGGAATGATCAGCACATACATTTTGAAAAGAAAAAAAAAAAGCTCTGAGGATGGGCGTTTGAGCCCGTCGTCCGTTGGCGTTATCTAATACAATATTAGTTGAACAGTAAGAATCAAGAAAGTTGCTTGGATCGCTGTTGTGAGCGATCACATAGTCCCGCGTCGATGGCGACACGAAATCACGTGAATTTGACTGAAGTCCTGAGGCCCACAGTGATCGGCGGCGTTGTCAACTAGCAATGGCCGGCTTTTATTTCCAAGGTTCTCTCTTTTCGAGATCCAGGCCCTCAGTGAAACGATGTGTATATTCTGAGAGGTGCATTGTCAAACATAACCCACTCTTGACCAAATGTACCGAATGTACTGCAGGCCTTGAATTTGGATAATGAACCATTCCATCATCAACGCCCACGCTACTATATCCGTGCCCTCGTGCGGACATCGTTTATTAGGGGAATTCCCTAGTCCTTTATGACAGACGCTGCCTCTAAAAGCACTCACGCATATCACTAGTGCCATTATATCTCCTGGTATCTTCGTACCGCACTCGATATGGCTATGAGTCGCCCACAAGCCTACGAGGGTATGCCCATATCCACCTCTCAGATGAGATCGGACTCCAGTGAGGGGCATCCGTTGTACACTATGGAGCAACAGCAAGTTCATGGCTCCTACAATGGGCAATACGGGGTGCAAAGTGCTCAACACGGGGGATACCAGGGCGCACAAATCGATCCGGGCTGGACAGAGCGAGTTCTCGATGAAATGAAGGACATGCTACTTCTCCTCAACCCCCAGGGCCGAATCACCTATGCCTCGCCATCGTGCAAGAATATCACCGGCCGTATCGCAAAGCAACTTGAGGGAAGTCTTCTGGCGCAGTACATACATGCGGACGACAAGCCGATCTTCCAAAGAGACTTGGACGAGTCGATCGCCGCAAACCAATCGTTCCGGACCCATTTGCGATTTCAAAAACCCAACAGCACATATTGTCTCATGGAGGCCTATGGTCATCCACATCTTGCAAACCAAGATGAGCGTCAGGCAGAGAGATCCACATCCGCCAACGGGCCCTGCACCGGATTTTTCCTCGTGTGCCGACCGTATCCCAACAAGGTCTCGCAGCTCCTTGACTCTTTTTTGGAACACAAGATTGAGAACGCACGGTTGATCCAACAGATTGCCAAATTGAAACAAGAAGAAGAAGAAGATGCGACCGCGACTCGGGTGCCCTACTCTATGCGCGACCAGGATTTCCGCGTTCCCGTGACTGAGAACCAGGGCCTACAATCCACTCGGTCAGGAGAAGTATCTAGTGATCCTGATACTACAGACACCGTGGGGCCGACCTCGGATGAATCCGACACGGGCCAATCAACGAGCTATTACCCAGAGCCGCCCAATACTCGTGAAGTCTACTCACACATCGACGGCATCGAAGTCATGACCGGTCTTTACTACGGGGAGGGCGAGAGATCCCAAGGCCTCAGCACAGGTGCCAGCCGTGGGCGTATTGTACATTGCGATATCGACATCACCACGGCTGCTGACCAAGAGCGCAATGCTCAAGAAGGCGATCGCCGCAAAAGACTCAAGGCCCAGCATGTTTGTAGCGACTGTGGAACAGCAGACTCACCAGAATGGAGAAAGGGTCCAAATGGACCTAAGACTTTGTGCAATGCTTGTGGCTGTAAGTTTTGTCCACCGCCTCTTGTAATCCCTGCTCCAACCTACATCCTTCTCATCGTGCTTATAAGCTATCTACTCTTGGCATGGAACGAGCTAACCCAGGTGACATCTTTTTAGTACGCTGGTCTAAGAAGGAGAAGAAACGTCAGGAGTCGACATAATTTCCAGTCCTTGGTTTATTTGCTTTTGTCGGGCTGATGACCTTTCCCAAGTTTTCTCTCCATCGTCTTGCATGTTTACGTCAAGATACCCCCTCAATTTTTCGGGCGCATTGCTGATCAAGCATGCTGTCCATTGCGTTGGAGTTCCTAGGATCCGAAGACAAGCCCCGTGCTCGCTATCGCATGGGTGACGATGTTTATGTCTTGTGAGGTCGATCCCTTTGGTTCAATGTATATAGCTGGCCTTTTTTTTAGTTTGCAGTGGTCTATTTTGCAAACATCTTTAATGTACTGAGGAATGTATATGGTTTTTTCCTTGGTAATTCAAATTTTGATTATGGGAAATTAAACGATTTTGGGAGTCGAAACTAATCAAAAGTCCAACGCCGAAGATGATGATGAGATATGCTAAGAAGTTGTGGGCATTTAGCTAGTAAAGCGCAAGCCCACGAAGAGGGCCAAAGGAATGGAAGTAGTCATCTGAACGCCATCCTTGTCCCAGTAAATAATGAAGGTGATGTATGGGCAACAGCAAGTGGTATCACAAAAGCAATTTCTCACGGACAACAATATAACGAGTCCATTCAGGGCTTGGCAGCCTTCTTTGGCGGCGGCGGGAAGTACATAGGCGACGCTACCGAACTCTCAGGGCTGACTTCATGCGATTGCACGGAGGTGTATTGGGGCTGAGGCACGCGAGAGTTGTCTCTCAGAGGGAGGTCAGAGGCGGTACTGTCATTGCCAAGTCGGTTGAAGGCCAGCGTGCGAGGTGCGAGAGGTGAGGTATTTCCTCCAACGGCCATGGGCGGAACCCCGGGGGTGCGGGGAACCATGCCTGGTCCTCGAGGCATTGAGCCGGGGGTCATGGGAATCATGCCGGGTGACTTAATGATCTCTTCCTCGAACTCCTTCTCAATGCGACGCTCCTCTCTTTGTTCCAGGATCTCTTCCCGTTCTCCGGGGGTGATGAAGCAGGAGTGGATACTGAAGCCAAGGATGACTGTATAGTAGAGACTAAGGGGATGGTTAGCTAGCTTCCTCGTCGCAGAATGGTACTGAAGAATATTAGAATCGAGAGGGCCAAACTCACATCATGATGACGGTCACAGCAAAGAGCGCTTTGGCTTGCATGCAGTATCCAACATTGGACTTTCTAAAGGCGACACTGCAATTCTTCGCGATGTACCACGGGGCTCCTGACTGGGGGTGTCTGGGGTCTGACGTGTCAGACCCGGCCTGATACACCGCCGACACGATATACAGAACGATCAAAGGCATGTGGACGGCGACCGCGACGGGGGATAAAATAGGTTCATCCAGTGAGTAGGTAGTTTTGTGATGAGGAAGAAGGTGCTCAGAACACCGAGGACAAGGTTGTAATTGGTGATGCTATTATTTCCAGGGTCAGCGGCCAACCCTCGAAGATTAAGTATAGCGAGAGACATACAATCCGGACCAAACCATGGGGGGTGTGAATGGTCTGTAGTTCGCTGCTGCATACAGTGCCTCGTTCGGGGCACTGTTGAACCCATTGTCTGCTCCATCTTGCCATAATAATGTCCGGTATAGATTGTGGGAAGCGATACCAGTCAATGTCAGCATTACGATGGTGATCGGAAATTCCCCGACCATCAGCCAAAGGAAGATCTTATGGTGCTTGTGCTTCTTTGGAAAGAAGAACTGCATCTTGACGGCAATTTAAGATCGTTTGTGTGAGTTTGGAACGTTCGTAAAATTCGACCCTATTTCTCCCAAGCTGATCGTTCAGTTGTAGTGCTTATGGAAAGATTAAAGCTTTGTACAACACGATTCAACCAGACCGGCTGGCTTAGACATCCAGTCTATCGCACGTAAAATACCAAGTGCTGCAGCGTGGTAGAGAAGGTCAAAAGAGTCGAAGAACACAAGTCTGGGCGATCTGGAGGACGAGCGTTAGATATGAGCTCGAGACCAACGAGTGGCCGAAGGGACAAGCCATCGCATGCAGGAGGGGTCACGAATCAGCATGGGTATACCGTGCACAGAGGGACTGGTGTGTGTTGGGGAGGTGCATCTGGCCAATGCTTGATGGCGGCAAAGCGCCAGCGCAAGCAGCAACCCGAGGTCATCACACCAATGAGACGACGGGGATCGGGGGAAGACCACCACTCGTCACACGCTAGACTGTGTGATAGGATAGCAGATCTGCATGAATCCCTCATCACATAATTCCCCTCACAGAATCAGCGAAAAACTTGGCGTCCCAAGGCAACTTGCAGCTTTTAGTACAAAGCGCCTGGCGGCACGCTACTGTGGGGTGATGTGAGTCGCATCTGTGACTATGCAGTGATCTGTACATATACCCATGCTAGTCCTGGAGTCAGGAAAATGGGAGCAAAGAGAATGATTTCTCGTTGATAGCCATAGCCATCAATAAGTTGCTAGCTATCAGGTACACATAGAGGACTTGATGGGGATTCAGGGATAAAATCCAACAGTCGCAGAACTCATGCTCAAAGGGTGTTGTAGGGAGAAAGTCATGTGGTCGGCAGAATCCCGAACTGTGACTTCCAAGGTTCTCATATTCCAAGGCGACAATCGTGCCATCTACTAGAGTATTCATCAACTAAATTAATTACTGTGTAGCTTGATCTTGATGAAGTTCCAATCCTTATATCCCCTTGCTCTTCGCTCAACCATTCCACTCCGCCATATCCGGCCTCTGCCTGGATTTCGCTCTATCTCAAGAATCACAGACCAAATGACTGCTCGAAGAGAGGATTCGATTCCTCATGAGCTGCGGACAGCCGCAGAGCCCCGGCAAAATAGACTATATCCAGTACGACTATCGCACATCGAGCAGATCAACCCTTCTGTTCGGCTTCTACAGTTCGCTTTGCCGCAAGAGAACAATGTATGGGTTTCTTTTCTTTTCTCGTCTACTGCCTATCTACACATGCCTATTGGCATATGTCTTGTTTAACCCGTTGATTTATATATCAAACCCGGCTGTCACCGGGGTTGTACGCGCCGTTGGATCCTATCTATGCCCCGCACGGCTGATTCCAATCATGCCTGGGCATTTTCTATCACACTTTCATGGGAACATCACAGAGGACTAATGCAATCTATAGGATAACGATCAGCAGCCATTCAGCTTCCTCCCGGGCCAATGGCTTGATGTACACATCCCATCCATCGCCCAAGCGGGTGGCTTCACTATCACTTCCACCCCGGCAGACGCGCAAGTGCTACCGCCACCAGAGGCTTCTATAGACTCATTGGCTGGCGAGGCGTTAGAGCCATCTTCAGAATCTCAAGGCCGACCACCATATGTGGAACTCGCTGTACAAGACTCACCAGGTAACCCATCCGCCGCGTGGCTTTGGAGACCAAAAGAAGAGATTATAGGCAAGGAGCTGAACATCCGAGTTGGTGGAAGCTTTGTTTGGCCTCCCACTTGGGTCAGTATTAATGATGTGAAGAATGTGGTCTTTGTTGCGGGTGGTGTCGGCATCAAGTAAGTAACACTCCCCCACGTCATGTCCATTTCATCTTCGGGATACAAGTATACACCAACACAAACTAAGGCATCACTTTTTTCTCGACATCATGAAATATTCTAACAAAGCCTTAGCCCTCTGATATCTATGCTCTCCCACTTAATCAACAGCGAACCACACACCCCCAACCCAACAACTATCCGCATCCTATACTCCAGTCGCCTACCGCAAGACCGGGAAAAAGCCTCGGCCGACGCAGTACTTGACCAGATTCTGTTTCTTCCACGTCTGCGCCAGATAGTCCGATCCCAAGAGAATTCGCATCGGCTCCGGATCTCACTAGACCTTTTCCTTACAGACCTAACCTCATCACCTGACCTGTTCTCATCTGGATCTCCTACTGATATCAAGACTCATCCAGTCAGGATATCTGACAGTGATTTGCGCTCTGCGGCTTTAGGTACAGACGGTGAGTTGGATATCCAGAGCACAGTGTGCTATGTCTGTGGACCACCTGGTATGACCGATTCCGTTGTGGAGAAGTTGATTGGTATGCTAGGGGAAGGCGGGGAGCAGCGTGTCTTCTTTGAGAAGTGGTGGTGAGAATGGATCAAATTGGCAATGATGTAATATATCAACATAGGATTAATTGTAGTATTTGCTTGTCGATGGACGAAAGTAAACATTAAAGTCCGTGCGTACAAGAATTGGAGTAGAAGACTAGGGGAAATGGCTTTGATATTTCAGAAAAAGATAAGACTCCCCACAGACGCCGACCTAATGCAGGCAAGGGGCAGAACGATATATGTACAGAAAAGTAAGAAAAGGGCCACCGACAAGAACGGAAACGACAGTATATGAGAGCAGGGGCAGTACAAGCACGCTGACGTCTCGATACATGATGGGGGAGAAGAAGGGAAAGGAGAATAGACAGATATAGAAAGACAGAAGTCAGACTTCATTGGGATGCTTCGTCTGGGCCGTTGACGGTACCGCCGTCCACGATCATCATTTCGTCGATTTTGGCTTCTGTTTGACCCCATTCTAGACGCTTGTATGTGGATATACGACCAGGACCTCGGTCGAAGTCGAAGAAACGCACTCGTCGGACGAAGTCATCATAGCCACCGTACCCGCCGAGTCCGACACCGCCGCCGTAGCACATCCAGAGTGAGGGCTTTTCATTGGCATCTTGCTCAAGCATGCAGTAGTCATTGACATGATCACTAAATAAGAGTTAGCTTTCGGAAAGACACAAAGGACCCTTCGATGAGTGACTTACTGTCCACAGCTAACAAACAATACGCCCTCTTCTTCAAGGGCGTCCTTGAAGCCAGAGTTGAATCCTGGTGCGGTGGGAGGTTCCATCCATGCACCCTTAAAGTACTTTCCTGATGTTCGATACTCAGGAAGTGGAATGTGGATGAATGCCACATTCATGTGGATATGGTTGTATTCCTGATGTTTTCTTCTCAGACTTTGGGCGGTGTTCTTGAACCACCGGGTTTGGCTCGGCTTTATCCAATCGTAGCCGCGGAACTGACGCTCGTCGGGAGAGTAGGAATGTGTGTCAAGGAAATAAAAGGTCAGGGCAGAGTGTGTGCTTTTGCCCCAATCGAGGACTTCGACAACGTAGTTCCCGACCCCGTCGATATCTTCGGGGCCGGCGGCTGAAAGAGAATAAGGGAGATCTTCATATATGGTCATGAGTTGTTCTCGGTTGAGGTCACCTTCGTCGTCGTGGTTTCCAAAGATGGCTGCGTAAGGAATTTTACGGTCGACCAAAAGCTTGACAGCCTTGAATAGAGCACTTTGTGCATCTGGTGCAGTCTCTCCGTTGATCTGGTCACCAGAGAGGACCACCATGTCTGGCTTCTCTTCGTCGAGAAGTCGTGCGACGAATTCCAAGGTTCGGGGGTCGGCTTCACACTTCCGGCCAGCCACCGCTTCCGCAGGCACAGGATCACGACAATGGCCAAGACCGGTGCTCATGTGGAGATCCGCCAACTGCATCACCTTGAATTTCCCATTCTCGTTAATTCTTGGAACGGGCTTCTTGTGTTTGCCCTGCGGATGTCCTCTTCGAATACTGAGGCGAGTCTCCAACTGTTCCGTCACACTATCCAGGAGGATGGGGGTGTCTTTGACTTCCCAGTTAATACGGGGATCGACAGCGTCCGCACCATAAAGGACATCGATGTAAGTCACGGCTTTTTCGGAGTCACTGGCATGGCGAGAGGACGAGCGCTTGAGCCAAATGCCTCCCGGTCGGGGTTCCCACGCTTCGATTTCGGTCTTTCCAACAAATTCAGACTGGGGAGTGAGACGGCTGATTTTCAAGTCGATGACTACCTTGTCATCGGGGCCCAATTCCTCCTCCTTTTTCCGTCTGAATTGAACGTAGGCACTCGAGGTCCAGCCCGAGCGCAGGTAGAGGTCCTTTTCGACGCGGTACCAGGTTTCTGGGTCTAGCTTACAGCTCGAGAATGGATTGAGGGTAGAACATGTTGTGACAGTCACATCTGTGATCACGTAGCCGGAGTAATGCGACGGAAGATGGCCATGGATTGAGGAGGGAAGGACACTAAATCGATTATCGAGAACGACCACGACGAGGAGAATAAATGTTGCGAGTAAAAGGAGCTGTACGCTTGCTCGGACCTACACGAATTAGGTGTTAGCAAACTGCTTCACAGGGAGTAAAACAATGTCATACTAGCCGGCGAGCCATGATGAGATAGATATCACCCTGGCAAGGACTTGAAAAGAAGCGAGGCGCACTGTCGCATGATGCCCACCAATTGCAAAGGTATAGGGCAAAGGAGAAGACCAGGTTCGGTCAACTCTGAAATATAATGGTCGAGTATACTCTGTTGGAAGATTGAAGTTCGCATTTCACCCTCGACGCTTGGACCCTGAAGGCGGTGACTCCTGAAGGGCCTAGCCTTTGTCTGATGCTTAATATTTGTTTTGGTGATTCATTGACTTGGCCAGTCTTATTTCTTCACTGGCATTTTCATTATCCTTGTCTAGATTTATGTGCAATTTATGTCCATCGTCAACATTCACGTCCGTCTAGTTACATGTCTATATATGTCTACCTCCCTTCTACCCGAGCGAAGCCTTAGCAGCCACATCGCTCGGTGACACCTTGCCACTCAAGATGTCTTTGGTAGTCGAGAGAATTGTGGACCAGTTCTCGAAAGTCGTGTAGGGCATTCCCCGGCGCTGGCAGTAGGTCACCAAATCTGCAACGACGTTAGTTCAGTGTCTCGCAATCTTGGTTCAAGGCGGTTTGGGCAGATGAATACCTTTGCCTTGTTTGGCGAAGAGAAGATCGGTTTCTGCGGCCGCGGACAAATCAGAAATGCCGTCTCCGGCGTACAGAAGAATTGGGCGCTCTCCTTCCGGCAACGTGGCATAAGGCTTAATCTCCAGGGACTTGTCGTGTCCGAAGTGACTGGTGAACGATTGTCAGTGAGGCTGGGCGAATGCTAATCTGATTGAGTTCCTTACCTGTCATCATGATACTCAATCTGCCAGCCACCCTCGCTGTTGATATCCTTGCCATCCCGGCTCACGGGCTCGTTGGAAATGATGGTGAGGTGGCTGGCTGGCTTGTGGCCAAGGAACTTCTCCAACAAGGCGCTGATAATGGGTCGCATGCCAGATGACAGGATGACAATAGGAACATTGTTATCCTTGGCCCAGTGGTAGAATTCCTCGAAGTATGGGTCCAGCTTCATGTTCTTTAACAGGGTCTCAATGCACTTGTCGTATGGGGTCGTGATGCTTTCAAGCATCTCGCGGAAGGCATCCCTATAGCGAAGAAGTATTCGTTAGGGCTTGCTTGTGAAATAGACAGAGCCTTCAACACTTACCGGAAACTCAAAGTCTCGTTCAGGACCCGGTCGCCCAACGCGAGGCGCTTTTCCCGGCCAAAGCCAAGGTTATCAATCTAAGTCGTATTAGTACGGATCTAGGGGAAGCTAGCGATGCAATATACCATGAAGTCATTGCCTGCGATTCTAGTTAGCATCCATGTAAGGCACTATATGAGGAAGTACTTACTGTCGTCGACTGTAATTGTTCCATCAAAATCGGTGAAGAAGATGAGCTTAGGCTCGGTCTCCATATATGGGAGAGCTTTCGAAGTCATTATAGCAATAGAAGTCAAATAAAGAAGAAAAGGGTATGAAATGTACAATGCAAAGAACAGAGAAGCCCTGAAATTAAAGATGTGCCCCTCGATTCGGTGAACTCGGGGGTGGGTCGACCGGTACCGCAGCGGGCTAGTCTCGATCAGCCAAGTTTTCCTTTTCTGGTTTTTATTATTACGTCGGACTTTATATTGATATATTGTTAGGCACCATGTCTCGTCTGCGCCAGGCCCTGCAGCGCATCTTTGGTGTGACTGCAACACCAGGCGCATTGCGCTCTCGGACCATTGACACCAATTTCTCCATCATAAAAGGTAAAGGTGCTGCAACGGCTATTCTTACCACCGGGCTAACGAAAGGCGCAGAGGGAGACCGGGTCATTTTACACGGCAAACAGCCTTCATTATCAAAGGCATTGAAGCGAGGTGAAAAACTGCAGACTCCTCGCGGAGCTGTAGAACATGATAGTATCATTGGGAAACGGGTCTGGGACACCGTGCAGTCTCGCAAAGGTCAATAAACTCCAATTCATCGATACTCCCTAGACATGACACTGACACTTATGTGATATACAGGCCTGAATCTCCGCGTCAGCCTCCCAACGTTAGAAGAATATGTCGCCCTGACTCCTCGCTTGGTCACGCCGGTACGCGCATCACTCCGACGGATCAGATGCGGAGATACATTGGACTCACGCTATCCCAGTAGATCTATCCACAAGATGCCAATTTGATTGCCTCCCTTCTCGACATTCATGTCAACACTCCTGCCGCGGGCGAAATACAACCCACCCTGGAAATCCTCGAGTCCGGAACAGGCCATGGATCCCTAACACTACACCTGGCGCGTGCCATTCACGCCGCCAATACCACCCCTCCGCCTCGTCCATTGCAATCCCAGATCAACTATCTTGAAGGCCGTATCACCAGGCCGAGTGAAAAGGACATGGAACAAACAGGAGATAAACCCGCCGAGCAGATTGCGGATCCAGCACAGGAGGAATGGAATGCGTGGCGAGCGCAGCGCAACGCCATCATTCACACCGTCGACGTATCGCCGAAGTTCGCTGCGCTGGCCGAGAAAAACGTCCGGGGATTCCGCCGTGGAGTCTACGCGGGCAATATTGATTTCTATGTGGGCCCTGTCGAAAACTGGATCGCCCAGCAGAAGCAGCAGCGGAAAAAGACTGGACTGGCTACACTGGCTGGGGGAAACCCTGTTGACCCGTTCCTTTCCCATGTGATTCTGGACATGCCTTCCTCGAACTTGAGGATCCCGCACGTTACCCCGATGTTGAAGCGCGATGGCCTCCTGGTGGTGTTCATGCCCAGTATCACGCAGATTGGCGAGTGTCTGCATTTGATCCGGGACCAGCGACTGCCTCTTGTTCAGGAGAAGGTAATCGAGCTCGGCTCCGGAATCAGCGGCGGTCGCACATGGGATGTGCGTTTTGCGACTAAAAAGTCCGGTGCCGACCCAGCGTCCTGGGCTGCCGCTTCAGATAGTGAGATTGCCACTCCTGCTGAGGCTGATGAGCAGTCTATCGCCACCGAGAATGCATCTGAGCTATCCACTACCGAGGAGCTTCCCAAGGGAGGAGAGTCTGTCTTGGTTTGCCGGCCGAAGGTCGGAGTGCGTATCCAGGGCGGCGGCTTCGTGGCAGTCTGGCGGCGGATTGAAGACCGTTAGTTCTCGACTATTGCAAGCCTCAAAATCCTGTACCTGTACTATATACCTGTATTCTATTGCATGTCTATTACAGACTGAAGCCATTTGTACCATATAGATAATTGTGAGAATAATATTATCAAGAGACCTGGAAAGATGTCATGACAAGAAATAGTCACTTCACAGCTTTGCTTTATCCTCGGTCTCCACATCTCCTTGAGCGGCAGGGTCTATGCCTTCTCCCTCAACGCGTGGAACACCCTCTTCCTCATTCTGAACAACCGTTCCCTCCGTCTTAGGCACTTTATCCAAAATAAAAGCCTTCACGTCCGCAAAAAACTTGTTCGTGGTCTCAGGCAACTCAGCATGCAACTTATGATAAGCCCCCTCATAAGAACAAAAGGTCACATCCCCACCCTTCTCCGTCAACTTCTCAGCAAGGTCCTTCGTCGCAGAATAACTAGTAATAAGATCCCCATCTCCATGCCCAAACCAAAATGGCAGGTCACTCTTCACCCAAGCCCCATCCCCAGCCTCAAACATCCCCTCCAACCAAATACCGCGATCCAACATGCCGGCCAATCCCCCCAAAGTCCCCGTATCATGGCACAGCTTATCATCCACGAACTCCTTGACTGTGTCCTTGTCACGAGACAGCAAGTTCGCATCAAGTGGGGAGTAACGCTGCATATGGGGGATCAGCTTTGCGACCATCCGTCCCGCTACGATGGTCAGCTTTGAGGGCCGGGATGATGGATGGATGGCGACTAGAGGGGAGTACAGAAGTACGCCGCTGAGATTGGGTCGGCTGGCTTTGTCTTCGTTGTAAGGTGACTCTGGGTGGAAAATGTAGTTCAAGACTTGTCCGCCGCCCATGCTGTGGCCCATTAGGAAGAGGGGCAAGTCAGGGCGGGATGGCAGGCTTTGCAGGAAAGAGTGGATGTCTGCAAGAACTAGAGAGGTTGGGCCTGTGTCGCCCTGGTCGCGGGATTTTTTGACGCTGCGGCCCCATCCTCTAGTTTTGGGTTATCAGTTAGGGTGAATACATTGAGATAGATCGTCTTCTTTGCGAGTGTTGATATTGGGATATCAGGATAGGGTTTGGCCTTGCTGGTGCAACACTTACCGCTGATCGAAAGACCTGACCTCAATACCTGCCGAGACCAGTGTTGGAAACAGATCGTGGTAGGCATTGCCTAGGGAGTCTTTGGGTCAACAAGCTATATTATGAATGCTGGGCTGTCCTGGCTTATTGCTCAGAACAGATATAATCGACTCACAGTGGTCACTGAAGCCATGAATAAAGGCCAGGACAGCAAGTGGGGATTCGCTTGTCTATAGAGCAGAGCATATGGTTAGCGTTGGAGATCAATATCCTTATCTTGAGGTTGGAGTCCATCTCAGCTAATTTAGATAGGGATCCAAGCTGTCGTGCAAATTCAAGCATACCTTCCATGTCTTGGCATACAGCTCAAGGCCGTCTGGGAGAGTGTGCACGCTTTCTTCTGTGTTCATTTCGGCTACTGGAACTTGTACAGAAGCTTGAGTTGTGGTTAGAGAAGAGACGGAGGGCATGTTTTAGCATGGACACGGCCTCGGGCCCTACCTCGGCAGGAATGTCAAGCCACGATACTAACGCGATTCAGATCCACCCAGCCCCGAAATGGACATTAAATCCAGTTTATCCATTTGCACAAAAATATCTACAACATAACAATCGGAAATAGGATGTGACTAGAATTATCCAGAGAATTGATGCTTCCAATCTCAGGGATATCAACCATGTTCCCGGGTTGTCAGCTTATGTCGCTCTCATAAAACTTGCCAGCCTTGGTCGATTGTGACTGTCCCCCCTTTCTTCTTTCCTCTTCCTGTCTTCAATCATAGATTGTTATAGCCCATGATCGCCTTCAGGGCTGAGCACTCAAGAATAAATATTTATCCTTCAGGTTTGTAAGGTTGTAAGAGCCCCTGGGGTCCACGGGTCTCCAGGTCCACTCGAATTCAATTGGCTCCCAATTTCCAATCCAAGGCCCTGTCCAATCATGTTGGACCAGTGACATACTCTTTAAGAGGTACTATATCATGCCAACATCAATGTTTCTTAGTCTAATTCTTTGTTTACCTTTGGACTTTGGGATATATGTTATCCTACCTCACACAAAGAGTGCCCTTGACGCTTAGGCCAGCAATCTCACGATCGCTGCTGCGCCCCAGATATCCAGCAAGAATGTCCTCCACCGTTCCTTCAGTGGTTTCAACCACTCAACCCACTGTCTCATATCGCTCTCTGGCATTATCTCTGAGTGAAGATAGCCCCGATATCCGCCAGAAGTATCGACCGTTTATTCTGGAGGACAATGCAACGGAGGACTGGATCAACAACTTAGACCTGAGCACCGTAGCGGATATGGCAGAAGATAACCTGCGGGTTACAAACCAGAGGCTAAAAGTTCTAGTACTCTATGGCAGTCTTCGAAAAAGGTCATATTCCAAACTGGTGGCATTGGAAGCTTCACGTATCCTCTTCCGGCTTGGTTGTGACGTACGCGTCTTTGACCCCGAAGGTCTCCCCATGAAGAACGAGAGTGATGTCTCTCATCCCAAAGTACAGGAGCTCCGAGAACTCAGTTTATGGAGCGACGGTCATGTCTGGGTCTCGCCTGAACAGCACGGCAATTTGGTGGGTGACTCTTCATGATATTTTTAATATTTGATGCAATCTTTACTTACACGCTTTTCCGTAACGCTAGACTGCTGTTTTCAAGAATCAGATCGATTGGATTCCGTTGAGTACCGGGAGCGTCCGTCCCACCCAAGGCCGAACACTGGCCATCGCCCAGGTGTGCGGTGGATCCCAATCATTCAATGCGGTCAACTCTTTGCGTATCCTAGGTCGGTGGATGCGTATGTTTACCATTCCCAATCAGTCCTCGATTCCCAAGGCATATACCCAGTTTCCGGATGAAGGGCAGCCAGGAGATCAACGACTGATGCCCAGTGGTAACCGAGATCGTCTGGTGGATTGCATGGAGGAATTTGTCAAATATACGATTCTGATGCGGCCTCACATTGGTCTTTTCGGTGATCGTTTTAGTGAGCGGGAGGAAAAGAAAAGGAAGGAAGAAAGGCTAGATGCGACTGCTAAGTGAAAAGCATAGAAAAGTATAGAGGGTACTTATTTATCTGGAGAGTGAGATCTATGCAGACTCATCAAAACCATTAGTGCATTTGCCATGCTAGCGAAGTTGTATTCTAGTCTTGCCGATCATTCTGTAAGTAGCAATGCCAAGTAACAGTGACATACCACATTCGGCAAGTAGAAAGTCATAGCGTGTAGTTAAGATGGCCTGTCTCTAAATATTCTTCGTTTCCTCGATATTAATAAGTATAATTTGTTGAGGGTTGAGAATATTGGACAAGCAAACCCACCAGAGACGTTGTTCCCCGCATTCTCTTCTTTTTACGATGTCGCTTTCTTCCAACACTTCTCCCCCAGATGGTGGGTATGGCTGGGTGTGTGTGGCTGCATGCTTTTCTATCAATTGCTTCACTTGGGGCGCGGTCTCTGTGCGTTGCTTCTATATCAGTCACGTTAGCAACCATTCAGCTCATATTCTAACAGTCATATGGCGTGTTCTTGGCCCACTATCTCTCGAACAAGGTGTTCCCTGAAGCTACTCCTATGGACTTTGCCCTCATTGGGGGGTTGAATTTCTCCATGGCGATGTTGGTGGCCCCTGCTGTTACAATCATCGCTCGCAAGTACGGCACCAAGTTGCCGATGTTGCTCGGGTTGGGACTTTTGGCATTGGGATACGTCTCTGCGTCCTTTTCGGAAAGAATCTGGCAGCTATATCTGTCACAAGGAGTCTTGATTGGGTTTGGAGTTGGGTTTATCTATGTACCAAGCATTCCTGTTCTCTCTCAATGGTTTGATAAGAAAAGAAGTCTTGCCAACGGAATCAGTGCCGCCGGCTCAGGTATTGGTGGGCTGATATTCTCATTTATGGATGGCTCGATCATTCAGAATATATCTCTTGCTTGGGCTCTGCGGTTGACGGCGATTATTAGTTGCTCAATGCTGATCATTGCCATCCTACTCATCCGAACTCGCAATGAAGCTATACAGCCGTTCCAGCGGGGATTCGATGTGAAACTATTGCGTCGTTTAGATGTTCTTCTACTGCTCTCATGGGCTTTTCTCAGTATGCTTGGCTATATTTGCCTGCTGTTTTCACTTCCCGATTATGCACGCTCGATTGGACTCTCGGACAACCAAGCTACAATTGTCAACGCAATTTTGAACTTGGGAACTGCTGTTGGTCGGCCACTGATTGGCATTGCCAGCGATCATTTTGGCAGGATTGAGGTCGCCGGCCTCTTGACTTGCTTTTGTGGCATTGCTTGTCTCGTCATTTGGCTCCCCTCGACATCCTACGGGGTGCTTGTTCTCTTCGCTTTCATTAGCGGAGCTATTCTCGGGGTGTTTTGGGTCGTAAGTTGATTCATTTCATACTGACTATACGTGGCCGCTGAACTTATAGACTGTGGGACCTTTGTGTGTTGAGGTTGCGGGATTGGAGCAGCTCCAATCGCTCCTCTCTTTGTCATGGTCTGTTATTGTTCTCCCTACAACATGTAAGATTTTCACAAACGTTCTTGAGGATATTGAGCTAAAATAAAAGTACAGTCTCCGAGGTTATAGCACTCAAATTACGCCGTCTAGGATCCCATTATCCATATCGAAATGCCCAAGTATTCTGTGGTATCTCATACATCTGTGCTAGTGTGGCTTTACTTTTTCTCTGGTTGAGTAAACGTCGGAAAGTACAAGCAGGTGTATAGAAATATAGATGGAGGTACGCATTCGAGAAGAGCTGGTTTGCTGGACATGTTGGTGCATTTGATAGTTTGCGAGAAAATTGACGGCCTGGGCCAATTTGACCCTTTCTATAAATTTGTGATGCTGCGGCCTCCGCCTCTGGTTTGATTGATTATGGTGTTTTTATATCGAGATATTAGTATGGTTTGGTCTCAATGGCTTAATCAATGGCAGAGAAGCAAAGCCCAAGTATGTTTACTAATTAGAAAACATAACACATGTCAACAATAAGTGTCAGCCTCCTTTTATATCAAGTTGAAAATAATACTTAACTCAGACAAATCGCGCAGGTCTGAGTCAAAAAATTCTCCAACGCAGGTCGGGGTCCGCGGACACCGACGTCAACCTCTTCACAGTCTTTTTTATACATCCAGCATAGAATCGCGACCATCTCTTTGCATTGGTTTGTGATATTGGAACAAAAATGACCACATTCGATGGCGCAGAAGTAACAACAGTGAGAATACACCCATCCCACTATCTACTCCCCAGACCCTCTCCTATCTAACCTGAAACAAAGGCCGCCATAATCGCCGCTCTAGCTAGCGAAGGCGCCATCCACCCAATGGACACAGTAATAACACGCATGCAATCTCCAGTCTACAATAGCGTCTACAAGCATCTAAATGGCACACTCAACCGCACCCTCTTCAGCGGGTTGTACCAAGGCTTCGGACCAACCTTCGTCGCAGGGACACTTTCGTCAGCAGCTTTCTTCACAGCATACGAAGCCTCAAAAGTAGCGTTCGAGAATGCACAGTCTGCTGGATATATGCTCGGCGTCCCGCGACCCTTGATTCACGTCGCTAGCAGTGCTGTCGCTGAACTACTCGCTTGCGCTGTCCAGAACCCGGCTGAGGTATTGAAGCAGAATGCTCAGGTTTTTCAGCGGCCACTTCATGCCAAAGGGGGCCCGTCTCCGACAATGGAGATAATTCGACAATTCCGAAAATATCCTTCGGGATTGTGGGCTGGGTATACTGCTCTGGTGGCGAGTCAATTACCGAATATTTGTCTTACGTTTTGTTTATATGAGATGTTCAAAGAGGATTTGCTTAAGCGGTGGAAGACAGAGAAAGATGATGTCAGACAGCAACTTGAAGCAACTGTTCTAAGTGCTGGTGTTGCGGGCGGTTGTGCGTCTTGGTTCTTTGTTCCTATCCATGTGGTCAAGACAAGGATGAGGCTTGCGGTTGGTGAACAGGCAGGCAGCGCCCGGTCGAGTCTCAAAGGTAATCCCGGCTTACCACCCCGTGTCGGGGCATTTGCTATTGCTCGAGATGTGCTGCAGAAGGAGGGGGTAGCTGGGTTGTTTCGGGGATCTATCTTGACTTGTGTGGCAGCGGTTGTGGGAAGTGGGCTATATATTGGGTGTTATGAGGGGAGTAAGATCTACTTGTGCAATTATCAAGCCTCGTAGTTGGCATGGTTGGAGATCGTCCCAAGCCAAATGCATCATATAATGTGTATAGATAATATAACCACTCTCCTCCTTTATTTGTGCTATAATAGAGTGAAAACCACTGAATTCACCCCAAGCTATAGAATGCAAGGGACTTGAGAGCCTTCCCTCGTTACATTATAAGCGCCCATGCTCTATAGAAGATGTGTGCATTGCATATAGAGCAGAGTATCGGGGACCAACACAGGGCTAACTCTAGATTTACTAGCTTTTAAAAGTCCTTTGCAGATGTCATGCTTCTTAGTCTCATCATATCCCGGGCATGCTCCGCGTGCGAGTCTAAGGGAGACAGTAGTGGAAGACAACAATCATGCGTCTATTACAGTGCACGATCAAGCATCAAAGCATCATACCCCAGACTCTATGGAAAGGTCATCTTGGTTTACAGTTACCAGCAAGTCTGCTGACCATGGCTACAAAAGAACACCGACTGAAAATGAACAAAGCCACGCTCTATTCTTGATTGAACCTCGCAAATGACGGATAGCACAATAAACACGTACACAGAACAGACAGAACTCCCTTCGCCTGATCAGAAAAAAAAAGACAGAAAGCGACCTCGTCACGGGCAATAAGCAGATACCCTTCACCACCTGTTCCCCCCGAACACCAATCCCCGATCCTAAGCGTCGTGAAGCCGTCTCAGATGACGTTAGAGATTAGGTGAGATGAAACCGAGATAAATCAGGAAACTTAATGGAAGAAGACACAGGAGATGTAGAGAGTGAGGCTGAGGGACAAAGAGGGGGAGTTTGGAGGGAAGAGAGAACGCCAGAGAGTAAATGGAGGCTGCCGCACCCGTTTCACTACAATCAGAGGACACGAGGCAGGACCATTGTTCGAGGAACAAATACTCCGCTAGCAAATCAAGAGGATACAGAGGAGGATAAGCAAAAGGAACAGGAAGGACGTTCATAAGCAGGAGAGAGAAAAAAAAGCACGAGAAAGAAAAGAGATACGTAAAGAAACACCATAAGACGGCTGGCTAGAGAGCCACCACCCAAAAAGATTCCGAAATAACAAGCACGAAGAAAAGAAACCGGTTCGAAAAACACCCCATCTCCGAAGATCTCAAATGCTTCCATGTCGTTAGTGCCGTTGTGGCCCAAAGTCTGCCTCTACCACCTTGCCCTTCTTGCCCTTTACCGTAAACTCCGCAAGCAACGCGACGTGATCACTAGGGAAGTGGAAATTCGGGAACCCGGGCACGCGGCGTAGATACTCCTTATCCACTTCGCCGAGCAATGCCGACACATGGAGGGTATTGGAAGAGTACCAGATGTAGTCAAGGATGGCCGTAAAGTCGGAGGTGTAGTTGGTAAAGCTCAGTTCTCCCATAGCGGAGTATGCTGACTTCAACTTGAAAGGATGTGTCATACCAACCCGGCTGAGGTTTCCATAAAGTCGCTTCTCCAGATCGGGATGGGCCTCGGGAAGTCGTCCGGTGGAGATCAAGTTATAAGCCGCAGACCCTGGCGAAGAGTTGAAATCACCGCACATGAGGACGGGAATCTGATCGCCACTGGTGTATTCCATCGATGGAGCCGGTTCCACCACAGGCGCGCTCTCTGAGCCACTTTCGGCCTCTGAGAAGCGGAATGCGGTCTTGTCTGTGCAAGCGGGCCATTTGGCATAGTTATCTGATAGTTTGGTAATCTCTTCCATCAGAATCGCAGTTTGGATAAGCTTGACATCCTTGAAGGCCGGATCCCAGTACAGATGAGCGTTCACACTGATGAAGCGAGCACCAGTTTGCCGGTTTTCTAAGAAGATCACAACGGCGATATGGTCCTTCTGCCACAGTCGGTTGTAAATATCATCTTGGCCCTTGGCATCTGGTCGACGAACGGCTGTCTGACCAAAGTTGATCAATTGCTTGTCCAACAGGATATACTTGCTTCCCTTGAAGAATGTAGCACATCCATCAACCATCCGGGCGTCTTCCTCCTGCATGCCCATTGCACGACCACGCGGCCAATAGACACCTTTGTAGTCATTGTAGGCAAGCTGCTCCCGGAAGAAATTGTTGTAACTTCCTTGGTCAACTTCCTGAAGGCAGACAATATCTGAGTTATGTGATCGTAATTCGTTGAGAATAAGCTCGCGGCGGTATTCCCATGACAAGACACGTGAGGGTACATAGCCGTAATGCGATTGGGTGGCAGAAGAGTCACACAGGGTGTTGTACGACAGTACGGTGATCTTTTCCGTATTACTGTTGGACGAGGTTGAAGTATCATCGAGGATAACCCAATCACGGTCAGGAGGAGGTAGATGAACTGTAGTGGATGAAGTTAGCGAACAATTTCGCACAAATAATCCAGGGGGAATGAAGCAATTGAAACGCACCTGGCATCTCTTCTTTCAGGTACTTGATGAGAGCCTTTGTGCCATCCTTCATGATTTGAGATTTGAGGACATCATTCAGGGGATTGCCCTCAATGCCCAAGGTTTCCAACCGGTAAAGGTACCCCATTTCGTAAGGAAGGGTGCGAATGTTGTTATCAAAGAGAAGGAGTTTCTTCAGGTTTGAAAGCATGCCAAGCTCTTCTGGTAGCTCCGTCAGGTCATTGCCTGACAGGTCCAGATGGGTCAACTTCCGCAATTGTCCAATAGCCGGGGGTAACACCTTCAACTTGTTAGAATTGAGGTACAGTTTCTCAATGAAGCCATAGTTGAACAAGGAGGTAGTCAAAGCGCGCAATCCTTGGCCACCAAAATCAAGCGCATTCCAACCCTGTCGACTGGCTGGCTTCCCCGCAGATGCACCATTGCGCCCATCCGTCCCACTTTCTGTGTCAGTTTGATTGGACATGAGCTGGATGCCTTTCGTTTGTTGCGCAATAACACGGGCATGGTAGTGGGGAGAAGTGGCTTGTCTTGATTCTGCCGCAAGCTGGAGCTGCTGCTGCCAGTGCTCATTCATTGATTCATCAAGATCATCGTCCGCGGTCGGTACGCCATTCTGCAAATGAGTCGAGGTGAAATGAGAGGTTGTTGTAGTGGCTAGTGCGCCGCTGGGGAAATTGTGTTGATGAGTGAGGTTGTGGGTCGCTTGTGTGTGGTGGGCGTGATGATGCGGCTGTTGCGTGTGATGAGAGTGGTGGGTTTGTGATTGGAACTTTGGGATCGGCATGCCAAACCGCTGGTGGGCTTGACCGCCATTCATCATGACATGCTGACCTTGGTGAGTTTGGCCGTACATGTTGTTGAAAGGACTGAGAGCAGCAGCCTGGTTTAGGGCAGGGGATCGTGAGGGAGAGGGGGTGTCGGTGTTGAATTTCAGTCGACCCGTCGGAGAATTGGTCCCGTTTCGAACAATGTGTCGCTGGTGAGGGTTCTGCTGTGCTTGAGCTTGGAAGTAGAACTGCCCGGCCCCAGGCTGCTGGAACCTGTAGGTACCATCTGCCATTTAACGTGGCAGACGAGACCGTGTTTTGTTTCCCTGGTGGAAAACCTGTTGGTTGGTGGGCGGCGCTAAGTTAAGTTGGGTCGAGGAGAGGAGAGGAGAGGATCGGAGACGTTCTCTTCTCTTCTTCCACATAGAGGCCTAAGGCAAAATCACTGTATCAAACCACGATTGAAGGTCGGTGACTTTGGCACTGAGGGTATCTTCGAGGTGTGCAATGGAGCAGTACCTAAGGGCGGAGATTGGGCGGAATGGTCAAAAGAAGGAGTGGTAGGAAAAAGTAAGAAAAGATCGAGTGATAAGGAGTCGAACAAAACCAGCGGGGCAAGATTGACGTAGCAAAGATGAGCAAACCAGACGATTGTCTCTAGGTCGATGGGGACGTCTTGAGATGGACACTGGTGGTTTGCAGCGAGGCGGGAGTCACGGGGTCACGTGAATCGCCGCAAGGGCCAAGTCTTTTGCCAGCTTTTGAGCTTGAATTGCCAAGACACAATCGTCTCTCGATTGTTGTGAAGCTTTTTTTTTTGAAGGGAACAGTCCGATAGTGATCGATTCATCTATCTCACACATTCGCGTTACTTCTTGATCAATTGGACTGCTTATATGAAAACCAGCCACGTGGTCAACATTGCCCACCAAACCCATGGGCATCTGCAATCGTCTTTGGTAAGTCGAACCTGCATTGGATTTTGATTCTGCCTAAACATCTTGTTTGAAGCTAGCGAACATTACGGGGGCATGTACAATGAAATAAATCTAGGATTATCATAGATGTTGTATACGGAGTAGATATATCGCCAAGGGGTCCAGCAAAGAGGGAGGCCTGGGTTTGGGATTGAAAGGGACAATGACCTGTCTACTCCGTAGTCTCAGCCACTACTAATAATATCTAATACTTCTAAAATTGTGAATGACCTTTCGATCTTGCCCTTTGTACAGAGTAGGTGAGAGTCATAGGAGAGTCTCGTTGTGTCATATATTAGTTTAGGGCACCTTCCCCTGTGCGTGTGAACTGCTCAAGACAGAAAAGCCACCAATGGACTGATCATTGCTCGATTCCCACAAATTTCATTATCGTATGATTAAGGACAGAGTATCCCATAAATTGGTCGTTTCTTTTAATATAGTGATTATTGTTGAAAGGCCTAAAACATCACCCTAATCTGGTGGCTATACTGAGTAAATGAACTATTAAATGATCTCTAAATAGAGGGGGTTTGAGATAAATTTGGATAATGACATTAGAGATACCACATAGGCAAGCTTTGTTTAAGCCCTAATGTAGTAATGGATATACAACATACACCATAGGTACAACATAGAGATATCATACAGGTGATACATGTACTCCATTCATGTATAACTACTGCAAGTTAGCACAGACCCAGTGTACTCGCATATTTACCAAAAAGGATGCCTCAATGCTCTACCACACTAAATTATTTACAATTGCCATCTTACCCATCATATTTGCCTTCTCAACTCCCCGTGTCTTAAAAAGTTAAACTAGTTCCAAAAAAAAAAGTACGTGGCAGATGCTATGTTGTCGATCGAATTCTCGTATCGGTGTCTGCAGGTACGTTTGTCTAATATTCATTGCCGAGAGCGGAAAGGGCACGGATCATAGTGTAGACCAAGGTGATCGCGTGGAATAGCCGATGCCGTAGACAAATGCCTGGGACTTAGCGTTGGGCACGGGGTAACCCGATACAATGTATCAGATAGAGAGACCATGGCGGGTGAAGTCTCAAAATGTTGGGCCCTGGCATCCAATTATTGATTAAATGACTCGGTGGATTACAGACATGGACATGGTAGGGATCTTCGACACTTATCCAGTATTTGAATTAGAGACATGTCTAATGAGGCTATTGGTACTCCGTATATATATTGTACTTTTGTATCTTATCAATCTTGTCTGTACTCCGTACTAGAAGAGGCATTGCCCTGAATCAGTCCAGTTGACGTGTATGGTTCTAGACTTCAAGAGCATAGACGGTACAGTTCGGGTCCTATAGTCCCGAGGTATAGCATTTCCGGTTGTAAAAAGTCATGATGTCAACGATTATTACTTATATGAAAAAAAGGGAAAACAAGGATTAAGGATAAACTACGGAGTGCACGATTCAATATTTTTTGTTAAAGTACATATGTTGTCCGGAGTACGGAGTACCAGGCAGAGTATTACCACGAGCCCAAACTAGACTCGAGTGGATATTCTCAACTTCCAGGGGTCAATTAACAGGACTAGGCCTGCTCTATTTTTCCTCTCTCCCCTCTCCCCCGTTTCTTCTTCTTGAACAGTTTACTTCTACGTCGACGAAAATTGCTGCAATCTGAGCTTTTGTTTGACGTTGAACAAGAAATTTCTTCAGCTTCGCGCCCCGGCTGCACTAGGATAATTTCCGAACCCGCTTTGGTCCCCGTCAATCTTGTCCTGACTCTATTTTCAATTTTTCGATTTGAATACCTATTTTCCTCGAAATTTTCTTTCTGATAAAAAAAAGGCTCCTTCGAAGAAAAAAAAGCATGCCTCGTTCATGAAATCTTCAGTGCGCCGAGAATGCGACCGAACCCACAACCCATCTTCAGAGTCATAGGGGACACCAATCGAGATACCTGAGGAAAGTGATTTGGAAATAATGGCGATGGGATTCTCAGCCGCCGCCTCCGGGTCCGATTTGCACTCCAACCTGAGCTCGACATTGGCTGCAACCTCCTCCTCGTCCTTGAGTTCCCATACGGACTACTCAACATACCCTCTAATGCGCCAGGGTGACCGCACCTACTTTCGTGACCCGGATAATGTCTACCCTCTGCCCTGCGACCTACCCGAGATCCACCGCCAAAGCCTGCGCACGTTTATGCTACTGCGCGTCCTCGGCGGCCCATTTTGCAACCCCCACTTAGCCAACCGACCGCCCAAACGCATCTTGGAGATCGCCTGCGGGTCCGGTTTGTGGTCTGGTCTGTGCCACGAATACTTCGCCCGTCGAGGCCATCCGGATGTGGCTTTTGCCGGCATAGATGTCATCTCCATCGCACCAGATATGCGAAAGCAGGGAATGAACTGGCAGTTCAAACGTCATGATCTACGCCAACCACGCTTACCCTTCCCGGACGACTATTTTGATTTCGTGTTCATTAAAGATGCCGGCATGTGTCCTTCCAGTCCGGCGCAATCTGCATCGGGGTTGAGTGAACCCCTGCGGGTGCTGAAGTCCGGGGAATTTTGGAGGTGTGGGATTCGGATTGGAGCTTCCGCTCGCTCCTGCCTAATCCTGCTCCTGCCCGCAAAACCACATCAAAAGATCAGGAAATTGCCGATGCAACGGCTACTTATACATTCTCCTCTGCCACACCATTCACGCGAGCACAGAATAAGTTCGTGGTTGACTATAACTCATGGGTGGAGAAGTCCTTTGACCGTCTCAAGCTGACGGCGCTCCCGTGTGCGACCATCGGTCTTTCCTTCAACTCCGAAGTGGACTTGTTGGAAAATGTCGACAGTCGCCGGGTCGCAATCCCATTGGGTGATTTGCGCTGGGAGCGAGACGGTCAAGGCAGGGATTCCAAGAACCGTCCACGAAAGGCCCTGACTCCAGAGCAGATCTCCATCCGGCGCACGGCTCTCCTCACCACAATCCAGATGATTGAAGGACTGGAGCCGATACTGATGGAGTCTAGCGGAAAGGGCCGTGACGAATGGGACCGATGGTGGGCTGCAATGACAGCCGACCTCCTTCAGAAAGGCGGACTTGGCAGCGGCGAGTGCCTTGAAGTGAGCGCCTGGTGGGGTCAAAAGAAATGAACGCCTTGAGTCAATTTGGAGTTCCGGTGGGCAAAAGTCAAGTAGTGACCATTCTGCACTTTGTATTGGTGATACCCCCAATTTTATTTCAATGTTCTGTCTTTTGGGTTTCTAACATGCATATTATTTGAACATTCCTGAGAAAAGGTGAGAGCCATGAGCATATTAGGCCTCACTTCCATATCGTTTTTTCAGCGTTCGGTACCGCTTCAAATAGTACCTAGGTTTTTTTATCCTGTCAGTTCCCACCAAGCCCAGTGTCTTTTGATAGGGGTCCAAATAGTTCTTGCATGATGTCATGATAATGAGGAGTGAATCTTTGCACAGTGTATCTAGCCAGACACTGCCCAAGTATGGGTGCAATGAATAGAAAATGACATGTACGACGATTCCACTGTGCTTCCAAATGATTGTAATCCACCAATGTAGATAGAGGAACAAGCAGGATGGTCAGGTGTGACAATGCGATGAAAGATTGGCAGGAAAGGGATGTAGGGACTAGTCTTACAGCGCTTCCACTTCTGGATTTAACAATTAGCAATTGCAACCGAACATAGATATAGGAGTCCTAGCAAAAAAAAAAAAAGACACCACTTACCTTTCTTGACAAACTCTGCTCTCGCTATCCCCTTGCGGATCTGCTCATCGTCGGTGATTTGAGTCTGACTTGCAAATGCACGGTGTAACCGATCCCGGAAATACTGATAGCCTAGAGGATATTCCCGTCCCAAGAACAAAAGCTCTACATCTCGGGGTATTAGCATAGAGTGAATGACCAGATTACGGTTGAAAGGGAAAGGTGTGCAAGTCGCTGGGCCTCACGTATGCGGCTTCATACCTTTGTAGACGTTAATCACCTGCCGGCGCAGCTCAGGATTAACCATTATTGCTCCATCCAAGAACAGATTTTGTTCTGGTAAAGATTTGGCGGTTGGGATGTCGTGCAATGAAGGTAAGCGGCTGAGAGGCTTCCAGGCTTCGGAGGTTATCGGTGACGTGCCTAGCGGGTTCACTCCCCATGACATTGTGGATTTTCTATATATTACCTACTTTGGGATCAATTTGGATACATTGTTTCTGTCTACATTCCCTTCTGAAATACGACAATGTACAAAATAAATTAACAATATGAAATCCATATGTGGGCCAGTTCAAATCCCTTCTATTTACGCGGGGTTCTAGCCGACCTCACCTCGGGTTACTGGCCCCCCGAGGCCCAAGCTTCTGTTTGTATCGGTTATCGGCGGTTATCCGCTATCGGAGAGCTGTCCAGGTTGCGACATCGAGGCTAAACTGTCTGTCAACAACTACGCAACATGCTTCCTCAATCGGTTTTTCGAGCGCGGCTATCTGCCTCAATCTCTCTCTACTCAACTGGCACATATCGTCTCTTCTCGTCAACTTCGGCAATCCCTAACAACCAAAGCCTCCCCAATTCGGCATCAAAACCGATCGATCCACGATGGCTCACAATGACCAAGCGAAGGATTGGGAAGTGCATGATGTTTGGGCTGAAGCCACCTCAAGTTGAGGAAGGGGGAAAGATTTTACAGCAATTGGCCAAGGAATGGCGGGAATTGATCGCTGGAAGTGAGGGATTCCTCACGGATAGGAAACGGCGTAGTCTGTTTCGTCATAATGTCGTCTGGGGAGAACAGGTATGAGTTTGAGTGATATTTTGGTCGATATTAGGGATAAGAGCCATTGATGCTAAGTATAATTGTGGTGGATTAGGATATTATGGTGAGAACATCCGTGCCCCCTACCTGCTGCGCTTACTATGTGTGCTATATTGGATTGTGGACACAAGCTAACCTAGATGATAGGGTATGTCCGCGCTCTCTCTCTCTCTCTCTCTCTCTCTCTCTCTCTCTCTATACTTTGGATTTGCTCCTCTCCAATTCCTAGATCATGCAGTACTAACTAGTCCGGCAAGGTCACGTCAACAATGTTACCTATGTTCGATACGCCGAAACAGCTCGAGTAAACTGGACGCGTAATATCGGCAAGCATATCGATCCCGCAAATAAGAAAGAATGGTCAAACATGGTTGGTAATACGGGGATTGGGCTCATCCTGAAGAGTATCAAGGTGGACTTTAAATTCGTACTGCATTCCCAAGACCCAAACTCAATGGACCTAATTACTGACTGTCACACAGCCCATGGAATCTCCAGACAAGATTTCCGTCTATCACAAGCTGATTCCAGACCCATCTGGACATCTTTTATCCCAATCGGCATTCCGACTCGAGGTGATGATCTTGTCTGAAGCCCGCCAACGCCCTGCTGCTCGTTGCTTCGAGGATAATGTGATCTACGATTACAAGAAGAACCGTAAGACCGTGAAAATTCCACCCTTTATCATGGAGCAATTTGAAGCAATCTGGAAGCAGCAGGAGCAGGAAAAGGAGGTCTGGAGGCAGCACATTGCTGAAATTGAAAATCGGGTCCGGAACCTTGAGCTTGAAAGCTGGGATCGGGCCGATGCTGTGGAGGACAATGGATCTGCCCCACAGTGATTACAATGGGGAAGAAGCTTTGAAGATGGATCACATCGGGGTGCGGATGATTTTTTTCTTGTCATTCTTTCGGGCACTTGATAAACAGCTGCAGTTCCCTGCGCTTTGTACATAAATTTCAAGTATGTCTGACTGTTTAGATCTCGGAGGGGGGCATCCATGCATAAATGGTTATGTTATCGATCTTAGCAGCAGCAGTGACCAACTTCGAATGTTGTTTGGGACTGAACCTAGGTGTAATTATTTCAATATAGGGACCCTTGAAGTGTCGCATTATACATGTAAAAAAGACTGAGGTTATAGGGAAGAAGAGAACGCTCAATCAATAGATATTTAGCCGAGTCTTGCTCGTGATTGATAACAGTCCTAAATTATGGTCAAACTCCCTTCTCAATTGCTCTCCGGGTCTTTGGCACTGAATTTGCTTGTTATTTGAGTGCCCTATGGATATCAGTTGGGTGTGTATATTATTGTTCCTCATATCGCCGATAAATTATTAATATGTGGTGCAATCTACAATATATATATCACATGAGAACGCGACAGTAAACCAGCTTTCAAATATATTGGCCAAATCATTCAAAGCTTCAACCTCTTTGCAATCTCAATTCCCTCTGCAATGGATCCCACCCGGGCGTCAATCGCATACCCTTCACTCTCCAACTTTTGCAATTCAGCCGAAAGCTCCGACACTGGAAGTGTGAAGCACTCGATAAACTCATTATCTTCAAGCTCAGGCTTTGGATTTTGATTTTCCGGAAGAGACATATCAACCTGAACATAAACCATGTGGAAATTGGCATTGCAGAAGCCGGGGTCTGAATAGGTATGCCAAGTCAGCCAATATCCAGCAGTAAGAACAATGGATTCACCAACCATTGTACATAATACCAGTAGTTTGATCCGCAACACCGATATACCCAGTCTCTTCTTTCAACTCTCGTACTGCAGTTTGTTCAATTGTCTCTCCTGCGTCGATTAATCCCGCGGGGAGTTCTATGACGACCTGGTCGATTGGAGGACGGTATTGCTTTTCCAAAAGGATTTCAGAGCCATTTAAATTATTCAGAATAGCGACGATGTTGACTCCATCGACATGGGAGCCTGTCGGTCTTGTCTATGATTCGATTAGGTCGTCGCTGTTGGATTTACATCTCGACTCAAAATTCATACCTGGCGTTCAGCGGATTCCCAATCTCTCTGGACTCCATTGGGATCGGTGTAGTTTGTTTTAACTAGTCGTTTCCATTTGGCGTCTTGGGAAGTCTAAAGGCCATAAGTAGCTGAGAGGTATAGTGAGGCCAGGAACACATACCAAGGGCTCTCGTGAGAGAAATATGGACTTGGGTTGTGACATTTTCTGTATTGACCCCTCGGCTCTTCGTCATGGGCATTGGACTATAAATAAGTCTGACCTGAGTACGTATTATGTTGGTAAGAATTGAGTCCCTTCCAAGGTTGGTTGCGGGACATAAGATGACTAATGTGGTGCTGATGCGGTGAAGTCCTTCACCTGGGCAAGAAAGACCACACGTAGGTCGTGTCTGGATGGCAACGTCCGGGATTCTCTTCATGAAACCATCATTTCTTGGAGACATCTTTTGAAACACGAACGAAGACAACTTGTTCTAAATCATATTCCTTAAAAAAAATAAAATTTAGGCTTTACAGAAAATATACGACCCCGGCTTCACGATAGTCCCACAAAGGACTATGCCACCGAGCTATCTGAAGATATTCGAAGACGGATGCACAGTATGGGCTCCCACATATCAGCTGTGAAATATTTACATGGTGATGGTTATCATTCACCAAATTAGCCATTTACTCCGAGTGTCTATTCAACAAACCAAGACAAAGTTTGTGACTATTAATCAAGATAATGCGATTAAGTGTGAGGTTAACTAAATCAATCCCGCAGTGCATTTGCTTCTTAGATGGTTAGTCTGCGGCTTTTAACAGACCAACGAACGGTCGAGTACACACAAGCACCCGAAAATCTTTCACCTTGTCCGATCTCTACGAAGTTCCACGCCTTGGTTTAGGATACCATCTGAGCAAGCTGTCATTGTCCTCTATTGGAAGAACATAATAATGTCAAAGATCCAAAGGAAACACTTAAAAAGAGATCAAAGTAAAATTGAATGTGATCGACCCTGAAAGCCCAAAGGTTATCGGACCCAAGCGAAATCCGACCCTAAAAGAGACTAGGCCGACACGCTAAAAGTGGAATTGTCGGCGATTTTCCAGAACCACTATATACTTACTCTATTTCTGGAATTTAGGCTAGACATTTGAAGGTGTAGAAGTGCCAAAGTGCTAAAGAAGTGATTGAGGTACTATATAGGTATCTATTTGCTACAGAGCACCGTATAAAAATAACCCAGGAAACTAAGCAAGCCCGGCCGTCGGGCCGATCTTTACTAATTTTGTGGCTGATCTACGAAACCTTCCAAGGTTGCCAAGCCTCGGTATCGTATATCGGAATTGGCAGGGCTGTACTCTGTAATACTACATGTTTTACTTGTATCCTCTTGATAGCGAAATTCTTTACGTTATTCAAAATATTCTCAACTATGTATCACCTGTTGGAAGATCTATAGACCCTCAAAGTATAGATGTGGATATGTGCGGAGCCCTTCAGGAATATGCACAAGATAGCCGAGCATGTGATGATCCCAGCGAGAATGTGGGCAACCCCATTGATACACACGTTTTATAAACACAAGCTTCAATTCCCCATACTTACCCCCCATGACGCTCCATGCTCGGTGCGTATTCATGTCGGTAGGTGCATGCATCTGCAAGCCCAACGAGTAATAACCATACCATGATGAGATTCATGACACTCATCACAAGTTTGGCGCAAGGATGACCCCGCAGCGGACGGGTCCAAAAAAAGGTTGATCGTCAATCCAGTCAGTCTAGTAGTAGCAAATAGGGACCGGTGATCCGAACAGGCTTCCAACGTTGATATGTGCATCGCTGGTGGTACTCTGTCCTCCGTACTCCGTAGTCTCCGGCTAATCAGCGCTAGTCAACCCGTTTCGAGGGAAGTCCGCATAGCGCCGACGCAACGGAAAGACGATGTCGCAAAAGTGTCTAGAGAAAGCAAATAGCCGTTGAGGATTGGCCGACGTGTAGGTAACCGCGTTGCAGAACTTGGCAACTACAGCCGTTAGAGCTCCTAGGGGGCGTGACCTGTCAATAAGCCCTGAAGGGTATCGTAAGATACGAAGTTCAGAGCAAAAAAAAGCTTGGCTGTGCATGTGGGCTGGTTCTGTTGAATGGGATTTTCCATGCAGAAACTCCAGATCGACAAAGAAGCCATTTATTACCAGCTTTTCTTAAAAACCGAATTTGCAATCTGCCATGGTGCAAGTACACAGTACCAAAGTGAAATAGTGGCGGATGGTATTGAAGTTAGGTACCGCCTACCCAAAAGGCACCAGGGATCGACGGCTAATGACAATACCAATACCAATTCTGTTTCTTTCGACCTCATACAATTCCACCTGGGCACTTTTTCCCCTTCACGCTTCCACGTAGAGCATCGTCTCTTGTCCTTCTCTCTTTTTCTCACTTTCCTTATACATTGACTTCCTTTCTCTTTCTCATCTTCATTACATTACAAACCAATCTACACCATTTCCCTCCCCCCACCATATTCAATTTTAGTCCGTTTTCGCCTTTTTCCTGGTCCCAGTCCTTGGCTTCATCCCGCCAAGCTGACTCGGACCTGGGTTTCGGGCTCCCTTGTCCATGACACGCTCCGCTGCAGCTAAGAAGAACCAGAGCAATCGGCAGGAGAATGGCTTTGTCGGTCCCGGCAAGAAAGTAACCAAGCAAAAGTCAAGCAGCCATCTGAACGGCAACTCGGGAAACGGCTCTGCTACCGGTCCGGGCGCGTCCGCTCAATTCGACCTATCCTCCGTGCGGTCTACGAGCGATACGGCCGTGACATCTCCGACAGTTTCCGGTAAAGGAGGGGATAGTACAAAGGCAGATGGCAATGTGCGTGGGATGTTGAATGGACATACCAAGGGTGGAGAAATGTCATCCGCGCAGGAAAACGGCGATGTCGCCCAGAATGGTGGCATGGGTCACGTCTCTCGCAATGGAAACTCGAAACGATCCGGATCCAATGCCTCGATTAATCCGCTTCACCTCGCATCCACCATCCTCAAATCGTGCCCCATGTACGACACCATCGCCATCTTGATCTTTTTGCTACAACTTCCGCCGATGGTCTTGACCCTGGTTCAGTTCTTATTCGCTTCTTTGACTTTCATGCCCCCGAGTGGCGCTGCGGCCGGTTCCTTGTCGTCGAACTTCGATATTTTTCAAGGTCCGGCTGGGACGCCATCTCTAGGGACAATGATTGCGATGGATGGGTTTTGCATACTTCTCTGGGGCCTCTTCATGTGGACCTGGGCGCAAAACTTTGCCATCGATCTCGCTCATGTCCAGGTTGCTATCACCCTGGGTGGTGGGGGTTCCGGAAAGAACGGCGGGGTCAATGCTCTCTGTGTCGGAATTGTTCTGCTTCTTCATCTTGTTCGCAGTAAAGGCATTCAAGATTTTGTCTTGGGTCATCTTGTCTCTGCTAAACTGCTCAGTCCCGATATACTCTCCCAATACTCGCACCTGCTACCCGCCGAGTTCCGACGCTCCGAAACACAGACGTCTCCCAGCTGGCTCCGCAGCCTTCTTGCGGTGCATATCTTAGCACAAGCTGGAACCGCCATGGCACGACGTTCGATGGCCAAGAATCGGTCACCAACACCGTTACGGACTGGCAAGCGGGGAGATACGGAGGCTTCTGCGGGGTCGCAAGGACAAGCTGATTCTGCTCTGGAATCAGCTGCCAGCGTTTCGTCTTCTTTTGTGGGACCTGACGGCCAGTTGAAAGACGGAAAGGATCGTTTTACCTCAGCCAAGAAACGCAGACGACAAGCAAATCAGGTTCGGAGCCGACAGCCGTTCTGGGCTGCGCTTGCCAGTACAAAGGTCACGGTGATGAGGGAGTATGAACATTCGCGGGCTGTATCCAAGACAGCCCGCAATCTCACAATGACGGAAGATGATCTGCAAGGTGTTTCTCTCGACGACGGGTTAATATGGATTACGGATATAGATAGCTCTTCGATCAAATTTGCCGCAGGTGAGTTTGCCGATGATCCTGCTGTGTCGGGTTCCTTTGAAGCTGGCCGTTTGGGAGGAGACATGGAACCGTTCTACGTCTGCGTTAACGGTGCGCTTTGGGCTACCGCTTCGATATGCAGAGTTTCAGATGCCAAGGGTCCGAGTGTTGTTCAATGGCGGGGCGAGATCGCTGGACTTGCTCCTAATTGTGCCTACACATGTGCATTTGTACGAAGCGATACCGACGAAGAGATCTGTGTCATGAGTGTCAAGACTCCAACAACGACTGACACAGAGCAAGGTAAGTTCACCTTAAACCTCAATATCTCTTTTTCAATAATCTCATTGTTTGAACAGTCATCTCCACGGTATCGACACCCCTACAGCCGACCTACCGTCCATCATCCCCCACAACGACGCTCAAGAACTCTATCAGCAATGCAGAATCTAAGTTGAACGAAAAGCGCAACCGTCTGAAAAAGACAAAGAACGACCATAAAACTGTTATCTCGAAAATTCGGAAAGAACTCGAGAACTTCAATGCTCGCCTCCACAGCGGAAATGACGAGAATCGCCAAAAGCAGCGTTCGCTCCAACTAGAGCGAAACATCCGACAAACCGAAGAGGTCACTGCGGCGCTAGAGGTACAGCTCGACAGCATGGAACATGTTCCCGAGGAGGAGATGGAAGAATGGTCGGCGCACAAAGCGGATTTCGAACGTGAGGTGGAAGCTTTCAATTTGACGAAGGAAGAGGTTGCTGCCGCTCGGACAGCTGCAGCTCAGCAGGTGGCGGCACTAGAGTTGGAATTGACTCAGGCTATCCAGAAGCGAGAGCGTCTCCAGGGTCGCCGCACGCGGGTGAATGAGCAGTATGAGCGTATTATCTCAGCCAATGCCCAAGGGTTGAATGAAAGAGAACGCCGTGCTGCCGAACAATTTGCAAGAGAACAGGACCAGTCAAAGATGGAAACTAATTTCCATGAGCAATTTGCGAGCATCAGCCAATCTGTGCAGGATTTCCAACTGCGCACAAGTCAACTCTGGCAGCAGGCCACCGCAATTGAGCAGTCCATTCAGCAGCAACAGCAGCAGATGCTCCTCGAGTCTGGTCCTCTCACCCCCGAAGGCAACTTGCCAGGAACCAATCCTCTGCCTGAGACTAGTGGTCCGTTATTCAACGCATCTACGACCACTGTACCCAGCGCTCGATCTCTATTAGCGGGTCTCAGCTTTCCTGCGAGGTCTAGTCCCCTGCAGATTTCGTCTTCTCCGGTCTACGAAATGCCGTCAAATCCAACTAGCCCATCGCAAGACCTTCCCTTCCTCCCACAGTTTCCAAGCTCTCCTATTGGCAATGTGGGCTCATACTTCGGGCCAGACGTCAGCGTCAACCACCGAGACCGTTCGTTCTCCAACCGTTCCAATCACAGCAGCCAATATGGCTCCGACTTCTTGGACACGAACCGCTTGCCAGCTCTCCAGCTTGACCTGTCCGAATTGCTTAGTGAAACCAAGCCTCGGCCTGGTTCCGAGGGAAATGGTTTCCTGCATCAAGGTGGCCGTCTGGTCTTGAGCCCTTTCCAGCGAGCAGTAAGTCGAGGCAGTGGCACTGGTAGTGGTAGTGGTGGCAGTGGCAGTGGGACCGGCAGTCCGCACTCGTCGCGGGACTAGTTCTCTCGGCGTTGTTTCCATGGTCTCATACCTAGCCGCGCTGTTAAACCGGTGCTCGATCTCGCTTGCATGCTTGTCTTTCGAGAATTGGCCTCAAGGTTTGTGCGTCCGTGCTTTTGGTTCCATCTGGTTGGATTCCCGCCTTGTGCTAGTCAATCTCTTTCTCGTCGGCCTGCACTGTGGTGGCTCCTGGTTTCTTGGGTCATTGCTGTAGTGTGGCATGCATCTCGCGACGAGATAGCAACTATATATGGATTCGATCGAAGTGAGATACATGGCAGCTCTGTTCCTAACACCAAAAAACAAAAGTGTTCTATACTCGGTTCTTGTATACTCCCTCTCTCACAAAAAGCGTAGACGCATCAATATCATGAAAGCATTTCTCATCTTCACCTCTCCATGTTTACCGTAGTATTATGTAGTGGAGAGGCCGTCGAAATTGGCTATGGTACCATATGTCTAATCAGGAGTCTATATATACACCCCAAACGCCGTTTTCCCAGTATATATACAGTGCTTTGCCCGAAGGCATAAGCGATGAAGCATTCATCCAAGGCTCAGATGAAACCAGACATATCAAACAATTGTCTCAGTTCAAAGTTCGCCTCCCATCTTCCAAAATTTGGTGTTTGCATACGTTAGACAAAGCCGCTCAGGTGAGTGCTCATCCAAGACCTTGCCATCTAGTCCCTGCGCCCAAACAGACCCAGAGCCCTCGATCGCCCGAACAACAGTACCCAGCACAATTGAGTGATCGTGCACATCAATCTTGTCCGGGTGTAGGGTACATTCAAAAACAAAAGGGAAATCGACGCCATCATTTGCAGATGCTGCTTCCGCCCTCCGCTTAAGAATAGGAAGTGGTCTTTGAGAGTGTCCCTCCTGGTCTTTAGTAGGCAATGCCGCGAACTCAAACTGACCATGTCCTCTCAACATAGCAGCGAGGGTAACATTACCCTTGGAGAAATCCCTGGCTAGAGTAGCAGTGGCCGGGCCCGGTGCAAGCAAATGAACCAGAAACCGACGCGAAGCAAGCAACGCATTCAATGTCTCCGATGGGCGACGAACATTGAACGAGATCACAGGGTGTGGGGTGAGGGTGACGGTGCTGAAGGAGGAGACTGTCATGCCACGGAATGAAGTTGTGTCTTCTGGACCAGAGGGATCGGTTGCTGTTATGATTGCGACGGGGTAGGGGACCCGACGCATGAGGAGGCGGACTTGATCGGATAAAGATGTTGAGGGTGTTGACGGTTGTGGTGCATTGTCTGTATTGGACGGGGAATTGAGTTTCCTTGGGTATTCATTTTGTTTTAGAGGGGCAGTGGAATTGCTGGTATATCGTCGTTGGCCGCATCGTGATCGGTTCTGAGTATATGGCACAGGCGGAGAGATGCCGAGGGAGAGAGATGTTCCCAGGAACAGGGGTGTATAGTTCTTAATGCATAATAGTTCTAACACCTCCCATTAGTACAATTGACAGAAGCAATTGGACATACACCATGACAACCTACCTCCGAGTCCTGACCGAGTAGTCCCACGCGCGACTGGAAAGACGAGCTTCATACCGCCGGCCTAGAATTAACGGAGCTTTGAAAGGTGCTCAGGGAATCACGCAGGGGACAAAATCACAGATATCCAGACTCTGCCAATTCATGTCTAAACCATCAAGTGAAAAAGAGAGACTCACAGAGACATGGGGTAATATGAAGTCATCCGAACATCGAAGTTATGAAAATCCCGAAAAGAACAGACCCGCTTACATAACCCGCGATAATTTCTCTGCTATAGCATCAACTTCACAACCTCCGCAACCTCCCCGATAGCATTGCGGCCCCGTCAATTTCCGCCCACCCCGACAATCCCAATTACTCATTCCATCGGCATTGCCGAGCCAACCCATCCAACATGTCAATGCACACCTCCCTCCGCCGCACCACGGCCACACTCACAAACTCAACAACCACCATCCTCCCTACAAGACTCCCCACGCAATCGAGCGGCACAACCTTCGTCTGCTCCCAATGCCGACACGCAACACTCCTCCGCCGCCCCAAGCGCCCCTACACCTTTACACAGCTTATTACTCTCTCGGACGGCAGCACCTTCACGCACCGCACGACCTCGCCAGCCCCGATCTACCGCTCCACGCGCGACACGCGCAACTCCCTCCTCTGGAACCCATCCAGCAGCAAGCTGATGAACGTCGAAGAGGACGAGGCCGGTCGTCTGGCTGCTTTCCGTGCTAGATTCGGTCGCAGCTTTGATGCCAACACGCCTGCTACTGCCGAAGAGGCGGCTAAGGACCCTGCTGCTGCTAAGCAGGCGGAGGCGGATGCTAAGGCTCAGGCTGAGGCAGAGCAGGAGGAAGAGGATAACTTGCTTGATTTGATTAGCGCTTTCGGACAGAATGAGGCGCCGCCCCCGCCTGAGAAGAAGGCTCCTAAGTTCACTGGAAAGAAATAGTGGGCTTTGGATTCGGTTGAATCAGGTTGTTCTGGTTTGCGCCGCTTGGATGGGAGTTGGGATTCTTTTTGTTTCTTTTTGTGTTTTTGATCTTGTACAATATACATTGGTGCCGGAAAGTGCCTGGCACTCGAGACCTTTCCCTTTCCGCTTTAGTGCTCACCTCTTGCCGCTTTTTGATCATTGAATAAAATTGAGTACGCCCCTGAGTGCTCTGACTTCCAGGATCAGGGTTTTGATCCCTACACCCCAACTTTTACTTCTTGCCACCCAATCAGTAATCATAAAATTATATATAATAAAATATCATCGTCGCAGTCTAACTAGTACTAATATTAAATAGCTCTAATACTACTTAGGATATTTATTACTACTACTATAGTTATCTAAAGTCTAAAATATTAAGATCTATAGATATATAATAAGATTTAATATTAAAGATACTAAAGTAAGCTCCTCGTTCTGCCTTGTCGCATGTGACCGTAATAAGTTATTGGCCCCTAGGGCCGTCTGTAAGTTGCGCCTAGCGACTGATTTATGGTGGTTGTACGGAGTACCTACATTCAGATACACTACTTTCTTTTCCGGACCCTTGATCCTAATACCAAGGGTTGGCCCCAGTGATAGCTCATGGTTAAGTCTAGTGCTAAGACCTTGTCGGACCCAGGTGACGATCTGCATATCCTCTTCTATTGGTTGAAGTGAAACGGCCCCCTAGTTCTGTGGTAATTGTTGGGGCAAGGTTGATTTCCGTAGCACACTAGCGACCTAAGCCTCCTTCTGATCGTTTCCCTCAGTAAGCCACTATTGTCAGCAAAACCTTACGCCTTGATGCAATATTCGTATCGACAGGGAGGCTTCCTGTTGTTTGGTGATCATGGCTTGCTGCTATTACCTAAGCACAGCTCTACGCCTGGGACCTCCATTTTACACTTACCTTTTATGCCAAGAGATCAACTGCGTCCATTGGGGGTGTACATACATATAAACCCACTAACCTCTATCTAATTGGTAAGAGTATCAAGTGATACCTAGTGCAATGATACAATGAATCATATACCAGCCTAGTATTTTCTAATGTTATTATGGTGCCGCCTGAGCCTCTCCTCGCTCCTTTCACTGCACACCCTCTTCACAATGACCCCCAATCCCCAGATAGAAGAGTCACAGAATGTGTCAAGGTCAAGCTTAGGTTCCTCTGTTGTACGTACAAGCAGCCACTCTGAAAACAACGAGATTCGCAATACAAACACCCCGGTACGATCAGATCCACCTACCGCTGTTCCGCACGAATCAGTCCCAGAACCAGCAAAGGAGCGGCTTGTTGTACCAGGAACAGAGGAAGATGATCAACACCCAGAAACAACATCAGGGGAATCAGGATTAAGCTCGCTCCTAAAATCTTTTGTTTGGGAGATCCTGGCTATTCTGTTGGCCCTGGGCCTATTGATCGCGATTGCGGTACTCTTGGGACGTTTCAATCATCAGGCCCAGCCCACTTGGAAATATGTCTCGCTCAACTCGGCCGTAGCGTGGTTGAGCACTATATCGAAGGGCTGTGTGCTGTTTGCCGCGAGTGAAGGTCTGGGTCAATTGAAATGGCAATGGTTCACCGAGCAGAAGCGACCGATTTCCGATCTGCGTACTTTTGATGGAGCGAGTCGGGGACTATATGGTAGCGGGGAGCTCATATGGAGTCTGCGAATGAAGTAAGTGCTTTCTAATTGTCCGGCCAGAATCAGAAGCTTAGGTTATTATGCAGACATTTTGCAGTTCTTGGGAGCTTTGCGGTCATTCTCGGTGTCGCCTTCCAACCATTCACTCAAAATCTTATCCACTATTACCCTCAACTCGTCACCGATGCCTCACAGAAAGCAATTCTGGCAAATAGTCGTATTTACGATGAACAGGGCTTACCGTGGAACAATGGTGAATGTATGTTCAGGTTGCTCCCTTCCCATTTGGACACCACTCATTCTTCCGCCTTACAGTCTTCTATCTCAATCCATCCTTAAAAGCGAACATCTACAATTCGCTGTTTAACAGTGATCCATCAAGGCCCTGGGCTATCCCCAGGTATGCTTGCAGTACGGGCAACTGTACTTGGGATCCGATTGCTACACTGGAAATGCAAGCCAACTGCAAAAATATCACAGATCACCTCCAAGTTCGATGCATCCAAACAAATGCCTCATCCACTGCTATCTCCGAGAAATTCAATTGCTCAATGTCTCTTCCAGGTGGCCCGTTGTGGAAAACCTACGGGAACATTTCTGTGGACTTTTTTTTCAACACATCCTATGGCACACCAGTTGGGATAGGAGCCGGCAATCCCATTTTTTATACGGATGAGGGTCTTCGTCCCATTCAACTCATTGGCCCCGAGAAACTTATTGAAGCGGGTATATTCAATCATGAGTCCAAATGGCAAGCGATAGAATGCGCTCTCAAACCCATTGTCCGAAGTTTCCGAGCAGAAGTCATCGAAGGGACCTATCAGGAAGAAACAATAGGCCTCTGGACGAATGGCTCTATAACATCCGACCCTGATGAGATTCCCGGATACTATGTACGGCCTACATGGGGGCCAGACATGGGAGCGGATCCCAAAAAGCCCTTCTACATCACAAGTCAGACAATTCTAACTATAGAGATCTTCTTAAAGGACTTTTTCGGGGGTCATGCGAGAGTCAGTGACAACAGTGTTCGATTTATTCCACAAGGCGACACGCTATATGCTGGTACCGACCTTGTGCAGGCCATCTCATATGGCAACCTCACAGGCTGTGAATCCAAGAATGTCGAAAAATTACGCTGCGCTATGGAGAATGTTGCTAAAGCGATGTCAAAGACCTTTCGGGACAATTCTTTCATGCCGGATATACCCCAAGAGAACCCAGCATCGCTGGGTCATGCAAAGTCAAATATGACATACGTTGCTATACATTGGCAATGGATCATTTTGCCTGCTCTGGTATGGCTTCTGGGTGCGATAACATTGTTGGGCAGTATGTGGAAGAGCCGAAAGGCAATGACTCCGATTTGGAAAAATGATCCCATGCCGTTGTTATTCCTTTACGAAACTGGCCAGGATGAGAATCTTCTAGGTCATGGGATACCGCGAAATAGCTCAAAGGTCATGTTATATCGAAGTGAGGGAAAAATGGTGCTAGATCAATAGAAGCTTTGAACCGACCATCAATCACAATTGACTTATACGCAGTGCTGCAAGGGCATTATGATGATGGCGAGCTATTTGATTTTAAATACAATCAGTGGGAAGCTCCACCGATCTTCTCCTATTTTGGGTCTGGTAAATGTCAAGTTCTTCAAGCTCTAGCCCCCTTGGTTATACTTTATTTGAGGATCAACGCCCTCTTCAAAATTCAACCCCATCATTATTGACCCTTAGTAAATAGACCGCCTTACGTCACACCGGGGGTTTACCGGGTATGGCCCCTCTAGCCCCCGTGCGTACAGGCTCAGCCGTGATGCGAATTGGTATTCTTGATATATTTAGTCTGTGAGCTTTCGGTGGATTACCTATATCATAAGAAGGCCGTTAAGTAGCTAATATAAGCTAAATCCCTTCTATTTTGTTAGGGTGGTTGCTGCTCAGCCGTTTGAACAACGTAAAATCCCGGGTATGTGGTCCTGGGCAATATCGGTCAGAGGGGCGTATTCTAATCATTCTTTCCAGGTCTGGCGTGCAAAGATCCCGCCCACTAGCGGGGAGACAATAGAGCCTTTGCTCGCCATTGATAACCCCAGAAGAGCTTTAGTAATGCTTCGGGAACCTCTCACTATCCTAGCGTATCTGAATCATCCCGTTATCAATACCCACAGGATGAATACTGTCAACCTAGTTCGTGAGGAATGGGGCCGAGCAGACGACGCATGGGAGGCTACCGGCCAGCCGATGGAATATGTGCAGGACTGGTGGGATGAATGGTTCCGAGACAGGTTGAAGTACATGGCTGCCGAGGTCCGCAAGTGGGTGGAAGAATGGGCGAAGAAGATGTCCCAACACTGGGCGGTTTGAACGGGCGTTCAGGCCAAGCAAGTAAATGAGATTTTGGCCAGTCTGAGGAGGCTTGCCTCGGACGCGGAGGTCGGTCACTCTGGATTGGATTAGAGCAATCTTCCGAGGTCTACACATAGCGGGCTTTGGGGGCCCTCACGAGGATTTACCCCCAGCAGAATTCTTTCTAGATAGTTCTCACTTTTTTTTCCCTGAGAAACATCTCAAGCCGGAATCCCTCGTTTCCCATGTACAGAGTAGAACGGTTACTTTTCCCTCAGGGGTCAGTGCCCTGGACCAATGGGCGATTAGGAGAGTAAATTAGCTTGGCACTGAAAAAATGGCAAAAAAAGAAGTCTAAACTGAAAAATCAAGGAAGAAATTGAGAACAGCCTTAAGGAGTACTCCGTAAACCGGTCGTGTTGGAAATGGGCTTCTGGACTAATGGTTAGACCGACCTCCTAAAGTCGAGAGCCCTTTGTCCCTTCTCCTTGGGAGTATGTGGGAACTTCTCATCCTTGCCTTTCTTCAAACTTTCACAAGATGGGTTTCGCTCCCTTCGCTCCTCTACCTGCACCCACAAAGGAGCTGTATGACAAACTAAAAGCTCATCGGACCTGGGGATATGTTATCTATCGCACCACCTATTCCCCTCAATCTGACGCCCACTTCTCCACTGTCGTCAAGTATCTCGAAGCTTGTATCAAAAGATCATTCTTCGGGGAATGCGAATGGAATAATAAGTCGTCGCCCGGGGTAAATCCCGTCCTTTACCAGGAGATCTGGGCGCAACATAGTCCAACCATCATGGAAGATGCGGCGCAATTCGATGGTGCCTCGCTTGATACAATACGCGCTCACTTTGAGGCCTGGGTCGATGCACAGGGTCAGCGCGATAAATTCAACAAATATCGAATGTGTATGATCATTGATGAGGAATGCCTGCAGACGCTGCTGGGCACTTCGGCGGAGGTCTTAGAGCAGGACACCAATAACGAAAGATACAAGACAGTGCGTTATGTGAAGGTCCTCGAAGCGTGGCCTGAAATCGATCAATATGACACCTTTCCGGGATGGATGAAATGTCGTTCGCTGCTGCTATGGGATCTATGGTTGATGATGTGCGATCTTGACGAGGTGAGAATGTCCTGGGAAAAGATTGATGCAGAAGATGATGGGGTGTATTGCGGTTGAATGGTGAAGAGTTAAAATTACTAGGAATACGAAATTTCAACTTCTATCCTAGCGCAACGAACAATACGTTGTGATATCACTCGATACAAGGCAGTGGGAATCAAATAATCGGCAACTTGACCCAATACTTGGGTCCATACTGATCATCCAAGTTAGCCCTGTTTTAGATCGATTTATACCTATTGAAATGAGAAGAGCGCGATGGCGGCCTGACACAGACAGGACGAGAAGACTACGACACTGAGGGGAGCAGTGGTGGGCACATGGGATGACCTATGAAGCCACAAGAGGAAACAGATGCTGAATCACAAGGAGTGTGTAGGTCGCTAAATCTCACTACTGGTAACATAGCAGAAATACCTCTCAGACCTAGTGTAGATACCTGAGGCATATATGGATCGGCGTAGGTACAGAGCAGATCTTGAACCCTGAGTCCTATAAGTCTCCGTGGACCAATTAGACTCGCATTCTGGCTTGTAGGCCTCGGGCCTTTTTTCACTTGCATCCGACAAGCTTTGCACGATTATTTGTGCAGAGCGAGTTGGAAAGGTATGTTCAATGGAATTCAGCGAGGGCTTAAACGTTTCTTGATCTTTTGGACCTGGCCAGTAAGAGCTGCGGTCAAAATTTGCTATTAAGATCACTACATACGTAATGCATTGGCAGGCGAAAACAGTTACTGAAACAAATATGAAGAAGGCTCGGGCACAGGGATGATTCCCGAGCCTACTCGTCATTTATGCCTGACGGTCTATGCATTGCACACATAGTAACAGGCCACATAGGCGTACGTGTCATTGAAACTGCAAATGGCTATGGCGCTAAATCGTTCAGCCAAGTTCTCTTTTCCACGAGTAACCTTCGGATAAGACGGCAACCGGAAACTCGGCATACTTATTACCTCACACCAGGCATGAACCTCACACCAGGCATGAACCTCACACCAGGCATGACACTGTATGGTATAAATTCTACATATCTGCGGTTGTCTCCATGATCCATGATCAAAAACTTATCAAATGACCACAATTGCAATTCAAAATGAGTCTCATTGATATCCATCACCACTTCGTCCCCGAATTTTATGCTCAAGGTATATCACAACAACCCCCTCCCAACAAGAATAAGATTCTGACCACATTTTCACAGCTGTCAAGGATGCTGGAGGTGACCCTTCTGGTTGGCCGACACCTTCCTGGTCAGCCGAGGGCGACATTAGCTTCATGGACAAGATTGGTGTCACCAAGGCTATCTTGTCGCTGACCGCGCCTGGAGCAGTCATCGCCCCAACGACCGAGAAGAGAAGAGAACTGGCCCGCAAGGCCAACGAGTTTGCTGCAGCCAAGCGTGATGAAGACCCACAGAAATGGGGCTTTTTTGCATCGTTGCCTTGCCTTCTTGATACTGAGGGCGCTCTGGCGGAGATAAAGTACGCCCTAGATGTCTTGAAGGCCGAAGGTGTGATTTTGTTCACAAGATACGGCTCTGGGAATCACTACCTTGGTAGCCCTGAATTCAAGCCTATCTGGGAGGAATTAAATTCCAGAAAGGCTGTGGTCTTCATTCACCCTACTCATCCCGCTGATACGACTCGAGTCAACCATCTCCTACCGCAGCCAGCCATTGATTATCCCCATGAGACCACCAGATGTGCTGTCGACATGATAATCACCAACACGAAGAGAAGTTATCCAGACTGCAAAGTGATTCTCTCCCATGCCGGAGGTACCCTGCCCTTTTTGATTACGCGTATCTGTACTGTGTCGAAGGAAGCCGCTGCAACGGCCCGCATTTATGGGAAATCCTCCGAGGAGATCATGGAAGACTTCCGATCATTCTACTTTGACTTGGCCCTCTCCAGTTCCGAGGCCGTACTCAAACTGGTCCTCGACGTTATTCCCCATGATCATCTCACTTATGGTAATGCTTTTTCGATCCTCCGTTGTAACTTCAGTTGCTAAAATATCCCGCAGGTTCTGACTATCCTTACGCGTCTCCTGACAAATCACTTGGCTTCAAGCAAATTCTAGACGGTTTCCCGCTTGACCCAGAGCTACGCGATAAGATCTACTTTGGAAATGCGGAATCTCTCTTCAAAAAACCACAGTAATATGGCACTAGGATAGTCAAGCAGTCTTAACTTTGAAAACGTTTGGCTCGTCGTGTGATGGAAGATAATATCGAAATTGAACTTCATGAATGATTAAATGAGCCATCTTTTTGAGACATTCTTCTATAGCTTTTCTTAAGGTGTATCTGAACTCGACGTGCCATAGTTCCGCGGTAACTACGGAGTATACTTCCATCAAAACAGTCATTATGATTACCGGTCAAAGATCAACCTCGGTTGTTACGTACAACAGTCTACGTATGTTGTACTTTGGTATCATTTTCGGTCCGACTGTGGTAGGCAAGATTGCCAGAAGCAGGTTAGGCAAATCACTAGTTTCCTACCTCTGGATCCACTGAAGTGGAATGCAATTGCGATGAACAGCACACAAGGCATCCGTACCGTTGAGAGGTCCAAGCACCCGGGATAGATTCCATAGTGATTCTCAAATAGTCTGGGGAATTTATGACTTTCATTGGGCGACAAGCGGACCTCGCGTACCCGGACCCCAAAGCTTGAATTTGGCCGCTTTCTGCTCCTCCTCCCAATCAGACGCCTGCTATCCCCAGATCCGCGGAATCGATGCCGAAATGCAGGATATCATGGCTCTGGACAGTTCGGGATGAGAACCGAAAGTATAAACTTGGCTCCTTTCTGTGGGGAATGACACTATTCCCCCGCGGTATACTAGATTCGGACGAGTTAGGAAACCCTAGCATATAGAGTCAAGAATGGGAGATATAGTTATAAAAGGAGGTGAACTGACTGGGTTCTTCGAGCAGCCAAACTACCAGGCGCAAGTTCTCTAAGCCTTGATCCAATCTTATAATAGGACATAGGAAACTTGCTTTCACCAATTCCAGTCCTTCCCCCACAAATATGAGCGACACGGCTTCTGGTGCCCTTCAGCCAAAGAACCCCTTCCAGCATTTGGAGTCAATTGAATCGGGTCCTCCTGTCCCATTGGAAGGAACAATATCTTCATCGTCAATGGAACCGGCTGCTCGCCAAGCTCTCGACTGTTCACCATGGAAGAAAAATGCCATGATCTTAATGATCTCATTTCATTCCATGATTTCTGTGTTCATGGCAGCAGGAATTGTGCCAGCAGCTTCTTCAATGGCAAATTCTTATGGCGTGTCCGTTGCTGACGCAAGCTACCTGGTGTCCGCTCAAGTAAGTATCTCTTCGGAATGGTCCCAGTGTAAATCGGGTCTGTTGATAAGAATACCATTTAGATCATACTCCTTGGAATAGCACCGATCTTGTGGATTGTCATCATGGAAAGATATGACCGCCATTATGTCCTTGTATTTTCGGTCCTTGCGAGTATGGTGTGCAATATCGGAGGCGCCCGGTGCGAGACTTACGGTAGCCAGATGGTCACTCGTGTTTTGACAGCAGCTTTCATATCTCCACCCATTGGAATGGGCAGTGGAGTGATAGCGAAATTATCTACTCCGGATGAATATGCCCAGAAGGTAGGATGGTGGGTTTTGATGACTATCCTCGGTACCCCGGCAGGTCCCTTTATTATGGGGTTCGTGGTGCAGCACTCTCGAGTGGAGTTCATATTTTGGATATATGCCATCATCAATCTCTTGCAAGCGTTGGCTTATATCTATCTCGGTGGGGAGACGCTTCGTGTCACAGTATTCGAGAATAATGCAGCAGAGGAAAAGATCTCGATTTTCCGAACGTTTGCGAATAGGCTACTGCCCAAACGATTTGATACGCGTCCGATGAGGATATCGGACTTTGTGTCTCCATTTCGCATAGCCAAAAACCCTCGGATCTTGATAGCAGCGCTAGCTACTGCTATCACCTTCTGCTATGCAAATATCGTCTTCGTGGTCGAGATGCCCCTCACCTTTGGGGAGAAATTTCATCTGAATGCTCAACAAACCGGTCTCCAATTCATTCCCATCATAATCGGGTGTGTGATTGGAGAGCAGATTGGTGGTCCAATGTCCGACTACTTCATGAAGATTTATCGAAAGCGCAAAGGCCGAGTCTGTCCAGCCGACCGCCTCTGGCTGACTTATATTGGCTTCCTCACTATCATTGCTGGGCAGCTCGTCTGGGGATTTCAACTTGAGAAAGCGAAAAACTGGAATGTAACTCCTTGTGTGGGAATTGCCATTGCCAGTTTCGGCAATCAGATTCAGTCTACCATCCTCACTGCATATGCCATCGATACTTCGCCCGGGGACTCTGCCTCAATCGGAGTGCTGTTTAACGTTATCAGGCTACTTTATGGTTTTGTTCGTCATTCTTCAACTCAGCACCTATTCTCTCGCTAACGAAGATGTTAGGCCGGCCCTTTCTATTTCCCACACATGTTTGATACTTTAGGTTTCACTGGTACGGCCGGGGTTATGAGTGGAATTGTGGTTGTATGTGGAATCATCCCAACATTGATTATCCAGGTTACCAGTCCACGGGAATGATTCCGCAACGAGAAAAAAACTTGAATTATGTGCTTTGGCAGGAAGGAGACCGAGGCAAGTCAAGCAAGTCAAGCAAGTAAAGTCCAAACGATCAGTGTATACTGGCTGTCTCAAGCCACCATGTCGGGCAGATTTGCCGGTAATTCATTCAACTTCCTCTTCGGCGAGTATTTAATAATAGTTTGCTCAGCCCACATTCCTCAGGCTGATATTACATCTACCTGTTTTTCATTTTATGTCTGTACTAGACCTCCCCAAAACCCACAAAGCCCATACTATGGCCCAACCCAACCCAACCCGCAAATAGGTTCGGCTCTAGGCCCGGACCGGGGCTCACTAAGTCCATAATGGGGGCCCATTGGACCCAATTAGCACCAAACGCTGTAAATATCTTGAAAGATTACTTACTCTATCTTGAAGCCCCGTGTTTAACTCTTATATCGTAGTAATATTTTATTGTTTTTATTAAAAGGCTTAATTAATAAGTCATTGATACTACCTAAGTTGAATTTATATATTACTTCTAAATTTACGAGAAAACGTGTGATTTGGATTATTTTTAAAATACAGAGGTTTACTTATATTATGGTGGTACTCCTAGACAATTCTGGAAGATATATATCTACTATTAGAATATTAAAATTAAGTATCTTTCGCGATATCTCGACCTCTGGGAGTTAGAATTTATCCAAAGTTTAATTATATATCTACTTAACTATTTGAAACTTATACTCTGAGTTTCAATCGCTATAAAGCTAGTAGGAGGTTAGAATACAAGTATCACAAGTCGTCGGGTTATAAGCGCCAAGACTCCCTTAATGGGCCATGATGGACGATGAAGGGCCCTTATATATAGCCCATCATAGCCTATAGCCCACTGCTGGTTAAGCCTCGGCCCCCATTTATGGGGTTTGCGGAGGTCAAGTCTGTACTATGCCTATCACATCCCCCTTCCCCTAATCAACATCCCAAACGCAAGGGTGTCTGTCATGTTATCACACAGAAACAGCATTACCAACATTCTGTAGCAGAGGGCCAGTGATAATTGACACTTAGGATGGGATGCTGGTGCATATGGAAACGGTGATCGCATTCTTGCTTTTTTACCATTCTATAATAACACGCAAAGGAGATGCTCTGAAATTTTCAATTAATAACGGCTCCTCAGGACGGTCTATTCTGATAACCCAGGCGCTCTACACAGGCTATGGTCTGTTTGTGATGACCCAGTTTAATATCGCGAGGTGGTGTGCACACGTGCAGAACCATCGCATCACATTTGCCTTCATCGTGCCACCCATGGCGGTGGCTTCTAGCCAAACATCCGGTGATCGAGAAGTTTGATTTATCAAGCCTGCGTACGATGACCTCGGGGGCAGCGCCATTGACTCAAGAGTTAGTGGGGGCGGTCTATTCCCGCATCAAAGTTGGAATCAAGCAGGATTATGGACTAAGTGAGACGAGTCCCCGGGGCCAGCTACATAGTATAAACGACCCTATAGGGGCTAATCCCTTCTAGGTATAGACTGCGATGGGCTGAATGTATCAGTGTTGCTCACTGATTGGACACGTGACTGATCTGAGCATGATCACTGATCTGAGTCCGTGCTGGCATCTACTCAGTGAGCCGGAGCACCCTCATAAAAGCGGCGGCAGATCAAATAGGAAAGCCCACACGCCAGGGCAAATCTGGTACGTATAGATACCTATGTCTGGTATGAGCCTGCTGTATTATACCAAGAATTCATCTTTTCCCTCATCCATGCTACATGATAGATTTTTTGGTAGTCTTTAATACATTCTTATAATGTGCCAAGCGGCTTGTCTATTCAGAAAATTCGATGGTCATGTCCCAAACACAAAGAAATACTAAACTCGTGCATTGGCATCCACCACCTCACCTCAGGAACGTTGGACCCAGGCGCAAAGTACCAAACTCGTGGATATTGCACTGCTCGATGGGAGTAGTATATAATTGACATCGACTCAAGGTCATGGGAAGATGCATGAATACGGGACAATATACCTGACTAGGGCAGAGAATAAATTTATTTGCTACAGTACGCGAACGGTGGTATTCGGAATGAAGCGGAAGTAGAAAAACACAAAACTTATCAGCTGGCTGGGAATCATCATCAGTTGCAGCGTGACATGAACAAATATCGCGAAAGCCCTGGAGGATTGTCCCATAATGAATACAAGTCAAGGCGAGATAAAACGGCGCTAGGTTCGAGATTGTGAAAGAGCGCCCGGGTTAGTAGGATATCAAGCGTCATCCTCGGCGGGCACTGCCCCGGATTCCGGGCCTGACCCTGTGGGTTCTGCTGGGGCGGATGCATCGCCCGCCTCGGGTGGTACATAGTACGGAAGCCCTTCCTCGCCAGCATCTAGACGCATGAGGAATGTCTCCCAGAGTTCGATCAACTGTATTTGGGGTTAGTTGGATGAAATGGATCCGCAATAGTTTTGGGGGGGGAATAAAGTACCTCTTTCTGAGCTTCAACTGCACTTTCAAGGAATGTTTCCACGCCAGACTTGAAGTCCTCCACCTTCTCCTTCTCGAACCGTTGGAGCTCGCTTCGCATGAGTCGGCCCATATCCTCGAAGAGCAACCGTGTTTGGTGGACTTTACGCTCTGCATCTGCGACGTCGGCACTGGCTTGGTTCAAGCGGTCTTGTTGAGTCTTGCCCTGGCGAAGTAGCTTGTCTTGGGTATTCTTGCGCTTCTGCAGGTCGGACTCCGCCGAATGCCAGGTATGGAAGGCTTTTTGCCTCTGCGTGAAAGCCATCTTGACACTGCCAATTAACCGGATATATTCATCGATTGTGATTCCAAGCGTCAGAACATCCTGCTGCGCTTGTCGATCATAAAGTTCCCGAATGCGCAATTGAAGTTCTGACAAGCCTTCCAATGGAGAGGAGAGGGCAGGAGACAGCTCGACAGCAGATAAGGCATGCAATGAGCTCGAAAAGTCGCCTGCGGCCTCGGACAGTCCCTTTCGTTGTAGAACCACAGTGTCCATTGACTTCAAAAGAGCCTTCAGCTGGTTCTCCAATGCATCCAAGTAGACTTTTCGGTCGTGGAACCACTATCTATATGTGAGCAGACGAGGCCGAAATGTCAGAAACGATTCACTTACATCGTCGTGTTCCACAAACTTGCTTCCTCCTCCAACGGAGATCCCAAAGGAGCTCAGCATTCCCTTGCTTGGGCCAATGTCGGGCTCTCGGTTTTCCTTATTCTTAACATCAACGGTGAAAGCTTCACTTTCCAGGAAGATTTTAAGATCGCCATCATTTTGAAGAATGGGATGACCGGCAATCTTGTTAAGCATTCGTTCCAAAGCAGCTCTCCTCGATTCTACAAAGTTGGTATCGAAGCGGCCGACTGCCTGCTTCTCGGGCGGAGGTGCAACAACAACTCCGGGGTTATTGCCGTGTAGGGAGTTATAGAGCCAGAGGAAATCACGGTATCGGCGGCTGACGGTGAACTCAGGTTGACGATAAGCCTTAGATGTTGTCTATCCATGCCAATGACTGTCAGCTTTCTCTTTTTAACCCCTAGCTTTCACGTCCGTGTGTTTCAATTACCTTCGTCGAAACTTGATAAACAATGTGACTACTTGTCAGGTCTCCCACTTTGTGCGGATCTCCAACATAGATCTGGAAAGTCGGCTTCGCAGCCTGCTCCACGCTCATGCTAGGCTGTGTCTGTCTTTTTGGTCCATCGGTCTGCACCGGCGGTTGCACGGGAGGGGGTCCTCGGAAGCCCGCGCTCCCCTCTTCTGCATTAACCGAGTCCGTTGCTCCCACTGCGCCGGTTGCCTGGGAGGGAGAGGAGATTGGCCGTGCGCCACGTCCGGCAAATGGTTCCTTCTGGGGTGGTGCTGGTGCCTCGTCTGTGGGCGTTGGGGTGGCCTCGGCGGGCGCCTCTCCCAATGGACCGAGAGGGTCGACGGAATCATCGACGGATTCGAGTTTAGTGGCTTGCGCGTTGATCTTGCGTGTTCCTCGTGGGCCTCTTCTTCCTGGTACGCGTACAGCGGGCGAGCTGTCTGATGCGGGGGTTTGTGCAGCTGCTGTATGGTAGAGTGTGCTTAGTGAGAGGTCGTTGAAAGAGCGGGACAAGCCGAATAGAACATACCAGCTCCCTGAGTTCCGGGTTTGGAGGAGTCATCGCTGGGCTTGAACTGTGAAGGCTCATCTGCATCATAAATCAGACTGCGATTCAATGAGTTGTGGTATCACGACTGCCTACCGCCCCACGGAGAATCTCCAGAGTCGAGATCCATTGTTACCGGTACGAGATTGAAGCGAAATAAATGTGACACCGACCGGTATATGAATCAAATTAAGATTAATGTTGGTTCAATCGGAGCTTTGAGGATGTATGGAGTTGGAGAGGGAGCTGGTTGGAGTGGAGGCTGATCCGCATCCTTAGTCACTCACGGGATCCAGTCCACCCCATGTGGTATTTCCCTGACTTGTTCAACTACTTTGCCATTGGCACTACTTTTTGATGAGCTGGGGGATATTCATTTATATTTATGTCAAATCCAGTCCATTCGATGTCACTCAGTACCCAATGGCCTCCATACAGCCCCTGGCCAGTTTGTTCTAAGTGTCCATGTCGCACTACGTCACATCATTTCAATTGGAGCTTCTTAATGCCGGGGTAATCTATCCACGAGTTTCCAGTAGCTCAAATCACTTGGCATAGAGGGGCCACTAGAAAGCGCGCAGTATCTATTTGACCCACGGGAGGCCCAGCTTGTGCATTTCAACAGCCAGCTGGAAGATGTAATCCAGACTCTCACATTGAGTCTTCGCCTTGGCAGTGTTATCACCCCAGACGTAACTACAGGAATCAGCATCAATATCACATGGGGCGAGAATACTATCACTCACATTCCGTGCCTCCGGACAAGTACCGCGTATGTGTCGGGATACTTGTTCATGGCTGCCTCCAAACCGCTAGTGAGGTCTTCTTCAAAGGCGGTGTTTTCAATAATAGGAATTTTCAAAGTATCGAAGAACCCAAGCATGCCCTTTCCTTTACCGCGTGGAATACCCTTGATCTGCTCGATGTTGCTGATCTCGAAGCAAGCATCGGGGCCCTTTTCCCGCTCTACCAGCAGCGTAACTAGAACCGCCCATTGCGAGTGGGTGTGGATGCAACAGCCAGCACCCTGCTCAAAGGCAGTCAGGAATAGTGGGGTACAGGCGGAGGGGTTGAGCTTGAGGGGCTTGCGGATGTAGCTGCGGTCCGAGGCAGGGTACTTTGGGGTGGGCCATTGGAGCACGAAGATGTTGTCAGGCTTCATCAATTCCTTCTGGACTCCAGATGGGGCGATAAATATGTGGTCACCTTGGCGGATCGAGGTCTAGTATTCCATCAGCGGGGCACTGTTGCACTTTTTTTTCCCTTGCAAGTATAAGCTTACACCACCTCCAGTGCCGGTAACCCATCCCCAGTTGTAGAATTTGCGGCAGAGCTCTGGAATAAGGTTGGCTGGGTGTTCGGGGTCCTCAGATTGGACCAAGTGGTCGTTGTTCGTTGCGACGGTTTGATCTGCGGGGCACATGATGGGCTGCGACAGATGAGCGTAAGCTAAGGTAGACAATTCCAAAGTCTGGAGCAAATGTAAGACAACTTACCAATTTTGCTGTTGTCCAGGGGAAATGGGCTATTTGCGCCGAACGTGCCGAGTAACCAATGGACGTTTGGGGGAGAGAGAAAGTAATTGGGGAAATCTGCAGACAATAAATATTCGTACAACGGACTACAATACATATTCGGCACATTTGATATCGCTCGACATTTCGCAATTCTGCAAGAAGGTATGTATAGTCTCTGACCTCTTGAAATATCCCTTCCATTGAAAAAACAAAAAAACAAAAATAAAACAATCCTACTAGGAATTGAAATCCGAACTAGTTAGTTAAGTATTTCGGGGTTGTTGCCTGAGGCATAAAGCATGTGTCACCTATGGACTCCCCAAGGATGGTATCCCGAGAATGTTCGGGTGATAGTCAAGAAATACACAACATATATTCAAGTGGCTTAAACCTATTTGGTGCTATACAACTGCAGATATTAAAGAAAAATATATGTCTAGTTCTAATGGAATAGAGGGTTTCAAACGGCTTGACCTCTTTCGGGCTGTATAGGGAAAAACTAAATAGCACGTCTTCGCTATATTGTATAGATTTGCCGAATTGAACCATCAAGGATCAACAACAAGCTATTGGGTGGTGTTACTAATGAGCTACATAGTCCTATTAGTTTGCCTAATGCTACTTACTGCATGTACTCTGTACATACGTAGATGTATTGGACGGATATAATCCATCATTCATAACAATAAACGTTTGAGTGGGGGGAACAGAATAATCGGGGAGATCTGCACTGGGACAATACATTTGGGAGAACATTGTACCTGGATTCAGCATATTAAATATCTCGATACCCGATAATTGTTATACTCTAAATATGAAATAAAAGAGATAGTCTCTCATCTCAAATTGAAAATAACTTCTATATTTACTTCAATAATAAGCAGAAGAAATCAATAAATAGATATTCTATGTAGAATAAGATCGAAACTTGTGTGTACACGCCCTAGTCCCGATTGGGGAGCTTAGTGAAGAGGCCACCTGGACCTTCCCCCAGCGTCCGCTTTCTATAAAACCACATCTCCTCTTTTCGTCACTTTGGTGCTGTGCGCTCCACTTTCATTCCTTCTATTGTTCACAATGCGCTTCAATACTGCGTTAACATCGGCTCTGGTCTCTTCCGCCAGCCTCATGGGTTACGCCCATGCGGAGGAGGAGACTGCAGATGCCACTGTCATTGAGAGACCTACCTTTACTGTATGCATCTAGTAGCTCACCCTCTTCACTCTTCTTTGCTAACTCGTTCCAGCCTACCAGCCTCAAAGCTCCCTTCCTGGAGCAATTCACAGACGACTGGGAGTCTCGGTGGAAGCCTTCCCACGCGAAGAAGGATGACAAGTCCGAGGAGGAGTGGGCTTACGTCGGTGAATGGGCAGTCGAGGAGCCCTCTGTTTTCAAGGGCATCGATGGCGATAAGGGTTTGGTCGTGAAGAACGTCGCAGCTCACCATGCCATCTCCGCCAAGTTCCCCAAGAAGATTGACAACAAGGGCAAGACTCTGGTGGTTCAGTATGAGGTCAAGCCGCAGAGTGAGTCATGACCGTTCACATTTGCTCGCGTTTACATGTGCTGACTGAATTGTTCTCATATTAGACTCCCTGGTTTGCGGCGGTGCCTACCTTAAGCTCCTTCAGGAGAACAAGAAGCTCCACCAGGAGGAGTTCTCCAACGGCACCCCCTATGTCATCATGTTCGGCCCCGATAAGTGCGGTGCCACTAACAAGGTTCACTTCATCTTCCGCCACAAGAACCCCAAGACCGGCGAATACGAGGAGAAGCACCTGAAGACTCCCCCGTGGCCCGCACCAACAAGGTCACCTCCCTCTACACCCTGATCGTCAACCCCGATCAGACCTTCGAGATCTTGATCAACGGCGACTCTTCCAAGAAGGGCAGTCTTCTCGAGGACTTCAACCCCCCCGTCAACCCTGAGAGGGAGATTGACGACCCCAAGGACTCTAAGCCCGCCGACTGGGTCGATGAGGTCAAGATCGCCGATCCCGAAGCCACCAAGCCCGCTGACTGGGATGAGGAGGCTCCCTTTGAGATCCTTGATGAGGAGGCCACTCAGCCCGCCGACTGGCTGGAGGATGAGGCCGACAGCATTCCTGACCCCGAGGCTGAGAAGCCCGAGGATTGGGATGACGAGGAGGATGGAGACTGGCTCGCCCCTACTGTCCCCAACCCTAAGTGTGCCGATGTCTCTGGCTGTGGCACTTGGACCCGCCCTATGATCAAGAACCCCGAGTACAAGGGCAAGTGGGAGGCTCCTCTCATCGACAACCCTGCCTACAAGGGTGTCTGGGCTCCCCGCAAGATCAAGAACCCCGCCTACTTTGAGGACAAGACTCCATCCAACCTTGAGCCCATGGGCGCTATTGGCTTCGAGATCTGGACCATGCAGAATGACATTCTGTTTGACAACATCTACGTTGGTCACTCCGTTGAGGACGCTGAGAAGCTCCGCAAGGAGACTTTCGATGTCAAGTTCCCCATCGAGGAGGCTGAGGAGGAGGCTACCAAGCCCAAGCCCGAGGCCAACGAAGAGGGTACCACCGCCACCTTCAAGGAAGATCCCGTCTCCTTCGTCCGTCAGAAGGTCAGCCACTTCGTCGAGCTCGCCAAGGAGGACCCCATCTATGCTGCCAAGACCCTCCCTGAGGTTGCCGGTGGCCTAGGTGCGCTTCTCTTGACCATGATTCTCCTCGTTGTGGGTGCCATCAGTGCCAGCAGCCCTGCCCCCGCGGCCGAGAAGAAGGGCAAGCAGCCCGCTGCTGCTCCTAAGGAGAAGAAGGGCGAGGCTGTCAGCTCCTCCACTGAGACCAACAAGGGCGGTGCTACCAAGCGTACTACCCGATCCTCCGCCGAGTAAATGCGATAATTGGAAACCAATTATACGCAGAAAAGAATCTTAACCCATAAATCCAACCAGCGAAGAGATTTGCTGTGTCTCGGCCGATGTAGTTGTCAGAAGGTTCATGAAGAACATTGGAGGCCCGATTTGTATACTTCTATTTCTACTTAGTATCCACTTTCTCGGAAACAATCACCTTGCCTTTGGCATAACTAAGAGATTTTATCCCTATAATGATGTGCAAGAGGTAAAGTAAAATATGAGAAATGGGAGTACCTTCCTAATTGACTTGGTCACTTGCCTACATACGTCTAGTACCAACGCGATAGTTCGGAAAAACAATATACGCGATTAGACGCCTCGGTGATTCGAGAGTCGCATGGGAGCCTGTGATTGGCTACAAATACCGAAATGGTACCTTATCTGGGGGTCATTTGTACAACGTGGGGAATGCCCGCTCTATGACTAAGGGCGGTTGACCTCGGGCCTGGGGTAACCTTAGATATATGATTCCCGAGGACCCGAATTGTCCTTTATATTTCTCTGTGTCCTACTCCTCCTGCTTTTGTTTTCTTTTCCTACAAGTCATCACTCATAATTGAATTCATCATGGCTGCTTGTCGGTCCATTTCCCGTTCCATCCCCGCTCTCCGCGGAGTTCCCCGCACGGTGGCGGTGACTGCCAGAGCTGCATCTTCGAGATCTCTCACTACTACTTCACTTGCCAGTCTGGCCTCCCGCAGAACAGTTGTACCCTCCACATCACTCTCTGCCACTCGTCGCTTGCACGCAACAGCCCAGCGGCTCGTCACCGCAACCACCTCAGCTGACTCCACCGCTACTGAATACCCAACAAGCCACCAAAAGATCACCAACCCCATTGACACAGCTAACTTCATTGACAATGAATTTGTGTCATCCAAAGCAACCAAGTGGATTGATCTCCATGATCCTGCCACCAACAACCTGGTCACCCGTGTGCCTCAGAGCACAGATGCGGAGCTGAAGGCCGCTGTGGAGTCGGCCGAGAAGGCCTTCCCCGCTTGGAGAGCCACCAGCATTATGGCCAGACAGCAAATTATCTTCAAGTTTACTAACCTCATTCGTACCCACTGGGACCGATTGGCCGCGTCTATCACCCTTGAGCAGGGCAAGACCTTCGCTGATGCCAAGGGTGATGTTCTCCGTGGCCTTCAGGTCGCCGAGACCGCCTGTGGTATCACCACCCAGATGACCGGCGAGGTTTTGGAGGTAGCCAAGGATATGGAGACACGAAGCTACCGCGAGCCCCTTGGTGTCGTGGCTGCTATTTGCCCCTTCAGTAAGCTGCTTATATCAACTTTTGCAATCTGTCCACATATATGCTAATTATTACCAAGACTTCCCTGCTATGATTCCTCTTTGGTCTATTCCCGTCGCTACTGTGACTGGTAACTGCTTGGTCATGAAGCCATCCGAGAGGGACCCCGGTGCTGCTATGATCCTTGCCGAACTTGCCAAGGAGGCCGGTTTCCCTCCCGGTGTGATTAACATCATCCACGGCGCTGCCCCCACTGTGGACTTCATCCTTGATGAGCCTGCCATCAAGGCTATCAGCTTTGTTGGTAGCAACCGTGCTGGCGAATATATCTACAGCCGTGGCTCTGCTAATGGCAAGCGCGTGCAAGCCAACTTGGGTGCTAAGAACCACGCCGCCGTCCTACCCGACGCTAATAAGAACCATGCTCTGAACGCCATTGTCGGTGCTGCATTTGGTGCTGCTGGTCAGCGCTGCATGGCATTGAGCACCTGCGTTATGGTTGGCGAGACTAAGGAATGGTTGCCTGAGATCGCCGAGCGGGCTAAGGCCCTGGTCGTGAACGGTGGCTTTGAGGAGGGTGCTGACCTCGGCCCTGTGATCAGCCCTGAGAGCAAGAAGCGTATTGAAGACTTGATCACTAGCGCCGAGGAAGAGGGTGCGACTATCATGCTGGATGGCCGTGGGTTCAAGCCCGAGAAATACCCCAACGGTAACTTTGTAAGTCACACCACAGAAAATACTCTGCTATAGAGCCTAAACTAATTATACCTCTGCAGGTTGGCCCAACTATCATCACTAATGTCACCCCCGATATGAAGTGCTACAAGGAGGAGATCTTCGGTCCTGTTCTCGTGTGTCTCAACGTCGAGACCCTTGACGACGCTATTGATGTGATCAACGCCAACGAATACGGCAATGGTGCTGCCATCTTCACCCGCTCCGGCTCAACCGCCTCCAAGTTCCAGAAGGACTGCGAGGCTGGCCAACTCGGTATCAACGTGCCCATTCCCGTCCCTCTTCCCATGTTCTCTTTCACCGGCAACAAGAAGAGTATTGCCGGCGGTGGTGCCAACACTTTCTATGGCAAGCCCGGCTTGCAGTTCTATACCCAGCAGAAGACTGTGACTAGCTTCTGGAAGAGTGAGGATGCGATCAGCAACAAGGCTACCGTGGTGATGCCTACTCACTCATAAAAATCTTGGTGCCTGTCTCTTGCTTTCTTGATCTTCTTTTAGCCTATCATTCGCATGGTAAAATTCGTCTTTTTTTGTTAAACAAAATACACGCCTTATGGATCTCCATGAATGTATCTGAACCATATGCTTTGTTATACAACGCATCATTCATGCATATGGACATGAATGACCAGATTGAATGTGCATGCAGTATGTTAATGATATCGATTCTCAAAAATGAAACAAACCATACTCCCTGTACTTCATCCTATCAGCTCGGCTATAACATGTCTATGATGAAAGTTAGGAACTCTCTAGACACGAATTATCATCAAAGTAAATTGGCAGGTTGAATGCTAGTATATTGACCTGTAGTTTAGAGCAAACTAAGAAACCGAAAACCCAAGGTAAAAAAAGATAAAAAAGCCTATATTCAACACACCAGTATCATCTTACTCCTCAGACTTGCGGTCCTTGAAAGCGTAGACAAGTCTACCAGTAGCAACCTTCCCACCCTTAGAAATAACAATGCGACGAGTATGACGTCTCTCTCCACCAACAGTCTCGAATCCCCAAACCTGCTCGGCAGTCCATCCATTCTCCTCATTCACCACCCAGCTGTGCAAAAACGCACCCTCGCCCTCTTCAGCAAGGAAGCCCTCACTCTTGGATCCATCAATAAGGGTCTCTCCAGTCAAAAACTTCTGTACCTTGGCATCAGAATCCGCCGAGCCGGCCTTAGTCTGAATCTCGATAACAGGGCGCACAGCGCCATCCTCACTCTTAGCACCGGCGATGAAGCGCGAGCGACCCTTCAGCTTGCCGAAGATGTGGTCAACGTGCTCGCGCTCTTCCCAGTCAAGCTTGCGCTCTTCCTTGGTGCCTTGGATGCCGCCTGTGATTACTTGCTGTGCGTCGATATGGGTAAGACTGGGGTTCTCTGCGTCTGCGTACTGCTTGACGTAGATTGTGACTGTTGCGTATGAGAGTGCCTTGCGCATGACCCAGCCCATTCCTTGCTGTCTTTTTGTTAGTAATGTTGCTGGATAGGGGTTTTTATGCATGGTATAATGCAGGGCGGGGATAATTGTTCTGGTTGTGCTTTATATGATTGGCGGGAAAAGTGTGACAGGGTTGAGACTTGGCTGTTTTTATATTTGTGGTAACGTTGGGGGAGTTAGGGCTTGGAGGGGTGCATACCAAAGATAGAAGGGGGTCTGTTGGGTTAGAGTGGGTTGAGTCCTGTTACACATAAGTATTTTGTTCGAGAAATTGAGTTGTGTATAGCCATACCATCTCCCATTTTCCACTCAGGTTCTGGATAGTGACATCAGTAGGGGCGGCCATCTTGAAGGTTGACGTGGTTGATGTATATAGTCGGTGAAATGCGGGGGGGAATATGGGGGAAAGTTGATCAGAATTTCAATTGAAGGGAAACCGGGGTAAAATGAAGAAAAGACAAGAGCTTTCAAGCGATGTCACCTAATATATATAGTTGTCTTGGTCAAATGAATTGAAAAGGCCAATTGCGTCAATTGCATGTGTTCGTTCTTGAATCCGAGGCTTGAGGTCACCTGATTTGCTGACTGTACATGTGATTGAGGAGAGTTCGGTGTTTACTATACTTAGTGAGCTTCAATCCAATCATGTCTTTCAATAAGAAATACGCCGGTCTTCCTGACTTGGTGAGCCAATGTTAACTGTTGATATCCACTGCAATTTCCACTGACCGTGACCCCAGGACCCCTCCCCAGACATATATGAAACCCCCGACTTGACCGACGAAGCATCTACCTTGCCCGTGAGTCCGCCAATTCCACAAAGAGGTGTCACCGGGCCTGACCACTGACCCTTTCCAGACTGCCACTATCCGCACAGACTTCGACCATGATGATGCTGGCTCAAACTCCGATATCGACCGCGAGGGTGTCAACCCGGACCAAGCGCGCATGCACTTCATGGGCGCGGCTGTGGATGCCCGCGATGTCAATTTCTCAGATACCATTTCTCAGAAGCGCCAGGCTTATCGGAGTAAGAGTATTAGTCGCCGCCGTCGGCGGAGACGTGAGGATGGGGTAGAGGAGGTCGGCGACCTGAGTGATAGTGAGGACGAGTCCCTTGAGCGGAGACTCGCGCGGCTACGGAGGGAGGTCGAAGACCTCAAGGTGGAAATGGCCAACAAAACAGACGGCGCAGAGACTGGAAATGGATTGTCACTGGGTCCTGTAGCTGAAAAGTCAGGAGAGAGCCTAGATGACGGCGTTGCGGAGCTGAGCCGCGCTCTGGACAATCTGCACGCTTCGCGAGGTGCAATGAGCTCATCGCACTCGGCTGCGGCGTTGCTATCCCAGAAACTTGCACCTGAGACTCGTCCTGCTACAGACCCAAAGACACAACCCTCAACTGAGACATCAAAGGCAGTCTCCGCAGTGGGGGCCCCAACTGCATCCTCGGCAGGGGTCCTCTCTCACGCGGCAGCATTCGACGGTCGCCTAGCGCTTCTTGAAAGCTCAATCGGTATCTCGAGTTCATCCAATCCCTTCGTCGCCGACGGCATCAACGACTCAACATCACACCCGGTCCTCCCAGCTCTGGACCAACTCACCTCCCGCCTCTCAGCACTCACCGGCCTTCTCGTTGGCACAAACCCAACATCCGCAGTGCCAGGAGTCCCCAATGCCGCGCCAGGGATGACAACCCCACATCTGGAAGCTCTCTCCACCCGAATCCGAAAGTTAACCACCGACGCCGAGGCACTCACTGCTGCCCGCAGAAAAGCCTTTGAAGCCGCAAAGGCCGTCCACAACGCCCGTCTAGCAAGTTCCGACGCCGACGTCGTCCCCGCACTAGAAGCATCGACCAACGACGACCACGCCGCTAAGATCCAAGCCCTCTACACAACCCTCCCAACCATCCAGTCCCTGCACCCCCTGCTACCCAGTGTCCTCGAGCGTCTGCGCTCCCTGCGCGCCTGTCACACCGGTGCAGCCCACGCCGCAGATTCACTCAACGAGCTCGAAAAGCGCCACGCCGAGATGGCGTCGGAGATCGAGCAGTGGCGCGAAGGTCTGACGACCGTCGAAGAGAAGATGAAACAAGGTGAAGCTGCTCTCCGCTCTAACGTGGAGACTGTTGAGCCCTGGGTGCGTGACTTGGAATCTCGTTTGGCGCGTCTGGAAGGTCCGCCGGCACTGTAATTCATTTCTTGTGTCTACTTGTTTGATCTGCTCCGGGCAGAGGTTTGATGAATAATACCCAGTTGCATGTACTTGTCGAATGTTGAGGGCATATTGTAGTTATCTTCAATCATTAATATCAGTTCCATACCAGATGGGGTTGTTAGTTTTAAATAATACCTAAAGTACTATAATATAAGTGTGGACAGAATATGATCTATTCCTATACTAAATGGGATCCCTCCCTCACCCGTCTCAAGACTTGAACCCTCGGTCTCATCTTGACCTCAACCCACCACCCACGCAATAAAGAATCCCTCACATAATCCCGCAGACCCTCGAACAAATCAACAGCACGCGCACCAGCAATAGCACTAATGACACGCCGCTCAGCAGTTCCCGTAGCAGGAGTCCCAGGCTTCAAAACCGATATCCCCGCAAACGAATCAACTACATGCACCCTCTCCCAGTCAGAAGAAGGAAGCGCACGCCGAAGACTTGTCTCGTCAGCATCCATAAGCCCATTTTCCTCATCCGCCTCAACAACAACGTAATCAAACCGTTCCCAAAACCCACTTGTCGACTTAACAGCCTTGTCTTCAGTTTTGTCATATACCCACCCCGACGAAGGCGGTTGTTGCAAGAAACGCGTTACGCCCGTTTGACAGGCGAGGTTACCCAGATAAACGTTGACAGGAAAGTTGGTTCCAGAATGCAACTTCGTATCGTGTAGGATACTGTGTTGATGATGCATAGCGTCAATAGCCTGGCCACCAGGGTAATTCGCCGCAGACGCGGGAAGAAGCACAAAATTCGACAGACAGAATACGGCGAGAGTCGAGATAGCCAGGGCGCGTGTCGCCAGACGGGCGAAGAGAGAGCGCGAGCGGTGAGTCCAGAGATACCCAGCGCCGAGGGCTGCTACAGCCGTTAGGGAGGGGATGATGTAGACGATGAAGCGCCATTCCTTGTGTGGCTGGAAGCTGTAGAGGGCGACGAAGGAAAGCGCCGGGATTAGAAGTGCCAGAGCGGGGGGATCGTGTTGCTGGTTGGCGGAGGGCGACGGGGATGGCGAGGAGGTAGATGAGGGGATTGAAGAGGAGACGGGGGAGGGCGTTTTGGAAATAGAATGGCCATGGATCTGTGCCCCATTCTGAGGATTGGCCTGCTAGGACATTGAAGCGGAAGGCTTCGAATTCGGGCCAGAGGGGGAAGATTTGCCAGAAGGTGCTGTCGAGGTAAATTGTGAGGGCTAGGCCGGTGATCAGGCCGACCAGGCCTGCGATTATGGTGTGTTGGAGGTTAATTCGTTTTGTTGATAGGAGGAAGAGAGTCTGGGTTCCGACTAGGAGAGCTAGTTCGGAGCGGAAGACTACGCCTGCGACGGTGAGGAGAGCGAGTGCAAGGCCGCATTGATTTTGGTCTTGGGATGTTGGTACAGGGCTTGGGAGGAGCAGACGCATTGCTAGCGTTGTGATGCCGAAGGCGAACATGTTTGATAGTGGCCTTGAGGCGTAGAACATCAGGTGGAACTGGCTTGCTTGGAGTAGGATATACCAGACAGCTGCTGGCTGACCGAAGCTACGACGTAGGCCTCTTGCATAGGCTACTAGAGCGGAGGCATTGAATAAGCCCAGTATAGCGCGAGCTGCATTCCAGTGTTAGCTTGGTTGAACGTATAGCTGTATAGATCCACGCTGCGCACCTAATATCTGTCGGTTGATCCCCTCGCTCAACAAGATCACGGGCTTCGAGAGCATAGCGAGCACCGCAGCGCCAACAGCACTCCGGGGAACAGCCCCCGGGAAAGAGAAGTGATCATAATCGGCGCGATTGAGATTCAGGTCATTAAAGCCATTTGGTAGCCCGTTGGCCAGGATATCATGTACGGCCTGGACGTGGAACGACTCCTCGACTTTGGTGTATGGAGCAACGAGGAGATGGAGGAGAATTAAGGCTGGGAAGAGAAGAGCAAGAACCGCGAATGCTGTATGGAAACAATTAGCTTATCTGATGTTATTATATAGAAAGCGAACGAACCATATCCCATGGTGACTGCATCCGAGAAGAGTGTTATCCGGAGATCTGGCGCCTCCCGCACTTCACCTTCAACATCTTCCTCCACCCGCAACGATGTTTTTCTTCGGTCTTGGGAAGCTCTTTTATGGTATGTACCGTTTATCCCCATTCTTCAGCTCATACTAATCCTAATTCTCAGTCGTCGTCCTCATCATCAATGCGATCGCCGTCCTCTCCGAAGACCGCTTCCTAGCTCGCGGTACGTCCCTCCCCAGCTTCACGCCGACTAGAAGATAAGAATCTAATGAACACCTGCAGTCGGATGGGGTCGCACACAAGCCGAGCCGGGCTTCGGTGCAACATACGATAGCACAAGCGTGAAAGCCAAGTCCGTCAACCTGATCGCCAGTGTGCGGACCGTGATGCGGAGTACGTTTCCCAACCTCCCGCAGCCCAATATAAGCAGAGGACTCTTGCATCCTGGATTGAAGCAATCGGGTTCAATCTTGAATAAACCGCAAGCTGTTCTGCTTCTAAAACTTTGGGACTCCTGCCAGACACTCCAGCCATAGCCCGACGGAATAGCTAACACATCCGCAATCCAGTACCCCTTATCGTCATCAACACGGTCATCATTGTATACGAGCTGATTCTTGGTTAAATTCACTTTCTCGCCATTTCGGAGAATTCCCTCATGGATCCGTCGCGATCAAGCTCATAGCTACCCTACTGCCCGTCAACCTACATAACTGCGCTGTGACCTCCCCCCACCGACGAGTCATTTACAATCAGACACCTCTATATCATTAATGACGCCTAGCGAGACATGCGGCACGATCCACACGAGAAAGGAGCACACTGGGAGCAGAGGAGTGGAACTGGGTTACGTGTAATAGGACCTGAACACAGCGGCACTGCCAGCCGTCTCCTTTATGTTGCGTTGGGTGAAGTACAGGGATAATGGTGGCGTGCAGCGAATAGCTCATCTTCCTCTCCAGTTCGTTTGGGGTTTCTTCTGGCCTGTAACCTATATACCCACCAGAATGCTAGAACAGCAATGGACACATGATCGAGACGTAATTCGTGGGAAGTCAAGGGCAATGGTGTTGTGTGATTGCGTAGCAAACCTGTAACTTGTATTTGTCCTCTTATTCGGATTGGCGATTAGCCTTTCGCCAGGTATAAACCGACCCACCGCAAGTACGAAGAAGTTGGAGGAAATGCTAAAAAAATGGGAGAAGATTCGCTCAAGACCTGAAACTGAGATGAAGAAACAGTTCGAAACGCCAAATCCAAAAAGAGACCCACGCTCGTCAGCAAAAGAGAGCAAACCCAAGACGCCTCTTTTCGCAAACCTGCCAGGCTTCGGTCCTGCCAGTGTTGGTATCCACTGTTATACATGATCAAAAGTGGCAGTGGTGAAAAGCAATGATAGCAAGAAAAATACAAATCAAATAGCGAGGAAAAAAAGCCAAGAGAGTAACACAGAACGAATGTGATCTGAGATCCAACGGAGTCTAGAAAGACATAGCTGTGAAAATACCCCGCTTGAGGTGGAGGATCTCCACAGGAGAATGGGAAGATGGAGAAGCGCAGATCATAAGAACATGATAGTACATCCGTTAGAGGAAGCTATGTGCAGAAGCAAAAATTTGCGCTCATATGTGCAAAATGATAAGGGGTATCTCCGGGAAACTCGGGCTGAAGATGTGAGATGAAAAGCGACAAGTGCTGTCTGGAAGAGAAAAAAAAAACACAGGTTGTAGTTTAGGACACTTTCTTGAAACTGAAAGATCTCCATCGAGCCGTATGGCCGGGCTTCGTATGGTTGATGTGTTGGTCTTTAGCCAAGGGCTCGGGGGCCCGAATAGGTTGGATGGGTTGCTTGGGGTTGGAGATAGGTGGGAAGTCTCTTGGCGACGAAACTGGTGATTGAACTGGCTGGACCTGGTGAATTGGCTTGATCGGCTGAACTTGTTTGTTAAATGAGTGGGCCGGTTCTGCCTCTTTGAGTGGTGCTTCTGGCACAGCGTCAGGAAGAAGCGGTGCTGTCGAGAGATCCGATGTTGAGACTCGAGGCTCTTTTTCTTTGCTGAGTCGTTGACTGAGGCTGCGGCTGCCTCGTTTCAAAAAGCCGAAACTGCTCGACTTTCTTGGTGACCCGTTCTCGGCGGCGAAATCGACCGTGTCGGCCCTGCTGGCTTCGATGGCTCTTTTCAGTTCCTCTGCTTCTCGTCGGTACATTTCTCGGTTGTGTAGATCCTGCTCTTTCTGTCGATTCTTTTCGTTCTTATCCTTCTCTTTCTCTAGGGCACGACGTTCCTTTCGTAATTGGTGATCGCTCTTCTTTGGGCTCAATGGGGGAGCTGGTTCGTCAGGGATCGGAGGGAGAGGTGGTTGAACGGACCGCGGCGAAGCTAGATAAGGCTCTGAGGGTTCTTCTGGGTAGGTAGAGAGTGGGGGTGCTGTTGGGATTCGACTGAGAGGAGTGAAGGGAGCTGTGTTTTCAGGAGGCATAGGTGCACTTTGGGCATGAGCTAATGGTGGTGAGAAGGGAGAGCCATTAGCCTTTCCGGCCTCGCCTGCTTCGGCTGCTGCGGCGGTGGCTTGGTCCTCTTGCGCCTGCTCTCGCATGACAGCCTCTAGAGTTGTCTCTTGATAGAATAGAACATAGGCACACGCCAATCCGGGTCGGTCTCCAAAAAAGTTGCGCACGTAACTTTTGTCAACCGGCTCTACGAGCTCGTCGTCGAACAGCAGCCAACCACGGTCCTCGGTCTTGATGATGGCAACGTAGTGGCCGTGATATGGTCCTCCACCAATGTGAACAACCACCGCATACAATTCATAAAGTCGGTCTGGATCTTCGGCATCGTCTGTGGTGTTAAACAGACGAAGATGGTAGGGATAGACGACACGATGGAACAGCTTCTGCAGTCGCTGCAGATCCTCTGTATATTTGAAACGCTTCAAATGTAAAGCCAGCACGCGGGGCAAACGTTTGATTTTCATCCGCTTCTCCGCTTCTTGCAGTCCACCACAGTTGTCGCAGTGGAATTTATTCCGCTCACAGAGCATCTCCTCAGCCGAAAACTTTCGGAGACAGGAGGTCACAGACGAATGCTGCTCGAGATCTACCGATAAATCCAAAAAGATCTCGTCTCGCTGGGAGACCTTTTCACACGTGAGACACTTGGTCTCGGACGTCAGAGTTCCCTCGAACAGCTCATGAACCCACCTCGTCGTATTTGGCGACTTCGAGCCCGTGCTAGCTGTCAACATGCCCAACGAGTCCGCACTTTCTGTTGGTGGCAAAGCTTTGTCTGCGAAAGCTTGCTTTGTAGCCTCAGTCTCAACATTAGCCACCACCTCGTTCAGGAGCAAATTCAGAAACTCATGTGCGTCCTGGTGCATGGCAGTCCGGAACATTTCGTGTTCTCGTCGTAGAACGTCCAAAAACTGTTGCGGGCGAACGATACCAATGCGCGCTTGGCTTGCCACCACCGATTCGAAGATGTCCTTGAGCGAAGTGAAAAGAGACTCCGACATGCCGTAACTGGACGCATTGTTCTTGGTTTCCAAAATCGGAAGGGTCTGCAGTGCCACTTTCTTCTTGTATTCGGGTGATTCCTTGTCCTCGGGCTTCTGATTGGGATTTGGGGGTACACCGGCCTGGCGCGCGGATGGTGGCGAGGAAGCCTTTTGTTTGGCAGCCAGCGCCTCGGCTTCAAGGTGTGCATTTGGATTCTGGTAACGTAGATTCTTTGCGAGCGCGGCCTCGAGACTTTCCATCGGTGTACGTTGCGGGTAGTTAATGACGGCTTCACGGAAAGGGACCGAGTAGTAGAGACATTGCAGGATTGAGTTGCAGTAACACGTGTTTCCATACTAGATCAGCGGGTTACAGTCAGTGATTCGATCCAAACAGATTCCGGGGAAGCCCGTGACTTACATTTTCCATTCCGTAAAACTTGTCACTCCCGTCTTCACGAATGGATCCCATGTCCTGTAACCGCTTTTCTAGTGGTGAGATCTGCGGTACCTGGAGGTCTTTTTTCACAGGTGGCGCCGTGGCCGGGGGGTTGGATGCCTGCGCAAAGTGACGAGTTCCAAGTCAGCGGTCCCATTCCGAATGGTCTCACGGGGAGCCCGAAGCATCTGCTGTGCTACCAGGTTGAGAGAGCATGGCTGTAGGGATGGTATCACTCACCCCATTCTTGTGGCCCTTGGAGAAGAGCTTCATGATGGCTTAATGATCGGTCGCACTCTGCATTGATGCAATTCACAGTGTTTGGATGTAAAGGTGATGGATCGGCATAGAAGGTGAGAAAGAAATGAAGCGTGTCCGGGGAAAGTGTTGATCACATAAGGTTTCTGGGGGGTAAAATGAGAGAGAGAGGGAGAGGGGGGGGAAGACGGGAGAGAATGATGAGAGATCCGAGTTATGGGGTAGAGAGGAAATAGATTAAAGACCAGAGACAAGGAGGAAGTCTGGAATGGACCCAATTTATTTTAGCTAGTGACCATATATACATGTCAGTACGGAGTACATCTATACAAGTAATACAAATGCAACAGAAACATCCAGAAAACCCTACTAAGACCACAACATCTCTATCTCTTGACCTACCCCATTCATCTTAGTCTCTTTTACTCCACGTGGAGACCTAAGGCAGGTACTCCAATCGCCGATTTTATATCTTTTCGACTCATTTAGTATACACCGGCTATACCGGAGCCCCATCTTCAATTCATTGGCTACATTTTCCCCCCTGGCGGAGTCCTCTCCACGTCCATGGACTCTCTCACACTCCCATCTCAACCAAAGAACTTCATCGTGATGATTGGTTCTAAGCCGCCCTCGCTCACGGGCCATGTGTCCGCCCCTCGCATGGCGTCGATATGACCAATGATCGTCGCCGTTATGGAGAAAAGAAGGTGGCGGTGGAGTCTGCCCCTTCCAAAGTTGAAATGTGAGTTCCAAGGTTGTTCCTTACTTGAACTCTGTTCAAATGTGACAGGGGAGGCATCTCGGACCGCTGGATTCCATCCCAGAGGCTTACATGGGAGACACTGCCTACATAGGTGCTTAGGTGCCTGCCCAGGTGCCCAGGTGCCCAGGTGTTACCGTCAGCCTCTTTTTTTATTTCAAGTCCCCCTTGCGGCCCTTGCGGGGTCCAATAGGCGCCGCAATAAGCCATTCCTTTGGTACCACGCACGTTCCTGCCATGGGGGGATAATCTGCCTAAGGTGGCCTCAACATCTGATCGAAACCTTTATAGAGATCTGATCACTCCGCCAATGAGCATTCGAAAGTAACTCCGTTGCTCACTCTGCAGTACCCATGGTGGGGGTGGCGAGGCTCTCAAGGGGCTCGGTAAAAAGGCGCATGTTGGGGAGATAGGAAAGCAATCTACGGAGTATCCGCCTTTATCGGATGACGTGCACTGCGGAGAATCTCCTTGAGCGATTTATTGTTTCTATCAACTGGTAATGTACGGAGTACGGAGTACGAAGTACTAGATACAAATCCTCGTCTCCATCACACACATCTTAAATATACTGCATGACATACTGCCTGATATCGTCACGTACCATCGGAATGTAAGCTAGGCGCCCCATCCCAAAGAGGAAAGAGAATCTCCCATTTCCCAACACGAATCTTCTACTCCGTGAATGATCCGGGGAAGTCCAGTATAACCTTGGCCTTGAGGCTTAATATTTCATGATTGCCTTGTCTTTACATCTCTGTTAGCTACCTGGTACATCCGCAATAAGTAGCCCCGTAGATATATTCAGATGAAATGGAGTAAAATGACAGATACATAGAAGATTATTTATGGGTATTGATCTGACCACATAATCCCATATGGGTGTGTGAGTGATATCTCTAGGTACAATGTTGTAGAGAAGAGTTATGGAACATGGAAGGCTTTGTCCGGATAAACTCTCGGATCAATAGTCCTGAAACAGAATGAATCTCCGAACCAGAAGATGCCTCAGGAGACCAGGACATGGGATAAACCCAATAATTTTGTCTCGCGCCGTTCTTTTTATGCCGTCCATTCCTGTTCCTTTGCGCTCTGTACAACGAGCAATTGCCAATCCATTTGGCCTGTCTCCTATTTTCCTGGCTCAACGTCCGTCCTTGACTCATTGTCCTTCCCTGCACCGACTCATCTCAAATAAAAATAATATCTCTGCCCCCACCATCCCCCACCAAGTTTATCCCCGCCGCACTCGCCAGTTTTCCTCCTCCCATCGCTCCGCTGAATCAATCATGGCCAAAGACAAGGGTTCCTCTTTCAACCTCAAGACCCCCAAGGGCACCAAGGATTGGTCCGGCTCCGATGCCCTCCTCCGAGACCGCATTTTCACCACCATCGCAAACGTCTTCAAGCGCCACGGCGGTACCGCACTAGACACCCCAGTCTTCGAGCTGCGCGAGATTCTAGCTGGCAAATATGGCGAGGACTCAAAGCTCATCTACGATCTGAAGGACCAGGGTGGCGAGATCTGCTCGCTGCGTTACGACCTGACAGTCCCCTTTGCGCGCTGGCTCGCCATGAACTCCGACGTCCGCAGCATCAAACGCTACCACATCGCCAAGGTCTATCGCCGTGATCAGCCCGCCGTTAGCAAGGGCCGCATGCGTGAGTTCTACCAGTGCGACTTCGATATCGCCGGTACCTTCGACGCTATGGTGCCCGATGCCGAGATCCTGCGTATCGTCAGCGAGGTCTTCGAGGAGCTAGGCTGGACCGGTCGATACACTATCAAGCTCAACCACCGCAAGATCCTGGACGGTGTCTTTGCCGTCTGTGGTGTGCCCGAGGACAAGCTCCGCCCTATCTCCAGTGCCGTCGATAAGTTGGACAAGATGCCGTGGGCGGATGTGCGCAAGGAAATGGTCAATGATAAGGGTCTTGACCCCGAGGTTGCGGATCGTATTGAGAAATACGTTATGCACAAGGGCTCGCGCGAGCTGCTCGACTCTCTCCTCAAGGATGAGACCCTCATCGCCAATGCCTCCGCCAAGGCCGGTCTCGAGGAAATGGCTTTGATGATGGACTACCTAGAGGCATTCGGAGCGCTGGACAAGATCTCATTCGACATGTCCCTTGCCCGTGGTCTCGACTACTACACCGGTGTCATCTACGAGGTTGTCACCGAGGGTTCTGCTGGTGTGCAGGCCGATACCCCAGAGGCACAGAAGGCCGAGAAGTCCAACAAGAAGGGCAAGGCCAAGCCCTCCGAGGACGACGACCGATCTAACGACCCTACCCTCGGCGTTGGCAGTGTTGCTGCTGGTGGCCGCTACGATAACCTAGTCGGCATGTTCTTGCCCAAGGCGCAGATTCCCTGTGTCGGAATCTCATTCGGTGTCGACCGTATCTTCTCTATCACCAAGGCCCGCCTCGAGCGCGAGCAAAAGTCCGATGCCCTTCGCAACAGCGAGGTTGACGCCTACGTCATGGCCTTCGGTGGTAAGGGCTTCAACGGCATGTTGAAGGAGCGTATGGAAATTTGCCAGAAGCTGTGGAGCGCTGGTATCAAGGTAAGCCTTCCGTCAATATTGCCACATTCGAATAAATACTAACATACATGTCTTCAGGCTGAATTCTCCTACAAGCTGAAGCCCAAGCTGCCCCAGCAATTCAAGGCCGCTGAACAAGGTGCCATCCCCTTCGGTATCATCCTCGGCGAGGAAGAGCTCGCTGCTGGCAAGTGCCGCATCAAGGAGATGGGTCTGCCCGAAGGACACCCCGAGAAGGAGGGTGTCGAGGTCGAAATCCCCTCCCTGGTTTCTGAGCTGCAAACTCGTCTTGCTAAGAAGCAGCAGGGTGCTGTCTCTTCTTTGGCAGCCCAGCTGCAGGGTACCAGTGTTTAAGCGATTAAGCAGTGGGTCTGCATATTTCATTTTGTTTTCCTTTAGAGCGTGTTTTTCCAGAGGGGTTCTCTGTTTCTATAAAATTATGTGAATCACTTGCATTGTCGGGCTTGGAGCTCAATGGCCTATAAAAAGGATTGGGACGTTGTCTTCGAGATAAAAGAACTAAGGATACTTTTTCAAAGATTTGGCTTGATGTCTACAGTGGAATTACCAATACCCCATTCATTGCATTTCCCTGTGTATTGGTTATAAGTTATACATTATGGCCAGTGGCATATATCATGACTATTTCTCAAGACGATTGTTACTACATTTGGAAAACAAAGGTACAACACAACTTGGTATAGGAAAGGCTTGCATATAAAAAAAACTAGAATTACAATACAGAAGAAAAGCCATACATATACACACAAACGAAAGAGAAATCCTAATATCCCTCCGCGTTCTTCATCAAGAACGACTTGACAAAAGGCAACCGATCAACGACTCCCAATCCAAGACTGCGCGCCCAAGCAACAGGCCCTTCGCCAGGAACATTATACATCTTATGTAGGAGATCACAAGCGCCCCCGATCTTCGCATTGGGCAAGTACCGCTCACTCGAGTATCGCTCGAGAGTGAGCAAGTCACCGACATCCATACCATGCGAAACAGCGTACTGAATAGTCTTCGATAGCGAAGCAACATCCGCCAGGCCAAGGTTAAGGCCCTGTCCCGCGAGGGGGTGGATAACGTGCGCTGCGTCCCCGACAAGCGCAATGCGCGGCGAGACATACTGCGCCGCGTGCCGGAAGCGAAGCGGGAAGGACGCGACTGTTCCTGTCTGTACGGCTGTTGCTGGGGGAGGGATTTGGGTTGGGAGAGGGGTGTGTTGGGCACGCCAGGTGAGTTCGTCTTGGTGGGAGTGGGTTGAATCGGAGGATTGCATGCCCATCATATAGTTGAGGTCCGTCATGTCGAGACGGAAGGCTGCGTTGACCATGGCGAGGAAGGCCGGGGTTGGGAGGGACTTTAAGTAAGCTGCGTTCTCGGGGGTCGTTGACCAGACGAGGGTTGCGTGGTTGTTTGGCAAGGGGAGGAGAGCGATTGGGCCGCCGAGAGATGGGAGGAAGCGCTGGTAGGCTGTGCGCTTTGAGGCTGGGAAGGGTTCGGTTGCTGGTTCTGCGAGAGCGAGGGTTGCGACGATGCCGTGGCGGTCGTAGTCCCAGCCCTGGGTGGGGATGTCTGCGAAGGAGCGGACGGGGCTGTTAATACCGTCTGCGCCGACGAGGAGGCGGGCAGCGATGCGTTTGGGTGTCTCTGTTTCTGCGGCTGGGCCTGTGGGCTTGACGGTGAGGACTGGCCAGGCTGAGAGGTCGGGACCTTCGGGTTTGAGGTCTGAGCCGTTTTCGATGGAGGCGACTGTGGAGTTTGAGAAGAGGGAGAGGTTCTCGTCACCAGAGTCAGCGATTCGGCGCAGTAGAGCGCGCACTAGGTTTGCATTCTCGGTCATTGTTGCTACAGTGCGCATGTCTTCGAATGGCGATGTCTCCATTGACCAATCGAATGATATTCGGGACCCGGTTTGGCCGTCCCAGACCTGCATGTCCTGGTACTCTTGCACACGGTTGACATCGAGGTGGTCGTAGGCGCCAATGCTACGCAGGAACGACACAGTCGAGGGAGTCAAGCTACTGACCCTGTTGGAGAACTGATTCGGTTCGAGGTCCCAGGCCTTGGCTTTGCGGAGATCTTGGCTCTCAATGAGGGCAACTTTGAGCTTTGAGGTGATAGGTGATGCTCCTGTAGTAAAATTGCATCAGTACATCATCAGTACATGTCTTACTTATCTGCATTGGGTTATGCATACGAAGCGCGGCCAATAACCCTAGACCCGCGGGCCCGCCTCCAACACAAACCACATCGTAGAGGTCAGGGGAATCGGATTTAGAGCCAAATCGCCGCCGACCGGAGCTGATGCCATGACGGCAGGTCGGGCAAACATACGGCCGAAGGACAGCTCTGGAGATTGGACGCATTGTGTTTGGTGATTGAAGGTTGAATCGGATGATCGAAGATAGACATGCAGTGCAAACAGTACAAACAATATTAACCGTGCATACAACTCCGGGGACGTTTACATGAAGTTAAGACCGTTTCTAGTAGTAGCTTGAAGCAATGCCAACATTTCTCTGAATGAGGCATAGTTCCTGGGTGATTTTGAATGAAACTCTAGTCCACAGTGTGATGCATTATGCACTACCGGAATCTCACGTCTTAGCCTTTCAATACATGAAATTTCATTTAATCGCTATTTTTACTTCAAATGCCTGACTTTGTTTGATTCGCCTAACTCCAGATCTGAATAACTAAAGAAGTATGATGGTATTGCGGGTATGAAACACAGAATAAGCGAGCGAAAGAACACAGACATGAAGAGCTATGTCAGACTCGGTCTGGATAATACATCAAGCACGCTGAGACCGAGATAGCTAAACGGCTCCGATAGCAGCCGAGTCAGAGTCATGCCCAGGCTCGGCTTCGCCCTCCATCTCTGCTACAAATCGCTCCCACGTAGAGAGGACACCTTGGTAGAAATCGATGTGCGCATCCGCAAAAGCCCCGAGTCCATCTCGGAACTCGACTGCTTTGATACGTTCGAAGTCCGCGACTTCGCGGATAACCTCCTCGTCGAACATTTCTGATGTAGTCTTGGCAGACTCGACCTCGCGGGTCAATTCGTCAATGCGAAGCTCAAGCTTCCGCACACGCTCGCGGCGAGACTGTTCATGGTCGACACCGCGCATGTCCTCCATTTTGGAACGGATGAAAGATGCTGGGGAGGAGGTGAGCGGGTTTGAAGCGTAGTAAGCAGCTGGGTTGGCAGCCAAAGAGTCGCGTTCGGTCACAGCTTTATTGCGGTAATCGACCAAGGCCTCGAAATCAAGCTGTTTCTGCTCGCGTGTCTTCAGCAGGGATTTGAGGGACATGATATACGATTCAGTATCGCGCAGCGAGCCCAAATAGTTCTGGTCCGTGTGGTCTTTCAGCCCGCGCATCCCGCGCGCAGTCTCTTCCACGGAAGCTGCAAAGACCTGTAGTGGCATCTCAACAGCAGGCTCTAACGGAACGAGTTTGCGGAACTGTGTTGCCAGCTCGGCATAGTCTGTATCTAGATCGGATTCACGCCGCGCAACCCGTGCCACGGTCTTCTCCACATGTGATAGGTCTTCGTCTAGCTTATCGGCCTTCTCTCGCACCTCGATAAACCGCCGGTCTGGCTTGTGCACTTTAGAGAAGGCGTTGACAAAGGAATCTGTAAGGTTATCGAAGATACCAGTAGCCGCACCATCTGACCCGGTATTTGTTGACACCCGTGTTGAGTGCAGGCGCATATGCGCATTCCAGTCCGACGATTCCAAGAAGATGGTGAGAAGAGGAGCGCGCCGAAGCACAGGGTGAAGTGTCAGTCGTTTCAAGAATCGGTGTAGTGACCAAGCTCGTCGCGTTGTAAACTCCGGCCCGAACCGGTCTCCCCGCACGTACTCCATCTTGTGCTTGTCCGGCAGCGGCGGCACCGCGCATGCCGGGTATTCGCGATAGAGGGTCTTGTATAAGAAGTAAAAGTCGGTAAAGCGCCGCCGAACAGTAAAGTCGGGCTTCTGGAAAGATTTGAAGTCGGTCTAAATATGTCAGTTATGGTCCGTTTGGGGAGATATAGATGTCGAGAGGTCTAGGCAGCAGTTGCACCTCTACTCCCCGACAGCATATGCAAAGAAAAAAGCATACATGTGTGGTAACCAGATACGAGATATATGCGTCTTTTGTCCCGTCATTTTCTTTGAGCGGGGAGTCAACTCGGCACTCAAGAACGCCATCGCCGATGCCCGCCAGGTCAACGGCGTCGGCTAGCGGGCCAGCTTGAGGCTCTTCTTGGGCGGAACTCATTCTCCGCTTGCCATTGGAGTCGTGATGAATGTCACTCGTTTCTGCAGCCTCTGTGCTTGCAGTTGTCGGCCGTGAGACATCACTGTCGGGATCATGCTTCCAAGACACACTGTCAAAGTCGTCATGTTGATCCATCGTGGGGGTTTATCGGTCGGCCGTGGTCAACCGGCTGATATTTGTTGAAACCCCAGTAATGCCGAGAACTTAATATCTGCAGAGAATGTTTGATCAAGAGTGATAGGGACTGAAAGGGCCAAAGAGGTGGAATGGAGGGGGAAGTTTGGAGGTTGGAGCTGAGTTCGATGATCGCTGTTCCCCAGGGCGGAGTTCCCGAAGCGGAACGTCATCGTCGCTTTATTATTAGAATCAACAGTCTACACCATTTGTTTTTATAATTCTCATAATTCCTTGAGAATTGCTTTAAATATGATGAAATTATCTTTGTATGCACAGCACGCTTTTGGATTACTGTCGAACGCTATACAACCTGAGCATAGCATCTCTACCTTGTCTATTCCTAGTGACCGATGCTCTCCCATTCCAACGAATCAATATAGTATATCGACAACACCGAACAAGCTGAAAAGTGACGATTGACATGAGATCAGGGTTTTTCCCGATAGGAGCCATCGTGGGATGATCCATCTTCGCCATCCTTTTCCCGGATATTGGCCGACCCATCACGATACGGCTCGTCATCATCATCACTGAACATTTCCTCATCACTCTCTCCAGCGAATGCATTATAAAGTTCACCACCACGACGCTGTGTTCGGCCAGATGCTCCAGTCATTGGTTGTATTTCATCCTCGTCCTCGATCACTTCGAAATCGTAGTTGTCGTGAGCAGTGGTGCGACGACGCTTGACTCTTTGTACCTGGAAGTAGACACCCAATCCAATGAAGAAGGTAATGATCATGGCCAAGGATGCATAAATCCAAATTTGTGTTCGCTTCGAAGCACCAAATGTGGGAAGGTAAGAGGATATATAGCCTGATCCGGTAGAGGAAGGGGATGGGGTTTCAGCTTCACTTCCAGTAGTGCTGATGGGCTTCTTCTCATCTGCAAGTGGCTGCGTAGGCTTCGTAGCTGATGGCTGTGGCTTTGAGTTCACAGGCCGGTCGTGGTGGTCACCCGGATTGGCAGGGGTTGCGGTCTTTGTTGGAACCGCCGTAATGCTAGTCGTGGCCACAGGAGCATCCTCATAGGGATGGTCGTCATCATGCTCGTCTGGCAGAGGGTGAAGCTTTTGTTTAGTCCCGTCGATGGCCTCTCCCCATAGATTGAGTCGCCAATCAATGAACGTGCCAGAGTGTTCATTGACATTGGTGTCTTTCACAATGACAGACCAATTGCCAATAGGAGATTCACCCCTGAGAATAAATTAGCGAGCCATATATTATGGGATTGGAAGGGAAACACATACCAATGAGCAACAGACATGAAAGTCCAGTCGTCGTACCCGACCGCCATGTCATCCTTTTCGCGGGCAACACTCAGATAGCTGACGATTCCAGCAGGGCTGTGTAGCTCAACGCTGATATCACCGCGGCGGGTGTGGTTGACATTCATAGTCACAGTGACATGTTCCAACTTGGCGATGTTGGCCTTCTTCAATTGATCATCAGTCACCGCATAGCGACTAAGCAGACCCTTGTCGCCCTGGGGGATGTCCTGGTGCACTCGCAGCCAGGGCGAGTGGAGCCACGCTTGCGGCTTCACAAGGTCCCAAGTCTTAGCAAGCTGGACCATGGTATATGTATCAACCTTTCCAAAACCCCAGTCATGGCTGAACTTGCGGCCAGAGGGCAGATCCTGCCAGCTACCGTCGTCCTCGCTCACGGGGACCGCCGTCTCCACCATCAAGTATTGTAGATCACGCCAAGTGAGCTCTGGGCGCGCGCTGAGCGCGAGTGCCACGCTGCCGGCGGCCAGCGGACCAGCTGCAGAGGTACCACCATGCCCAGAGAAGCACTTGTTAGCCCCCACATCGGTAGTGTGGATATAATCGCCGGACCCGCTACTGTATGCGACCACAAGTTGGGCCGAGCAGGACTCGGAGTAACTGGGGTGTTTTCCTTCTCGGTCAATGGCACCAACTGTGATACTGTAGATACTGTTGGTATACCCATCGAAGTTGCAGTTGTCCCCATATGCCGCACCGTTACCGGCGGCAAAGACGTAGATCGAGCCTTTACCCCCTCGGCCCTTTTGGATACCGTTGGTCATGGCTCGCTTGATTAAGATCCCAGGCGCATCCATGGTAGCACCATCGTCGACGGGGCCCCATGAACATGAATATATGTCATTCTTTTGGTAACCGAAGTTGATGGCTGCCGCTTCATCGACATCATCGATGGGTTTGGACAAGATCCGGATACCGGCTATCTTGCTGTCGTACGCCACACCAACTCCACAAACATCGTTCTTTGCCGCCGCGATCTCGCCGCAGCATCGAGTACCATGCTTGTCGTCAAGGAGAAGAGGGCGGGGATCCGGGAGATTCTCGTTGAAATCCCAGGAGCCCTCCGGGAGGTAGTTGGGCTTGAGGTCGTTGCTATCCATGTCCAGCCCATCATCGACAACTGCAGTGGCAACGCCCTTGCCAGTTATCCCCTCCAACCACAGTCCTGTCACATTGAGATCGTGTCCGGGCTGCAATGTGTTGACAAGGTGCCATTGTTCTCTGAAGATCGGGTCAGTGATCCCTAAAGATGACATGGCCTCTTTCTGGAAGGCAACGACCTGCGCATTTTCCTTCCTCTTGTCCAGCGATTTATAGGGTACAGAGACTGGTGGAAGTCGTTTCTGCAGTCGCTGGCGTGCTGGAGCGATCTTATGCGACCACAAGATCTTGTCTAGGGGATCATCACCTGTCCCGCGCTCATCGAGTCCGTCCCGCCGCCGAAGCTTTCGCCTGGTCCGCAGGTCTTTCAACAAAGTGTCAAACTGAGCCGTCTCTTCGCGCGGCAATGAAAAAGTGTGATGGCCATCTAGTTGACCAATCTGGCCCTCGTGGCGTGCACCCAGGATCTGTGCAATGTGGGAGGGGGAGGTGGTCTCGTCAAGGTGGAGGGCGAAGAAGTCACGGGTCTCTTGAGAGCGAGGATGTAGGTCTGCGGACACGGAACCAGCAAGGCTCAGGATGGCAGTTATGCCACTGACAATGCGCATGATGAGGAATCGATCGTCTTGAAAAGATATCAAGGGAGGGTTGAGGTTCGAGATATCTAGCAGGCGGGTGCCATCGATAGTGCCGGACCGTTGAATAGCAAGTCGATGAGTTGTGTGGTAAAGGGTGTAATTAACAAAGAGAAAGTAAGCTCCAAGATGTTATTTTCAAGGTTCCAATAATTAGTTGTTCATAGGAGGTTGTAATAATGCAAGACACAATGTTCCAGGCAAAATAGGAGGATCGTCAGAGGCCACCCACACGGGATCCTATTGAGTCTCGATTGAGCTTGGCTTAGTTTATTCGGACACAAGCCTTTCTTTTATTAATTATCAAAGAAGTTTTGAACCGTTAAGGCCACGGTTTCTACTCTGATACTCCGCATATTACCGACTAACCTCGATAGGTGCGCCGATACCTAGATGCCTAGATACCCAGGTGGCTTATTTGATTACGTAGTAGGTAGTGGACCCGGGGGACAGACGGGCTTAGGCAGACGTGGCGATCGACACATGCTAACACAGAGCATTATATCGGAGGGACTCAGTATTTTGTATTTGAGTGCTCACCAACTTATAGGAAATTTGAATTCAAAAGCCCCTTCAAGAGCATAAGACTGGCTATTCTTTTTCACTGTAAACCTCTAACTGCTTTATGTTACGTATATTTGAGCACGCTCCTTATATGTACCGGGCTAAGTTTATTCCCAGATCGGCACGACACAGGCGACATGTATGTACGGAGTACTCCGTAAGCATAAGCATAGCGCTGCCTATTGTGTATGAAGTACACCGTATATCAGAGGGATTTCGCTAAGAGTCGCCTTGCTTCTACCATAGTCAATTGAGGAAGACGGAAAAGAAATCGACCCACTATCTATTCTTCAGTACTGCATACATAAGAAATTCATACTTTGCCCAGATCGGAGCATCGATTGTTCATTCTCAGCAAACAAAATGCGTAGTTCAATTACCTGCCTGAATATAGGAAGTTTTGAGTATATATAGTCTATCTACCCTCTACGGAGTACCTAGTACGTGATGCTTAACTCCGCCCGTTTCCGACATTACATAAGTGGGATCGTTGACCTCGGAACCTAACTGCATGTAGGTACATAGTTACTCCCGCCTTCCCTCCGCATCTATAGATTCACTCCGTCATGAGTACTGCTAAGAGGAGATATACCGATGAATTTGATACCCAACCCGCAGCTCCTAAGAAGAAGACCGTTCGTCACCGTGTTACCTTAGCCTGTGAGGAGTGTCGCGCACGCAAGAGGCGATGTGATGGTGCAACACCAGCGTGCGGTGGATGTGTTAAGCGCATATCTGTGTGTGTATATGCCTCTGAAATCCAGGCGAAAGAATGGCGGGACAAGTATGTATATACTAGATGAAACTCTAATTCTGATCGTTCCTAGCTAGACGCTAACCGGACACTTAGTATGATCCATTCTTTGCGGGCTCGTTTAGAAGAGCTTGAAAAAGAGGACGATTCGACGCTGGGGCCTGATAGAATCTCTCGTCATGATTCCCACGTCGCTACCTCAACTCCATATCCTGATCCAGGGATTGAGACCGGTGGTGTCGAAGATGTTCAGCCCTTGAGGTCGCCAGAAGTGACATCTCAAACTGTCCTCCCTTCTGTCTTTCAAGACCAAGTGCCTCTAAGAGCTGATGCACCCTGTGTCCAGACACAATATGTTATCTCTCCTAGGCCGAGAAGCCCGCACGACTACAATTTGAGGGGTTTAGAACCATGTAGCGTGGAAAAGTTGATGAAACCGATTGATCAAGCCATTGACTCTAGGGGTGACCAGAACAGCGCACTTTCCAATCCGAGTTGGCCAAAAAATGCAACGGTCAATGGCCCTTGTTCCATCAGTGCCACGAGCTGCTACTGTGAGCAACTACTAAACGCCTCGCGATGGCATTTACCGCTGCGAGGAAATGCAGATGATCTAGTTGCGTTGTACTTTGCTCGGGTAAACCGAATGTATCCGACCCTTCATGAGCAGACGTTCAGGAAGCAATATGAGTATTTGTGGCAGTTAACGACGAGGGCATCCACAACCAGCAGTGTCAATTGCCCTGGATTATGCAAACAGAAAAGCAAAGGAAAAACGTTTCCTGGGATGGTATACGCTGTATTTGCTTTGGCCTCTTTGTTCGAATCCGGAACTCCAGAGCAAAACACCTCTCGAGCGGAGGACTACTTTCGACTTGCTCAGGATATTGATCTCTTGGGTACCCTGGATCATGAGGTGGGTATTGAACTTGTCCAGCTGGGTCTCCTCATGGGGTTCTACCTCCAAAGCACCGAAAGGTTCTCAAAATGCTGGAATATCACTGGACTCACAATTCGAATGGCGCAAAACATGGGACTACAGTTGAGAATTTGTGAGGCTCGACGCAAGGGGCTGATACACCCTCATAGCACCCAACTTGACTGCGAGATGAGGGTACGAGTTTGGTACGGATGTGTTTTACTAGACAGGTGAGGGAGCAGCTGCGTGTGACTCATTCTCTGCTAAAAGGCATGGTGTAGAGAAATTTCATTGTCTTTTGGGCGGCAATTGATGATATTCAATGGCGGAGAGGCTGTTAGGTTGCCCAAAGCAATCGACGATAACCGCCTCTCCGAAGAAATGGGGACTTGGAACGTTCAGCCCCCAGGCCATATGAGTTTGCTGGAGTCCTACATTCAGACAATCAAACTCTACGATATACTCAAGCAAGTGTTGGATCGGGAGGAGCTTCAAGATTCATCGGACAGAGGCCCGGATATCCAGTCACTATTGAGCCTGGATACCATGATCATGGAATGGCGTGAAGCTTTGCCCTCTTGCCTACAGTATGACTCTTCCTCTGAAGGTACAAGCTCAGCGGAGCAGCATAGAATTCCCGGCATAGCGATTCCGCAGGTCGATTTTTCTGCTCAGGCTAAACGGCTTTACGCAAGGTATTCACACCAACCTTACCTTCCTTTGGTAGCCTCTGATATATTATAGATTTCTACACGTGCGAGTCCTGATATTACGCCCTGCCTTGGATCTATTGTTTCAAAAACAAAGACATCCTCCGCCGTTGGCCAAGAAGGGATCTATGGAGATACGGGTTCAAGACCTGATGCTCTCGGACATAGCAACCCAATGTGCTTCTTCGGCAAACAGCCTAGTCAAGCTTCTCGCCGCCCAATTTCACCAGGGAAACTTAGTGGCCTGGTGGTATAATATCAGCTGTAAGTACTGAGAATATCGCCCTTGTCGCCCGTTTTGACGAGACTTAGACCTGCATACTTGTGGCAGCACATTATTAATGGCGCAACTATCCACGCTCAACGATATGGCATTATCTCGCGAGCTTTCGGGTAGCTGGGATCTTTGCTTACGATGTATATCGCGCTATAAGCGTGTGAGCAGCATTGCAGAAAAATCGGCTCGTCTCCTGGAAAAAAGCAGACGATGCCTGCTGCCCGAAGAATACCCCCAGAAGACAACTTTAGGAGATGATGCGCATGCCATGACCCCAATCAGGGCACTTCCGAACAACAGCCCTCAAGTTCAACAACAACACCTCTTACCCCAAAGCCAAGCGGCGACTTCCCCTGAGACCTACCACTTGAATAAAGATCAGCCACCTATTGACAATGCCGAGGAGTATCGTTTGGATCAGGAGTGGAATTTAGCCCAGCCCGGGACGCATAAGGAGCAAGAGTTTCCTGTAGATTTGATGCCCGAGTCAGCCGTCGACGCACCGCGATTTGACGGGCCCGATGGGGATCTATGGGCTAATGATACCTGTGCTAGCTCATACTGGTCTTTTATGCCGTTTCTTTCTCAATTGGAGGCACTGCCTTTGGACTTTGACCCACCAAATCTGGAATAAAAGCAGTCTTCTGGGGGTCTGGTACATATACCAAGTTTTATGTCGGAATCTCCTCAAACTGATGTGGCGTCCTTGGATTATGGGATTACAATCAAATGATTCATGCAACGCGTGTAATTCACAAAAACGACAACCATTCGTATCTGGCTTTCTCAGGTAACTTATGCTGATCTACACAGAAACACCTAGGTAGCAAGCAGTTCCTCCTCACAGTGCTAAACCTTCAGTCACATCAAGTAGCAATTTCCCCATAGATTTACGCCCCTCGAGGTCCTTTATGCGAGACAATCAGCAACAAAAATGATAGTTCTAGTTCCAAATCTCTCACCTTGTGGGCTTGTTGTACCATATCCAGAGAGTACACCTTGTGGATATTGATCTTGAGGTTCTCTTGGAGAATTAGATCGAATAGTTTCTGGGCGTAAGATTCGAACTCCTCTCGGGTATGGATGTATCCAAGTAATGTTGGTCGTGCAATCTTTACGCATTTCGGTGAGAGACGGCTGTATTCCGTTAACCTGGACAGTCCAACAGTAGAGGCAATTTTGAAAGTCTCTCCTCAAAGATCAAACGTACTTCAGTGGCAGTGGTGGAACAGGACCACTTGCGTTTCCAAACCAGATGACGGTGCCCTTCCTCTTCACGGCCTCAAGACTCCCCTCCCATGTGTCCTTTCCGACGGAGTCAAACACCACGTCGACTCCCTGACCTTCTGTGATGCTATTGACAATCTCAGGCCAATATTTACCCTCAGGACTCCGGTAGTCAATAACATGGTCCGCACCTAGACTCTTCACCAGGGCAACCTTTTCAGGACCACCAGTGGTACCGATGACCTTCGCACCGATTCTCTTAAGAATCTGAGTCATGATGAATCCTACACCGCCAGCCGCAGCATGAATCAAAGCCCAGTCTCCTGGATTGACCTTGTACGTCTCATGTGAGAGAGCCAGACATGTGAGTCCACTGAGGAAAGAGGCAGTAGCCTGCTCATCGGAAATTCCAGACGGTAGCTTCATAGTCTTAGCAACAGCAACTGCTGTGTACTCAGAATAGCCGGCAGTTCCTAGCCAAATGACCCGATCGCCAATTTCGAGACCATGAGTTTCTGTGTTGGGTCCGATGGCCACAATTATACCAGCTGCTTCTCGACCGAGAACCTCGGGCTTGGGGGACGGGTAGAGGCCCTCGCGGAAGTAGATGTCGATGTAGTTGATTCCGGAAATGTGATTCTTCACCAGGACTTCGCCCTCTTTCGGAGTTGGTACAATATAGTCGGTACGATATTGCATGACCTCCGGGCCGCCTAACTCGTCGACGACAACTGCTCTTTGAAAGGTTGGTAACGACATGATGCAGAATGGGAGCAACCAGACAGCAGTCACAAATAGATGTGTAATTTGTATTACTGAATTTGCAAGGACTTTAAGGCCGATTTCGTACGAGCTCTAATCCGACTAATAAACAAAATGACATTACCTGATTCGATTTCCATATATATGCACTTTCTAGTGGGCTTGCGGAGTTAAGGCGGATACGCTGCGGCACTAATTCGACCCCTTGAAACTCCCACAGCTATTCGAAAATGCCCCAAGCTTTCACGTTCACACTTCATCCACCTATTTACCAAAATCTGACTCGACATGGGTGAATGTTGCCTCAAAGGCTTCCGCTGGGATGCCCAGCCAAAGGGCTATGAGGCTAAACTTGGAAACAACAATTGTTACGTGACTGGATCGAACTCCAACGTCGCAATTATGATCATCCACGATCTCTACGGATGGAAGTTCCCCAATATTCGCATTCTGGCCGATCACTATGGGGAGGAAGTGAATGCAGTTGTATACGTACCAGATTTGTAAGGACTGTTTGCCTGTCTTCCGAACCTTTGCTAAACAACATATCAGCTTCGCCGGCGAAGAACTCCCACTGGATATCCTCCAAGATCAAAGTCAATGGCATAAGCTTGATCTTCCTGCATTTATCGGTCGTCATTCCAGGACCTCCCGGGAGCCTGAAATCGTTGACTGTGCCAAAGCCCTTCGCTGCCAGTACCACCGCATCGGAGCCGTCGGGTTTTGTTACGGAGGTTGGGGAGTGTTCCGTCTCGGAGCCAAGGGTAATGACTTGGTAGACTGCATTTCGACAGCACATCCGAGTTTCCTGGAAAAGACCGATATTAACCACATTGGCGTGCCTGTGCAGATCATGGCCCCGGAAATTGACCCCATGTTTACGCCGGAATTGAAGGCTCATAGCAATCAGATCATTCCGACACTCGGGGTGGCTTATGATTATCAATATTTTCCGGGGTTGGAGCATGCGTTTGCTGTGCGAGGAGATCCGAAGAAGGAGGGTGAGCGGAAGGGGATGGAAAGGGCGAAGAGTGCGGCGGTTTCCTGGCTTAAACTCTGGTTGAATGATATCTAACGATCGAGAAGATCTTGTATAATCTGGCAGGATGGATTTAATTATGAGTAAATGCCATCCTGATTCATTCTGATGATTTGAAAGCGTTGTCCCTGTGGCCTGTAAACTAAACACTCATCCTAGGAGATTAGAAAGGTCGAAATATCCATGATTTAGCCCGAATCAATGTACATGAGAACATTGTGATTCTTGAAAGATTACATCAGTCCTGCATTATTTCCACCAGCCCAAGTTCTCCCCTACAAAGCTCTATGCTGTCATCCTGGAGATGCTGATAGAAGTCAATCTCATCTAAAATTGTACAACCCAGAATACTCTCCAGCTCGGCTGTACTAGAGACAGTCTCCTGGGTAGGCAATGCCATAGAGTGATCAAGAAGGTTCGACTTGAAGATACCAGCGGCAGAGAAAGGTAGGAAGTCTTCGTAGGTGATTGGCTCGTATTCGATGTGTCCCAGTTGTAGCAGACGCGTCAGAGTAACCCGTGGAGTCAACATTCTTTCTTCCACTCCATCTCTTCCTGCTTGCGTTACACTGTAGTGAAAGTAGACAAGCCCACGGACCCGAAGCTCCTCCCATGTATCGGGAAACTGTTGAAAAGAATTGTGGAGAATGTCGCTGAATTTGTCACTGGAAACATTGGTCGCAGCTTGAACTGCAAACGAGTGCAACTGGTCATAGAGCTCCCGTCCTTTTCTAGTCACGGCTGCACCTCGCTGTTCAACTTCACCAAAGCGCGCGGCATGGGTACCACGGATGACCTGACCGTTACCCGTGGCAAAGTCTACTCGCTCTTCAAGTGCTTTGAAGCTCGTTTGACGTAGTAGAATAGGGCACTGGCGTTTTGGGGGGCCCTCAATCACGTCCTTTGCTGGGAGGCCCCGCCGAATCATCTCCTTCTGGACATGGTCAATGTCGAGGGTTCTTGGAGTCAGATGGTTGATATGGGCACTTGGAAAGCAGACGATATCGGCCACTATCGTGTGCTCTGCTTTGACTTTCAGGTAGTCGTCAATGGAGACGTTTGACTTAGAATGCCATTTGAAAATTTTCAATGCGTCAGTGATGAAACTATCGACTTGCTGCGCGGACAACGTGTTGTGGTTTTCAGCGTGATCTATGATATCACTCAGCCGTGGCGTGAATATGTTCCGTCGACTTAAGATGCTATCGGCTGTTTCTCGAATGTCGGAGGAGAGCAGATCTTTTCGTAAGAGAGTCGTAAAAACCCGAAATGGGTTTTTGCTAAGGGCATCGGCATCGACGGGCCGAAAGGCAGTGCCATAGATAGGAAATCCGACAATTTTCAGGTCATAGTATCCCACAGGATGCATGCCGAGAATAGCAAAGAGCCGTTTGATCATTCGCATCTCGCCTTTAGTTCCGAGTCGAATTGCACCATGGCGCTCCAGTTGATTGCGAAATGCGAGTTCTTCGGGATGTTTCCCTTGTGCCTTGAGCACAGAGCTATCAACATCTCTCACGATTTGGACAAGGTCTCCATAAAGAGGGACTTCTGCCCGATACATATCAGACAATGCCTCGGTGAACTTGGTACGGAGGTCGTCCGGATTCCAACTGGAAAATTAGCTAACGATAATGCTTTCCTTCAGGTGAAGTAACTTACCCTAATGGTTGCATGTTGAATTCTGTATACTGGTTAGGATGAAAAGTCAACGATCGAGGAACGCCGTACGTTTCTCGGTGCTAGTTCTAATTAGCTACGAGACTTACAAAACTCACATATATGGGGGCGGGACTAATCATTGTTGTATGTTCCATGAATCTTCATTGAAGCGCAGTTGGACCGCAAAGTATGAATTGCTGCGGAGATGTGGCGGAAGACCCGCACTCATATCCTACATTCACATCTGGGAAAGTCGAAATGCGTTATTGTTTCTCTCGGCCGTCGTGATTTAGTCGTCTATCTCATTTTCTTGGCCTATATCATTTGTTCATCATGCCCTCCTGGGAGCGTCTGATTTGATTTTTAAGACCAGACTGGCATCGAGCGGTTCAAAGAGCCAATTCTCCACGCTGACGATGCATCCTCTCTCTATGAGTTGGTTGCAGATCGAAAATTGAAAGCTAAATGTATGACTGGATCTGACATTCTTGCTCTGTCTGCTTCATTCAATATAGCGAAGGTGAAAAAGAAGTGAAATTTTGTATAAAAATTCAGTATAGACAAGAGTAGACGGCCACTTATGTGGCCTTATGGTATTTTATAGTACTCTTAGGTAGTCTTCTTAGTAGTCGTGACTCTTCATATATATATTATTGTATATATAGCAATACCGACGGAAAAGTAAGAGGCTTATATCTAGTGAATTAACTAACATCTATAGAAAGAGATAGAAAGTAGTGATACTGAAGGCTATAGGAGTGTATACGTATATTCACTATTTGCATCGTCGATATAGGTATATATTGTTATAGTATTGTGTTTCATACTCGAATTTCATTGGTAAAGCTTCAATTTGATATACTATGTCGACAAAACTGACTTGAAATTCCACAGATCTAACTGTTAGAGGTAATTTATATTGTTCTTTAAGCTTGTATGCAAACGCAGACTATATATAATCCGTCGTTCCAATCAACGGCTTCCCAGACGCCATAGCCTCCATGAAAGTCTTTGGAGACTCCTTCTCGAAGAACATCTCCCCACTCAACAGACTCCTCGAAATGACATCAATCGCAAATGGGAACATGTCCTTCTCATAAGCGACAATTGCCTCCTGTGTGATTCCGAATTCCTCCAACTTGTGCGCAAGTATCACCGAATCTCGCATCGCACAGTTGACACCGTCTCCAACGAATGGTGTAGTGACGTGCGCCGCGTCACCAATAAGCGTAACACTAGGGACAGACTCCCAGTTCAAATGCTCGGTTGGCATGTAATACATCAACCATGGACGGAAAGGGCCGTCACTCTGCCGGATGATATCCTGCATCTCTGGAGAGTAAGATCCAAAGTATTCTTCCTGAAGGAGGAATCTCTTTGCCGCATCGAAATCAGAAAAGTCCACGTTGTCGCAAGCGGGAAAATTCTCGGGCGCTTGAAGACCGATGTCGACGCGGTAATGGCCATCGCCTTGGCGAGAGTTGAACATGTGCTTGCCATCTCCCATCACAATCATGGATCCCTTGCCAGCAATGGACTCCATCTTAGGGTAGAATGAATTATCTGGGAAGATTTTAGTCGTGATATAAAGCTTGTCAGAGTAGACTGGCTGGGCAGAGGTGACCTGAGTTGCATTAATAGAGCATAAGCGTAGAATTGGAGGGCACGAATACACACCAAATGCCTGATTTTGCTAGCAGTACCGTCAGCCCCGACAACGAGCTTGAATCCACACGCCGTGGTGCCATCGGTGAAGGTGATTACCACCTGGCCATTCTCGTCTCTCGCCGCGCTCTGCACGGCCTTAGACCAAATGACCTTCTCATCCGGAATGCCAGTCAAAAGCACCTTCCGAATAGCCCAGCGATCAATTTCCGGTGCATCGCGACCTTCTCCGAACCTGAAGAGCTGCTCGCCCTTGTGGTTGTACAAGAGATGAATGGTGGCGTCGCCAACGCGCGAGTACTTCTTGAACTCCTCGAACACACCACCCTCGCGCATGGCACGCTGCCCGCTACCGGGATGTAGATCCAAACATCCCCCATGCGGAGGGGAATCTCTCTGGGTCCGCTCGTAAACAATGTAGTCAATGCCCTTTTGCTGCAGGGTAGCTGCAAGAGCCAAGCCCGCAGGACCACCACCCACAATCGCGATTTGCGGTGCCATATTTTACCAGAAAAAAGGATGCAAAGAAGAAACAGCGAGGAAAATTCCAAAGTTGGTGGATATAAAGAAAGCCCCACTCATGACTGCGGAGTTAATGCGGGTGAAGTTGCAGTTGTTGAAACCGCGGAGGACGAGTGTGCGGGAGATGTTTGCTGAAATTTATCTCTGTTTGAGGAGATACCAGAAATAAGCAAAGTAAGTCCGCAAAGTATTCTGAAATATTGAACTATGAGGTAGCCTTGGATTGAAGTCCCGGCGGGCTACATCTATGGCATACAGAGTTGTGAGTTTGAACAATTTCACTGGGCGATGACTTCAATTTCTGACTTAGAACGAATCTCCTGGTCTATCCCCTGGCACATTCAGCTACTTGATAGAGTGTAAGACATTCCTAGAGTGGCAATGACGAGACCGTTCAGCACAATACAATTCCCCGATTCACAATCCTCTCCCACTCTATACAAAATGGTACTCGTCAAATTGTCAAATCACTCCTTGAAATAGATCGAATTCTCCCAGCGAGACAAGCGCTGTCCAATCATCGGCCGCTTCTTAATCTCTGCCTCGTCCTCGCCACTGCGTACCCTCCGGATGAACTCATCCACGTCAATATCCACCCCAATCGGATTCTGCGCGTATTCCTCACTCGCCATGAACTCCATTGCTTCCTTCCGGGTCGGAAAATTATCCACCTGTAACTCAAATTCGTTTCCATCCGGGTCAAAGTAGTACATGCTCGTGCTCATGCCGTGGTTCACAGGCCAATGCGGCAGGATCCCTAGTGACTTTTTCTGTTCGTAGCTCTTCACTAAATCGGAGAGACTGTCTAGTGTAAACGCAATGTGATATATTCCCACGGCAGTCTTCCGGTCCGAAATGTGCCTGTGGCTCGGGTCGTTGACGATGACTAGACGATGGTGCTCATCATCGTAGGCGATGAAAGCAGCCTTTTGGTTGCGGAGAGTGATAGTACCACCAAAAAAATTCAGGTGCCATTTCACCATCTCCTCAAATTTGTCGGGGGTGGTGCGCAAGCCGAAGTGGCCAATACAGGAAGGACTTATCAGCTTGTTGGTAGAGGTGGTCATCTTGATAAGTGCTGGCAAATGATCGTGAGAACTTCTGAGGCGCAGCCTTTTATCCCGTAGATGATCTCCTGGTCTTAAATCAAGTTCATATTTTTGTGCATCGGCACCATCTGGGCGCCGGGGATGGCGGAATGATTCAGCCTGTGCGGGTTTAAGGCGGCACATCAATGTGCCCCAGAATCGGTCCTTGGTTCCAGAACGGAGATGGGAGTATGTAATCTTCAAAGAACTGACCATCTCCTTCATTCTTTGCCGATATTGAAGAATTCCATCTCCCACCAGATTTGTTGCCTTGGACACAATGCCGCACGAAACCAAACACCACCCAACTATTGGTCTTATCAAGGGACTGAATAAGGTACCTACTGTGATTCAGTATCTCGGTGTACAATACGCAACTTTGAAGGATCGCTTCTCTCGTGGGGTGCTACTTGAGTCCTATAATAGTGGCCATATCAATGGGGATGGAGTGCTCGACGCTACATTACTAGGGTACGTGTGAGTTAACCTTCCCCTTACGGCCAGCTAATCAAAGTATACATGTAGGCCAATTCCACCGAGTCCTGCATATGGATGTGCATGGGAGCAAACCCTACTTCAGCACTCGCTGCCTTTTCCAGAATACAACCAGTCCGACACAGAGTGCTTGACTCTGAACATTGCAGTCCCCAATGTAAAGGATGCTGACTCGTTGCCGGTACTGGTCATGGTTCATGGCGGTGCATTTGTCACTGGGAGCAGCTCGTATCCACAGTATGACCTTGCTCGGATTACTAACCAGAGTCTTGAGCTGGAGAAGCCGATAATTGTTGTTGCAGTCAAGTAGGTTTCATCCAGATGCTTCCTTGGCCATTTACTGATATGGAGTAGTTACCGTCTTGGAGTCTGCGGTTTTCTCCACTCAGCTACTATGAAAGCAGCCGGATATAAGCCCAACAACGGCTTGGATGATCAGAGGCTAGCACTCCGCTGGGTCAAGCGTCACATCAGCGGCTTTGGGGGCGATCCTAACCGGGTTACATTTATTGGAGAGAGCGCAGGAGGTGGTGGGTTGTTTCTTTTCAGGTCCTTCGAGATCCAGGCACCAGTCGCTAATTTTAGAAAGCATCCGGATGCTTTCACCTTCATTCTGAGGAGGTTCTGTTCACTCAACTCATCGGAATGAGTGGAACATCCCTGTTACGTGCCCGCACGCCGGAACTGCTGGAGAAATCCTTCGCCCAGCTTGCAGATATAGTTGGAATTCAAGATCTGTCACCCGCAGAGCAGATTCAAAAGATTCTTGAAATTCCTATTAGCGAATTGACGGCCAAAGCTGGTCGACAAATTCCGCTCGGACCCATGGTGGACGGTGACTTAATTCCCGAGATCACCACTTTCAAGACCCTGGCCGATGACGCTGAAGTGAAAAGGCTTTTCCCAGGGATCCAACATTGCAAACGATTAATCATGGGTGACTGTCAAATGGATGTGAGTTCTTCTCATGAGTTTATACCTAGGAAATCACTCTGATCAGCATCTCAAACTAGGCAATGGCACTTGCTCCTCGTCTGGGAGCAAGAACCGATATCTTTTCTCAAAGACTTGTCAGGTATTTATCCACTGCTTTTGAGAATTGGGACCAAGAAATTGCTCCAGCTATCGCCGCAGCATACAATCTGGATCCAAGTTCTACTTACAATACCCCCGAATCGACGGAGAATGTTTTGAACTTTGGCAACGACGTGTGTTTTGCCGCAGCAGCACGGTCATTTACCAGGGCATGGAGTTCGTCCTCAGTCCCAGGAACAGAGGCTTTGCAGTATCATTTCAACTGTCCCAACCCCTGGGATGGACCATGGAAGGGCCATGCCACGCATATCCTCGATATTGCGTTTGTGCTGCAGAATTACGCGGAGAACCTCTCAAACGGGCAACGGCGCAGTGCCGAACAGTTTGCTGCAGATGTTGTCACCTTCGTGAATGGGAAGAAGCCGTGGGCAGAGTACCAAGTTGGGGCTGCAGAGGGCTCGATGATATACGATGCTCCCATAGAAGGAGGTCAGAATCTGTCGGGATTTGTTGCGAGTGAAACGCCTGGGAAAACAGGAAGGAGATACGCATTGCAGGTGCTTGTCAAGCCAGAGCTGTTCGATCAACTGATGGATGCCTGGCAGATGTTTATGGCAGGGCCATAATTCGGCGGGAAGACTTCCATATCCCTTCCATGCCGGAGTGCAGATATTTGGACTTTTAGGCATAAGAAGTCTCTTACTAATCTCAATTGCATTATGAAATGGCAAATTACTTCTGTTAAAGAGTCAAAGTGAAGTAACTCGGTCTGTCACGCTAGAAATTTGAATGGCTTGCAGCTGGCCTAGCGGCTATGCCGTGGGAGTGAGCAATAATGGGTGCTCTAAAGCTGTTCGACCTTTTCTACCCGTCTAAAATAAAACCTAGTCAAAGAACACTGAGAATACCGCTGAAAAGTCCCGTAAGAAAGACACCATAGGCCGTATAAGCGGCCGTCTACTCTTGTTGTCTGGCTCATCAGTGATACATTTTGTTAGGGTGTGCAGTCAGTCTTTCTCATGCGTGTACTATTGCCCACTAATCTCTCACCACTATCGGCTCAGTCACTTACGCCCCACTATCAACGACCTTTGCCCTCACCATATTTCCTAGCAAGTCAAATGTACCCGAGATATCTGCAGAGGGACTCTACGAGGGGGCGGAAAGTCCCAACTAAGAGTCTAAGCACCTTTCGTTTTCTCTCAACGGCGTGAAATATCGACCCAAGGCAATATTAATGCGAGTGCTTCCACCAAAAGTAAGAAATATCCAAGACCTCGATCTCGATCTCGATGACCAGCTTTTAGCGAGGGCTGACCAGATTCCAAACAACCTCAACTTTCGACGCGTTCTAGGTATATGCCACATATCAGAACATCACAAAACCCTGCCCGCCATGGGAACCTGGGCGTATTACAACTGGCACAAGAGTCTCAGCTCGAGGTGTTCAATAATGAGAGACACACGTCCTCTCAATCAGCCGGGCCAAAATTTTGACAGTCGACCCCAGCGCAGAATCTTGGCTCCTAGTCTGAAGTAGGTGTATATGGCAGCTCTGATCACACCCAGAGCTAATGGCTTTCGCTGGTGTGGGAGTGGGCGATAGGGGGGATTCTAAAGCTTTTCGACCTGCTTTACCTATATTGTCACTGACGGTCACGTGATTCCACGTGATCCGATCTACTTAGTAAGTTAGCTTTGACCAGGTAGCAGTACATCATCCTACCTTACCACCGGGCATAGCTTTGCACCAGTTTCTAAGGTTATTGTCAAATAGTGTAATCCCACGTAGTAATTAGGCCGTTGCTCCTAATGGATTACATAAGAGCATTTAATCACTAACTAGGCTAAAAGGTCATAGGGACAATCGGAACCGGTATATATACTAGGCCCTAAGAACCCTTAGGGACCACAGAGTCGGTCAGGCTACATCACGTGATGTAATACGCTACACAGGAATCCTGTCTTAAGCTCTGCGATTACTCGCTATGTATTTGTTCACGTAGTACGGAGTAAAAAGGTGCAATCTACTTGGGATATTAAGCATGAAGGAGGAAAAAGAAAGGGGATTAGTGTCGAGGTAGGGTTCCCATGGATATGACTAATCAATATAGGCTGCCCAGGGGCTTAGGATTTCACGATAATGTTCCTAGATTATCCTGTATCGAATTGGTAACATTTAATTCTCCCCTTGATTGTTCAATACATTTATATAGATTTTTGTTCCCTGGGTATTCTAATTATAATCCTCCATAAGTCCTATATTCCAAGATCGAAGCCCTTGCACAGCCTTCGTATGACAGCCCCGCGCGAAGGCTGGGGATAACCAGCCACCGGGATATCGGAGGTATAGGCCTTGCTTTCTTTTTGACTTGGATTCGATTGAATTCTCCTTCTTTTCTTTTCTTTTCTTCTGTTGACACCCCTATCCTAGTGCTCGTCCTTTCATAACAACTCCCCCATCACCGCTTGACATATACCCCCCGCCCAACATTGGTTTGTTGCCTATCAGCTTAGGCCATGGTGACCCTGCGTTAGGCATCAGATCAAGTCGCATTAAACCTGTTTTATCTATTTCGAGAATTTATTTCGAGAATTCGTACGGCAATTTCCCTTAGACATGCTCAGGTTGCCTTTGGGACTGACATTAACGATAGTTCCAGTTGGGTTTGCAATTGCACATACTTGGCATCCTATCTACGCATTTTTCAAATTGCTTTGAGTTTGGGCACAATCACACAGCATCATGGCTGCTATGGCGATGCGCGGATCGCCTGACATGGCAAACGGCAGCTCCAACCCCCACATTGCCAACGGAGCGCAAAGAGCTTCAGGAGGGCGCAATCGCAAAAAGGCCCCTTCTGCGGAAAGCTATGAGCACGAAGAATATGATGACCCGAAGACACCACACAGAAGGGATGACCATTCGCCAGGGCGGCTGGACAGGTCTTTCTCGGCCAGAGCCCGAAATCAGCCCGAGGGAAACCTGAACTACACAACCCGCAAACCAGTCCCTTCTTCGACTGAAGAATTATCAGAGTCTACCACCCCACGAGGCCTTCCAGCAAAGCACTATTCCCCAGAACCTAGTGCAGGCATGCCTGAAATCCATGTCCAGTCACCACCGCCTGCACCGACTGTGTCGTCGCCCCCGACGCGGTCCAACACCACACGCTCGGCTTCCGCTAGTAACGCGCGGCGAGATTGGGCGCCGGAACGATCGCCTCTCCAGAAGTTGGAGGTGACTCTGACTGGAATCAGCAAGGAAGAGAAGCGGGCAAGAGTACAGCAGGCGGAAATCAAAGCCCGAGAGCGAATTGCGCGCAAGAAAGCAGAACAAGAAAAAGCCGAATTGATGGCAGCGGTGGCTCGTGAAGCATCAGCACAGCGCGCGCAGCCAGAAACTCAACCATCTGCCGGCGCAGCCAGAAGGAATGAGCAGAGAGATATTCCAGTTGGGAATGGCATGCGAAATGGACATGCAGCTGCGCCACCACAGCAGCGAAGACCAGAAAGCACAGCTGTGCGTCACAACAGGACAAATTCAACAAATCCTCAGTATCCATCTATCCGCCGCCCCGAGGATCCCGGATATACAACTGCAGAAGCCGCTATCCCATCATCAGCTAAAATAGGCAATGTGCCTAGACGATCAGTCACAGTGAGCGGCCCTGCCGCAAAACAAGCGCGTCCCAACAATATCACCCACAGTCGCTCGATGTCTCAAGCAGGTCCTCAGCCCATGCAGCCTTCTCCTGCCCTAAGAGCAGAGACAACAAACGAACTTTTAACAGCACCCCATGCGCCTCAGGATAGTGCCGAGTCGCAGGTCAAGCCCAAGAAACAGTCCGTGTCATTTAATGTTCCACCACCTACTCCCCCACCAATCTTCGAGTGGAGGAATGCACATCCTGCTCGACTTGGGGCCCCTGACTTCGATTTCCAGAATATTGATATGGACCGCAGCAAAGCGTGGTGGGAGGGCGGTGGAAACAAAGATCGCAGAAAGAGCAGGGCTCTTCCTAATAACTACAAGTCTCCTGCTCAGAAGTTGACAGGTAAGTTCCTCCGTCATCCCGGTTTCCAGGATACACTTCTGGTCACAAATTAGCGGAATGTATGTACTAACGTCCTCCAGGAGTGACTGACCACAAGAGCTTCCAACCCAGCCTTTTCTTGCGATGTGGGCCTTTGCTACGATACACAGGCATCAAGCGGGTCCAGGTTGATGGGGCCAGCGGCCCCATTTACAAAGATATATGGCGAGGCTCTATCATGATAGTAACTAAAGATTCTCGCTCCTCGTACGATACTCCACCCACTCTGAGATTATTCTCTCAGCCGATGGATCTTTTTCCTCCCCCGCCTGTGGAGATCAGTCATGAAGATGGGGTGCAATTGGCTCCTGAATATGTCGACCCAACGGCCGGGCTCATGAAGGTTGGCCGTGATGGGCGGCCCCTTTACGTGAAGCCAGTAGAACATGTCGAGGAGCAAGTCGACGTATCATTTGTCGAGAATGACGATGGCATCTATGAGCTCTCGCCTAGTATGGTCGACTATACCAGCGAAGGTATCAAACAGCCTATGCCTTCCAATCGGATGCATGCTGTCGACGGCGAGACGGCGGGTCTGCATCGAGACATCCCAGGATCCCGTCTGTACGCCGATGCGGCAAGAGACGTAACATTCTGGCGATTCAACCTAGAGGTTGAACTCAGCACAACACAACAGCGAATCGCCTATCGGATCAACCAGGGACCTGCCTTGGGATTCTGGGTGCCCCCTGTTGGAGAACCCATGAACATAATGTTCCAGAGTGGTAACGGGTTCAGCCCCTCTGTGGACTCGGATCGACTCTGTGGGCCCGACCCGCTTTGGCGAGATATTCTGAACGAACATCAAACTCGTCCGTTCCATGTGATGATCGGTGGAGGTGATCAGATCTTCAATGACTCGGTCATCACAGAGTCAATGTACTTCCAAGAATGGATTAAGATCAAAAACCCCGCCGATAGATATGGGACACCATTTACGCCTGAGTTCCGTGCTGAATTGGAGCAGTTCTACCTCGAGCGCTATGCTGCGTGGTTCTCCCAGGGCCTCTTCTCGTTGGCGAATTCTCAGATTCCCACGATCAATATTTGGAACGATCATGAGATCTTCGAAGGCTTTGGCTCTTACCACAATGATTTCATGCAGAGTTCTGTTATCTCCGGAATTGGGAAGATTGCTTTCAAGTATTACATGCTGTTCCAGCACCACAGTGTCTCCGACGAAACCGAGACCGATGAACCTAGCTGGCTCCTTGGTGCTCATCCCGGTCCATATATTGAGCAAAAAAGCCGAAACGTGTTTATGTCTCTTGGCCGAGGAATTTCATTCTTGGGTCTTGACTGTCGCACTGAGCGACGGGTATGATTACTCCAAATTTCCGATTCGTGGACTATGCTGACATATCTTGCAGAGTAATGAGGTGCTCAGCGAAGAAACGTGTGACCTATTGTGGGATCGCTGCCACAGGGAGATCATGAAAGGAGAGACAAAGCATTTGATCGTTCTTTCAAGTGTCCCTGTTGCTTACCCCCGAGTGGTATGTAATCTGATTACTTCTGTCTTTGGTTGGATCTTAAATTAACGTGGACTCCAGGCAATGCTCCGCAATTTTATGAACAGCCGCAAGTCCCTTGGCAAGGCTGGAGTACTTGGTGGGCTTGTAAATCGATCTGGCGGAAACGTGGAGGTCTTTGACGACCACTGGGCTGGCAAGCACCTCAAGTCCGAGCGCACATGGTTGGTTGAAGATCTTCAGGATCTGGCCGCAGAGAAGTCGGTCCGGATCACAATACTCAGGTAAGACCAGGCGATTTGCTTAATGGCAGCCCATTTCTTAAACAATAAAAACTAACCTAATCCTTCAGTGGTGATGTCCACCTCGCGGCAATTGGGCAGTTCTATTCAAATCCCAAATTGAATATTGCCAAGGACCAGGACTATCGATACATGCCAAATGTCATCTCGTCGGCTATTGCAGACATTCCGGAGACCGATCTCATTGCAGATATGCTCAACAAGCGGAACACGGTCCACCACATGGACTCGAACACAGACGAAGATGTCATCCCAATCTTTGCTCAGGATGTGAATGGCAAGGCTCGAAACAACAAACGATTACTACCTCGCCGAAACTGGTGTTCGATCCGTGAGTATAAGCCCGGATCTACCCCACTTTGCACACCTGAGTCGGAGATAGAGACTCCAGAACCTCGGCCAAAGAAGCTGCAGCGAACGTTGTCGCTGGGTCGGGGAGATAAGGGATCTACGGGGAAGCCTGGTATTCTCAGGCGCCTTTCAACCCGAGGGCCACCTCCTACGAGGACCATGAGTTTCAATCGAGGCGACGAGGCCGCTTTCAATCGACGTGCAAGCTTTGATGGCCCCACTCAGCCCCATGAAAATGGGGACAGCTATTTCCCAGGGACCGGGGCCGGGGCACCTCCACGACCTGGCAACTTCCACCGGCGACCAACGAATCTTAGTCAAAAAGCGGGAAAGAAAGCCGCCAAGCAGGGCGAGGACGGCGCAGGCGCCTACATCAACCTTGAAGACGGGCTCGCCATCACTTTGAACCTAGAGATCAGCCCACAAGACCCATCGGGTGTCACCACACCCTACAAAATGCTCGTTCCAGCACTGTACTACAACGGGACTGAGTATGACCCGCCTCCAGCGCAAATTGTCAAGGGCTGGAGAAAGTTCCTGCCTCGCCGCAAAAAGAACGAGGGCGAAGCAGATGCACGACCCGAAGCAGAAGATGATTACAGTGATGATGACGATCAAGACGATTACGAGGACCATGACCTTATCAATAATACCCGCGCCAACGCCGCCACTAGCCAACAACATCAACCACAGTACGAGGGATATCCTGGGAGTGAGGAGGATGAAGATTCTGAGGGCGAGGTTCCTCAACGTCTGCCACCGCAAATGATGGCTGAACACTCTCCCAGTCCTGAGGAAGATAGCCGTCCCCGAAAGAAGAAGTGGTTCGGTGTAATCTAATGTACTATATTGACACTATTGTGTCATTGATGTTGGCTGTGACATTTTCTTTTTGCGACTGATGATTTGTATGTATTGTGTTTTGTTTGGCAGATGATTCCCCTAAATCTAGCGAGGTTCAATCCGACATGTCTATTCGAGATCTCTCAAAGCTGAAGTATCTACTCCGTAATTTCGGACCGGAAGAAGCGCCTCGGGATCCCTCCAGGGCTGGTGATGTGATGAGATTACATCAGCGGTCTCGACCTCGCACGTGACCTGTGCTTAGAAAGCCCGGGAGCCTCGATGCTCGAAGTGATTCTTTGAAGTGCATTGGAATTGCCTGAATTGCCATAAATTGCTTAGTTTAAACGCATTATCTCCAATCTTGTGTGGTCTGGATACCTCGGAAAGCCAAAGAATCCAATCGTATTCTGTTCCAGTCTCTCTGATATTGCCGGTTTATCAATCAACTTCACCTAATCCCGGTCTCCACTGCCCCTCCGAGAAAAGATATTATAACTCCCCTCCCTTTCTCTTCTCCCTTTCCCATATACACCTTCAAGCTGTTTTCCTCCGCCTTTCGTCGTTTCCCCTCCCTTCGATCCATTGGATTGACTGCCGCTGCGGCCACTACCGTTCACCAACAATCTCCTCCTCCGGCCTCGGTCTTCTCTAAGTCGTTCCCGACGCCCTTGCGCGTCAATTCCAACACCGCCAGAATGGTGCACTCTAAAGTAGTCAGTAAGTGGTTTCTGATGAGGGATCTCACGATTCGAATCACCCATATTCCTCCCATATCAGAGTCCTAACCGCTTCTTACAGTTATCGGCTCCGGCCCTGGTGCCCACACCGCCGCTATCTATCTCTCCCGCGCAGAGCTCCAGCCAGTTCTCTACGAGGGCATGCTCGCCAACGGCACCGCCGCCGGTGGCCAGCTCACGACAACCACTGACGTCGAGAACTTCCCCGGATTCCCCAACGGCATCGGCGGCTCCGAGCTCATGGACAACATGCGCGCTCAGTCCGAGCGTTTCGGCACCGAGATCATCACCGAGACAATCTCCAAGCTTGACCTCTCCTCCCGGCCCTTCAAGATGTGGACCGAGTGGAACGACGACGAGGGCAGCGAGCCCGTCCGCACCGCCGACGCCGTCATCATCGCCACAGGTGCCAACGCTCGTCGTCTGAACCTGCCCGGCGAGGAGACCTACTGGCAAAACGGAATCAGTGCCTGTGCCGTCTGCGACGGTGCCGTGCCCATCTTCCGTAACAAGCCCCTGTACGTCATTGGCGGTGGTGACTCTGCCGCTGAGGAGGCCATGTTCCTCGCCAAGTACGGTAGCAGCGTGACTGTTCTCGTTCGCAAGGATAAGCTGCGTGCCTCCAAGGTCATGGCTGACCGTCTCCTTGCTCACCCCAAGTGCAAGGTCCGCTTTAACACCGTTGCCACTGAGGTTCTCGGTGAGAACAAGCCTAACGGCCTCATGACTCAACTCCGTGTCAAGAACGTTATCTCTAACGAGGAGGAGGTCGTTGATGCTAACGGTCTCTTCTACGCTGTTGGTCACGACCCCGCCAATGCTCTTGTTAAGGGCCAGGTTGAGCTCGATGATGAGGGATACATTGTCACCAAGCCCGGTACCAGCTTCACCAATGTCGAGGGTGTCTTCGCCTGCGGTGATGTTCAGGATAAGCGGTACCGCCAGGCTATCACCAGTGCCGGTATGTTTCATATTCCAGTATTCTCATTATCGCAATTGCATTTTGCTAACTTACCTTTCTTATAGGATCTGGCTGTGTCGCCGCCCTCGAGGCTGAGAAGTTCCTCTCTGAGACCGAGACTCACGAGGAGGCTAAGCCTGCTCTCTAAATACACATACACACCTCTTCTCCCACTTTCCCATTCTATTTCTCGTCATGATGCATGAAAACATGATGTTTGGCCCGTGTGTTGAGGATTCTTCTTGCTTCTAGACTTATATCTGTTTTCTGCGATATCTCATTTCCGAATCCCCCGTGCATATCTCGATGGGATTTCCTTACATCTTTTTTTTTTTTTTCTTATTCCCTGTTCCTTTTATCCATGTCTTATGGAAGAGGAAATCAAGTGGTCTTTGTGACCTTTATATCGGTTGGTCTGCTTGGGATGTCTATACCCATAGAGATAGAAATAGAAGGAAAAGTGAAGCTACCATATCATTTTTAATATGAAGTAAGGTTCTCTTATGTGTCTAGATCTGACCATATAAATTAGAACTGTCATTCATTGATATCAATTAAGGCTGAAACGATACTCATAACAGCACGTCTCTCTGCAGAGACACGAATTACCTTGTTTTCACTGTTGTCTACGCGGATAGTCTACCTATCGCCATGAGAAACCGCTAAAGCCTCATTTCTCAGACTTCAGAGCAGGTACACCAGGCGTAAACGCAGTGGCGAGCACGGGGACCGACTGGGTGCTTTCAGCAAGATAATCCGGCATAACCCAATCATCGAATGGATTTTCCGAACACCAGCGATCTTTGACGACAAAGCTCTTCCGCTCCCACTCAGCAACATCAACTTTCCACTTATCCCAAGCCTCGGCATTGACACGACGGTTGATCTCTGTCTGCTCAAGGTACGGCTTTTTCTCGGCTGGGGTGGCAGAGCGCCACATCTGTCCTAGCGCGGCGCGGATCTCGTCGCGTGGAGCCTTTGCGTTGGGGTTGTTTGATGATGCACGGCGGGCTTCGTCGCATTGGTCGCGGCAGCGAGCCCAGTAATCTTTTTGGTAGAAGAGGAAAGGATTTAGGCCTGATTTTGCGGGGCGTGGTGGTGCGGAGCCGAGCTCAGCGTAGATTGTTGTCCATAGGGCTTGGTCGTAGGCGTCGCGGCGAGATTTTTCGGTTGAGGTTGGTTTGCGGGAGGTCGAGCTTGAGGGGGTTTTTGATTGGGTCATTGTCGGGCTTTCGGTGGAGGAGAGGGATGAGCTGCCTCTTATTCTTGTTTTTTTGGTAGTTTGGGCATTTGGCGTAGAGGATTTGCTTCGAGTTACTTTTGACTTCTCTGGGACTAGTGGGTGAGGCATTGTGATGGGTCCGGAGATCGGCTCGATTATTTCTGATGCCGCGCGGAGGCCTGAGAGGTATGCTCCATGGACGGTTGCTGGGTGGGTGCCGCAGGTGGCTTCGCCGGCGAAGTGCAGGTTGCCGATTGACTGGGCCATCAGGTCATAGTCGTCTGGGAAGGCTGCTGCAGCCACGTAGGAGTAGCTGCCGTATGTGAATGGGTCCTGGCCCCAGCGGGTGATGATAGTCTCCAGGGGATCGGGAACTGCAGTGTGTTTGAAGACGTTTCGAAGTTGGCCAGTGACCTCTGCAATTATTTCGTCGTCTGGTGTAGATTCTGCTTGATGGGCTGCATCACCAGCCATGAGGGCAATCAAGCATGGGAGTCCGGTTGTCTTCATGACATTCCAGAACAGATAGAATCGACCGCGATTTGCCGCATAGTCCTCTTGGACCATAGAAGAAGGGTCATTCGGCTCCCGAAGGAGGCCAAACATATCTCGCTTGGTGTCCCAGAAAGGCTCTTCGAACACCAGAACGACCTTGTTCATTATTCCGAACCCCAGTCTGTCAATTGCACCACGCTTCCATTCCGGAAGAGGTGGCTCAAACTTGATTTTCTGCTGCTTGAGGACCCCGAGGGAACCGGTGAAGACGACACGATCTGCCAGGAACTTTTCTCCATCCTCGCACTGGACAACTGCCTTCTGACTCTTGCTGGAGCCAGTTGTGTCGTAAGAAATATCGGTTACAATCTTGCCAGTACGGACATCGAGCTTTTCTGGCAGCATGTACAGTCCGTAGGGTAGTTGCTGGTAGCCACCAATGACCTGGGAATGTTCACCCTCAAACTCGTTCCCGATGTCCTGGTCCCATCCTGATAGGCTAAGTCTGTTGACGTTGGTCGCATTTGCGTACTCAAGATTGGCGAAATGCCAATTCATCAATCGCATGTCCTTAGTAGTCACCGGAAGCATGTTTCGATACTGCTTGACACCCTCGTCCATCACTGCACCGAGAGTCTGCGCCGGAGATACCTTGGCAATCTGGTCCAGTTCAATGGTGTCATTCACGGTGTATCCTGGGTTAAGCTTCCATCCAGTTGTCTGGCAGGTCAAAGCTGCCGGGTCATCTTCGGAATTTCCCGCTAGATCACTCGCCACATCAACGGATGGCTCGTTTTCCGCAGTCTTGTGCTTTATTCCTCGTCGAACTCGCTTTGTTGGGACCAATAAATCTATTGTACCAGCTGCCCTTGCCTCTTCGTACTGCCGCACAGTGAGTCCGTCATCGATCACCGATTCGCGGCCAGCATCAATCATCTCGCGATTTCCCTCGGCAGTTGGCGCAATCTTCGCTTTGTGACGATAGAATCCAGTTCGATCAAGCAAATCATTGTAAAGCTTCTCTGCCATCGCGTCCTGGACCTCATTCACAGGTGATCCATCGATATCGTAAATCGTTGAAACATCACGTATCTTGTGGTAGTGAAGTGCCAGCTGGCCACGAACTATCTGGTCCAGCGGATTGCCATGATCGAAGCCGACAATGATCTGGGCACCCATTTCCGCCTTTGGAACAAGCCCATCAGGAAGGCTTTTTGACTTGAGACTATGCAACGGATGTGAATAAATGCGTCCACCGACTCTTCGACGTCCCTCGAGGACAATGATTCGAGGCGAGGTATTTGCATCACGGTACTGGCGAAAAAGACTCTTTAGTTGGCGGGCACACCCCAGACCTGCCATTCCAGCACCGATTACAACGATTGTAGGACCTTCTTTTCGTCTTCCGCGTTTGGGCTTCACCGGAGCCAATGGAGCCTCCACACAGCCGTGATTGATGTAGCCATTTCTCGCGAGCCAGTCGTAAGCAAACGAAGCCAGATTCATCCATCGGTAATCTTTGGCACATCCGAGTGCTTCTTCCCTAGTAACAGCCACCATAGGATTTCTCCCCCAGAGTAGCAGTATTCCATTCCGTATGTTGAGGTAAATTGTGACGTGGACATGGCAAAGGTGGTCTTGTAAAAATTCTTGTTCTTGTCGGTGGAGAGCATACGGGTTCAGGCGTGATGCATACGCCGCTCTAACGCACTGCTCACCGTAAACAGAGGGGTGGATTTTAGATGGGATGGACGATCGAGGTCGGCATTTAGACAAATCAACTTTGCCGCTGTCCAATACACTCGGTCCAAAGACAACTGACTGTGAAGGAAAAGACTTTAGAGGGTTGGGAGGAGGTGATGTAGATGCTTTTAGTTCAAAAGAAGATGTCAAGTCGGTGGAGGTTGTCGACTCATTCGGTGTAGTGCTGCTGCCACCGGTATACGGCCTCTCCGTTGAACCAGCAATGTGGGATCCATCAGATAGGAATGCTTGTGACTTAGGATCTCTGGGTGCTAGGTCTCCCAGAGCAATTGATGCTGCAGCTGCTTCGTAAGCCTTGTGCGTAATGCGCAGTCGCTTGGCAGGAGGCTCAGATAGTTCGTTCGGTTGAGATAGAAGGGTTTCTTGACCCTGGGCCGTAATCTCGGGATTTGGGACATACGGATTCATGTATGAGTCTTCACCCGGGGTGATTCCGGTCTGGAACCTCAAGGACGCTGCGCCAAACCCATACATGTTGATACACGGGTATCTGCAGGGAAATCTTCAAAAGAGTGTGTCAAGGAGTACAGAAAAAGAAAAGAAAGAAAATTCCACGTCAAAACAAAGGACGTAAGTTGTGAACCTGTGAACTCGAAGATATGATGTCGACAGTCCCTTCTATCCCGAGAATGTGTCGATATCAAATATTCAGGCATTCACCCATGATATGGTCATAGGTATTCGATCTGCATAAGCCGAAGTAACACAGGCTAAACGAATAGATCAACTGGGAGTATGTTAGATGAAATGTAATATGGTAAAAAAAGACCAGGGGAGTATGAGAGGATAGATGAAGACCGAAGCGATATCACATACATCGAATTCCACCCCACAGGATCATAGAATTGAGAATAAATCCCATCAAATAGTTCAAGAATGATACGAATTGGACTTGGAATTGGAATTGTGAAACTGGATGAAGGGACAGTTGATGAGAGTAGAAAAACCCTTGTGGCTTGATTCCTCGGAGCGGGGCGTATTTCTCAGTCCGGCAGGTTGCGGCACCGAAGTTCAACGTCCAAGGGATCTCTCTCGCTTTACTTCACGTTTGATATCAAAAGAATCTACTTTCATATTTATTGGGTCTAGTTTTGAACATGAGTGTGTAGACCATATGCCCCTTCCTCCCCTGCAAACCCGTCCGAGTCATTATCGGTGAACTCATCGTGATATCTCTTCGAGTTTTTCCAAGGACCCGGCTGATCACTATCACTGTCGTCACCCAAAATCAGGTCAACATTGTCATCGTCAAGATCCGTGAATCCAAGTCGCTCTTCTTCATCTCTCGCGAGCGTAGTAGAGGCTTTGTTCACATTAGGATCTTCCGAAAACCCACGATGAGGGCGGTGCGCGGCATGGTCAGATTGGAGGGAACCTCGAATATCTGCACGCTCTTGGGCTTCGAGCTCTGCTGCGCGGGCTAGAGTTCTAAAAAAAAAGAGAGAGCAAGATCAGCATGAGTTCACAAGATCTCGATAATAGATGAATTCGGGGGCTCAAACCTTTGGTATATATACCACCCGGTAAAGATTCCAATACTGATTGTAAGGATAATACTGCAGATATTCACGGCTTTGGATCCCGCACTCATCTCCTCCCCTTTCTCGGAGAGCAGACGTATCCGACTACCGATAAACGCAGGTACCAATAATTTGGGAGAGATGATGGCCGTCGCAAGTCCGTACATCAATGGCTGCACCGTAGGGAATGTGGACACAGCTCCGTTGCAGATTGAGTAAGGCAGCGGGCATAAACGGATCATACACAGAAGCTTGAGTCCATCATATTTCAATGTCAGGGCCAGTGCAGCGAACCTCGTGTCACGTTCCATAAGGCGATTGACGAATCCAGACAGAATTGTCCGCGAAACATAGAACGAGACAGTCGACCCAAGAATTGTTGCGGAAGCGTAGATCAACCACCTATAGAAGAGATATCGGGTTAGCCTTCTGATTTCGTTGTTTTTGTAGGTAGAATGAAGTTAACATGAATCGGACCATATCTTACCCTTTCCATATACCAAATATGAAACCAGCCACAGTACCAAATGTGGACCAACCCACAAGAGGTGGAAAAGAGACAAAAAAGACACACAGCCACAGAATAAAGGCCGCTAGCCAGGATGTTTCCCACTTCTCAGCGACCGGGCCAAGCCAGATGAACAACTTCCCAGTGAACACCATGAACGCGATACCGGATGCACCCACGAATAGAGCAGCAAAGATAGTCCCTATTCTCTTCCATAGAGTCATCTCCTCCCAGATCTTATTCATACGATGATACAATTTTGTTCCGCGGTGGATTATCTGTTCGCGATAGCTTGCAGCCGGCCCGCTCGGTCTGGAGTTTCGCCTGCCAGCGCGACTCCAGGGCGGGTGAGCATCACTGCCTGGAGAAGAAGGTATGGGATCCGGAGAAGAGGATGAAAGAGACAATGCTCTGGCGGTCGAATGGTAGTCCGCAGGCATTGTGAAATGTGTATAGTCCTGGGTATCAATATTTGGTGAAAGGCTGGATCGAATCCGGGGGGGAAGGTGAACCGCTTTAAAACAGTGACCGGTAGGAAGTACAATACCAAGGCCAATAGGTCAATATCCAAAGAAGTTTCAAGGGCGTGTCAAGGCCCTGATAGTTGGACCGAACATGGAGGAGAAGCCAAGCACTTTTAGGCTGAAAATCAGTTTAACCCTGAAAGAATCCCGATTGCAAGTCAGCGGATCCGCCGGACTTGAGCTCGGGTGTGTTGATCTACATGTTCGCCAGAGCTCCAGGGTTGTTTTTTGAGACAAATTATCCTCCTTATCTTCTTTAAGGTACATACACGAAATCTGAATTTTGCATATAGATATTTGTATCTATGCATATGTTTCTATGTTCATTGCCGATGCTATACGAGTACTAACCCACCGCATAAACCTTTCTTTTGATATTTTATTTATTTATATCTTCATGTTTTCTTTCATATCCTAATTGCATATTATTTCATCGATCCAAAGAAGCCACATAATCAATCCCAGTGGTGTGTTATGGGAGGACGGAGTACTTGAAGCTCAGATAAGCTGTGTCCCCCAGTGTTGATCTTCTCCGCCCCCCTCTTTGTCCGTCACCTCACCCTTTATTCACCTTTTCCCATTCAACGTCGATCGGCGGCGATGCGATGTAATTATCTGCTTGTCATTTATCAAGTTCGCAATTCTCTCCTTGTGCTATAAGCTGAATTCAACCTTGGAAACCCCTTCACTTTCCCACCTGGTCATAGAGAGAGAGAGAGAGAGAGCATGAAGTGTCTCTGATTCTCGACTCTAGTCCTACTTTCGTCAAGCAATTTCCTCTTTATCTCTTCCCGGCTCCGCACGCCCAATCCAAGACCCAACCTCTCTGATCGCTAGGGTTTCAGATTGTTTCCCGACCCTTCGACCCTTCTCGCCCGCGCGTACCCATATCAACATACACGATGGTTTCCGACGAGCTTCTTGAGAAATGTCTCCAGATCCTGCAGGATCAGGCACTGGATGAGGAAGAACAAGCGGAGAAAGTGGAGGACTTCTTGCGCGCAAACACCTCCATGGCAGGTACACCCTTGGAGAATGCGGTATTGGACATCCTCTGGCGCCATCGCAACCGAAACATGCCAGATGCTTCGCCTCCAGTCCGTCACACCGTGATTCGCCGCTCATCGCCTGCGCCATGGCAAATGGCTCGATCATCCACGCCGCTCTCCCCTCATTCGACTTTAGGAACCAGCCCTGGGAGTAGCTCGTGGATGCAAAGCTCCCGTGGGCCATTCTCGCGGCCCCCACTATCTTCTACTGTCTCTCCGTTTACCTCCCCACGCCCATCGCCCCGGCTTGCCCTTGCCCAGCCTATACCCCATTCCCCAAATCTAAACGCCTACGAGTTCTCGGATCAGAGTCAAATTTCTGACTTCTATGGAGACTTTGGAGGTGATAACAATGTTGACTGGCTAGTCGCGGATGATGCCAACAGTACAACATCGTCCGCGGGTGGTGTGAGCACCCCCGGGGCACTTAGCGCCACTGCGGTTGAATTTGTTCCAGATATGAGCCCACATGACATACTGCGCACGGTACTGGGTGACAAGCGATCAAACGATGAAATAGAAGCTGCATTGGAGGCTAATAGTTATGACCTCGGTGCTACTATTGCTTCGCTCTCGCAGGATATAGAATCCGAGGCAATTTCAAAACAACACGACGACGGTCGTGTTTTGGTTGGCAAGTCTATGACAATGGAGCAAGTACGCCCGGTCACGCCATTGGGTAGCAGTCGCAGCCCTGTGGTCTGTAAGTACTGGCTGTCCACTGGACAATGCCTTCGAGCGGACTGTCGTTTTAGTCATGACCTAACCGCACATGTGTGCAAGTGAGTGTTTCGAATATTCCGATTGAACCAATCTTTCTGGCACTAACAAATGTGAATAGGTATTGGGTTATGGGAAACTGTCTAGCCGGTGATGGATGTCCCTTCTCGCACGATCCTTCGGCGCTTATCGGCAATCTCAGTGTCACGGATGGTAGTCGACCAGCTTCGCCCTCCCCATTCCAGGTGGACAGCGGTTCTGATGCATTTCCACCATTGCAAGCGGCAGACAACGGCGACCAATGGGCAACCCAGTACACGGGCCGATACCCTGCCCATCTTTCTGCTTATCAAGCCAGCAAGTATGCGCCTCCTGGCCTCCTTCCTGGAATGAGCAAGAGAAATGGAAGCGCAACTCATCTCGGACGCCCAAGCTCCCGTCCATCAAGCCGCCACCAGAACCGGGAGTTGAATCCCGCTGCACCCTCTGTGGACGACCCAGATGCCTTCCCAACTCTTGCTGCGGTCAATGCCAAAAATGCCGGCAAAAAGCATCATGGAAAACGGGGCGGTCATAACAACCGCGAAACCAGCTTGAGCAAAGAAAGCGTCCCTTCATCTCTGGCTGATGTGGTTCGCATGACCCCATCTCCTGTCCCCGGAAAAACCAAATCTGGCTCCAGAAAGGACGCGAAGGGTCGTGAAAACAGTGCGGCAGCTCAATCTATCCCACCCCCGCAAAATATTCCCTGGCTGGAGACAGGCACGCGGGCCAATCAACAATATATTAAATACCGAACAGAGGCTATTCGCCACGGCACTGTGCGAAACAAGTTCCTCCAAAGGTAAGCTTTCAACGAGTACTATGTTCTTCAGCCCTTTCTAACGATTATATCTACCAGCGCTGCACAAGCATGGAACCGCAATGATGCACGAGCTGCTAAAGCATTGTCGTTGCGCGGCCAGGCCGAGAACGACGCGATGCGCAGGTGTCATCGGGAGGCTGCGCGCCAGCTTTATGAAGAACGCAATCAACATTTGTCCCACAAGGGATTGGATGAATCTTCAGAAGAGCTATACGTTGACCTTCACGGTCTCCACCCAGAAGAGGCTATCGAATATCTCGAGAAGATCCTGCTCAAGCATGCCCGAGAAGGCCTCCGGGTGGTATATGCCATCACAGGCACTGGTCACCACTCGAAGAATGGCAAAGATAAGATCGGCAAGGCCGTCAAGGCATGGTTGAACGAGTGGCGGTATTTGTTCCGGGAATTCAGTGTACCTGGTGAGCGAGGCGGTTATGTCGGAGGGATTCTCGGCATTGATCCGACCAGTTATGACAAGTCAGTAGCCAAGGAGTTGGCTAGTGAATTGATGGAGGCCAACGCTGGCGGAGAGCCTCCGATCCTGACTATGGGCAAAATCCATTTACTCAAGCGTGAAGAAATAGAGCAAGATCAATGACCTAGCGTGTCATTCAACTCAATTTGCCTCGAAGCAGCATGATACCCCAGTACCAAACTTATTGGAATCCATTCATAATCAAAAGCTGTCACTCAACCACAGCATGCAAAAACTCCATCAGGTGAAAGTATTGAGTTCTTCAAGCAATCTCATAGATTCTTCTTGGCTGTATGCTTCGATATACTTTCAATATGTCTTTCAGAGCTAGCGAGGCAACCAATTATAATGCATGGTAGGAAAAGCCTCCTCTCAAATCACGATACCCATACAACCCACCAGAATGTGCAATGAAAATATACAGGGATATCATGCTTATGTAGATAACAACAGCGCTACAAATATAAACTACCTACTCCGGCTCCTGATGCTGCCACTGCCCCCTCGAAGCATCAACATCAACCCCACAAGCCTTGGCCTTCTTAACAATGGCTCTAGCCTTATGAGCAACAGGAACATCAATCATCTTCCCATCAAGCGTCCAAGCCCCCCTCCCAGCCCTCGCAGCCTTCTCATCCGCAATGACAACCCGCATAGCCCACTCCGTCTCCACCGCATCCGGCCCAAAGATCTCATCCGCAACCTTCACCTGCGACGGATGAATACACTGTTTCCCATTGAACCCCAACCTCCGCCCATCCCGACACTCCTCCTGCAGCACATCCGGCGGCGACCCATCCCCCTTCTTAGACTTGTACGTCGTACAGACAAGGTCAATCGTCGAGGGTAGATCCGCCGCCCGTGCAGCGGTGGCTATCGCAGACCGCGCGAACAGAAACTCTGTCAGCGAGGGCGTCCGCGTTAAACTCAGGTCTAGGGCAAAGTCCTCGGCTGCAAACACCAGGCCTTGGAGTAAGGGTGAAGCGGCGCAGATCTGAGAGAGGTTTGTCAGGGACTTGGCAGACTCTACTAGAGCCAGGAGGGAGATTGGGGTTCTTTCTATTGGTGGTTGCTGGGATAGGGTGTGGGTTATGACGTCTGTGACGAATGTTAGGTCGGAGGCGGAGTTGACTTTGGGGATTACGATTGTTGTTAGGTTTGGTGATTGGAGCTGAGACGGTTAGCGGGCTGGATGTCGGAAGGGAGGAGGCTATTCGGATATGTAGGTGGCTGGGTGTGGGGTGTTTGGAGTTCACTTACGACTTCGGTCAAATCACCCAGTGCTAGTCCGCTGTCTACGGAGTTGATTCGCACGGCGCGTTCCCGGATTCCTGGTGGCGCGGCTTGATCGATTGCTCTCCGCACCAGTGAGCGCGCCTCTACTTTCATGTGCGGTGTCACGCTGTCTTCTAGATCGTAGGTGACGCAGTCAGCGGTCAGTGACCGCGACTTGTCTAGGAAGCGTTGGGAGGAGCCGGGGACTGTTTGGCGTTGGTTAGCTTGGGAGTTCTTTGATTTTGGAGCTTGGGGGTTGTAATGCGGGGAAGATGCGGCTTGGAAGGGAGCTCAAGCTTACCGTAGAGGAGAGAACGACGGAGGGTATTGCGGGCGGCCATGGTTTATGTGATTTTGTGAGCATTCAATAGTAATAGAGCTGTGCAGTGTGTATTGTGCTGCTTGGGGGAGTGGAGGTCTTTATGGAGTTGGTTTGGTCGGCAAGAAGCCGACTCGGCTATCTGTAAAGCCGCTTTAGTAGTCTGTCTCACGTATAAGGCTGGAGAGTTGGCAGCTTTTCTGATTTCTTTCGAACTGATTCAACTTATGAGATTACACAGAATGAGCAATCCGTACTAGGATTAAAGGTACTTAATTGTCTCGGCGAATCTGGTATTGAGGATTGCGATCTTATGAGTTTCGCTAAAAAAAGACTAGGACGCAAGAGCTTTATATCCCCGACTATATATTTCTTGAACAAGTCTTCTGAAGAGATCAATCTTACGGTCCTAACGAAGAAATTACTAGACCTGTTTAGGCTACAAGGGATCCTCCTATAGCAACCACTATATACGATATTAAACTCACCTTTTTTAGTTTGGTATCGCTGCCCCAGTGGATAGTGTTAAATTATTGGCTTCAAATCTTCTCTTGCCCCTAGGTCTTTCTCCTTGTTTTTCTGTCCTGCGGGTTTAGAGGCTAATTATGTAACTAGTTAAGTACATTGCTTTGCCTGGAAGATGCAGCATTTTGCCTAGGAGCCACCCATTTTCCCTGTGTCCCTTGTACCATCATTTTGTTCTAACCCTTTGGTATCGAAAGATAGAAGCAAGGAAAGTTAATTTGTTCGGGAGCAAAAGGCTGATCATCAATATATATAATATTTGCTTCAACGCAGTCCAAAACACACATTGGCAGAAGAGCAGGAGTACTTTAGCATATATATATAGCTTTACTGTCATTACTCGCAAAGGTTTCTATGAAGTTTGTATGATAGTTCAACCTTAAAGACTGTGCCTATACCAATCAAAAGAGAATCCAATTTGCTCAGGCTCGCCTGAAGAAAGCGCGTGAAGAAGAGCACGTTTCTCCAGGTCCTGACAAAATTCCTTTTTCGAAAAAAAGTCCTCTTCCATGCAATTTTGATCCACATCACGATTGTCGTCACTGGCTCGCCCGGCGATTGTTGCTTCGCCGTGGACACTCTGTAATAACGTTTCCTTCTTTCCGTTTTCGTTACTTTCCATCGTATCGGTTCTTTCGTTCAAAAGTGTTTTCGTGTGTGTGGCTAATTCTGAGACTGTGACATATTTGTTATGCCAACATTTGTCGATGATATTATCAATCAGGGGATTGCCATCCAATTTCGGAAATTCCATATTCTGTAGTAGATCCACGACCTTAGGACCATGGTCGTAAGGATCCTCGGTAAGACAGCGATCTCCATAAACCTCAAAGCCGTAGTTCATCTAATAGTATAAGGAACCGAGCGCAAACTGTTCTGTTCGAGGGCCAAGAAAACCAAAAGTTCCACATTCCCCTTGGTCTGACTCATTATTGTTAAGTATTCGGCCATACGGAGCCATACAAGCTTCGTAATTTGTGCCAATTTTCGCCGTACAATCGAAATCGGATAGCTTTAGTCTGTTGCGATCAAGTAGAATATTTTCAGGTCGTAAATCACCATGAGCGAGTTTGATAGATTCTAAGAAAGCGACGGCTTGAGCGAGATCGTTCATCCATTCTTTTCGTAGGAGTAGAGGTTCCAACTTTTCTACTGTAGTAACCACCATAGTTTGCTGGTCCCGAGTATGATTCTTTTGTATCCTAGAAGAAAGCGATATATCTAGGAGGTAAATTAGTAGATGACCCTTAACTGCCAATAGGGGCCGTACCTCTCATATACTCGAGGAAAATACCACTGCTAGAAAAGAGAAAACATTGCACAATAGAGGGACAAGGCGGATTTTGCGAGAATACTTGATATATCTCGAGCTCTTTTTGGAATTGTTCCCTCGCGAATTCCCCAGACTTGGGGACTTTGACCACGATGCGAGGGTGGACCTCGTAAACAAAAGAGATGCCTCCGCCCCAGATCCAGTGGACATTAGGAAACTGGCGTTGGATATCCATGGTTGAAGGTTGACGTGAGATGGAGAAGCGGGATTTAAGGAGAAAGGGTAGGAGCAGGGTCTTTATCCCTGCACCCCAAGAATCTCCTAACTTAGTTATACTCTGTAGATTCGGACAGTTTATATCACGTGACGAGGACTCAGTACCCAGCAGAATTATTCTGCCATTTCTCAGCGATCATTTTTCACCGCATTGAAACCCTATGGATTTGGACCTCATGTAGGAACAAGGTCACGTGACATACACCCCAGCCTTTGTGATATGGGTTGCTTCGCTTCGCTCCGCAATCATTCAAATCCATACATAACAGACTACCAAATTTGACTCCACCTTTCTCTACTTGATTCTAAAGCACTTTAAGCATCGACAGATAGAATCGAGCGACATGCAATGTGTTCTAGATTCATATGTTTGGCTTGATACTCCACAATCTTAGAATGACCAGTTGAATGTCTTGAAAGTGTCCTTACTGCAGTTTCAGCAGATTCCAGACGAAGGCTGATGACAAACACTCCTATCGGAGACTTCATTCGATACTCTCGCACTGGGCCAGGGTGATGCTCTATTCTTTGCGACAGGTGCGTCACTAAACATGGGATTAGAGCGAGCTATACATCTGCAAGGACCGGGGGACCGCCAAAGAGCTTTGAGTAGATCTCAGTCAGGACGCGAACATCAGCACGAAGAGCTGGCGAGTTGTTCCCGTAGCGAATCAAAAAGCGAATCGTGCGTTTGAAGAGGCGATCAAGGGTCGAGCGTTCTATGAGCTCGGAGAAACCAGCGTTGTAGGTTGCGGCGAGGGCAAGCATGTTGTCAAATTGCCTACAAGATTAAATGTCAATGTGGGATCCAAGAGGCTGAAATAAAAGGTAATTAAGAAGCAGCGCTTACGCATGAGCTGTGCCAAACATGTTTGGTACCACGAGTCTCTCTTTGATGCCGTCAAGCGCTATGGTGTTCTGAATGGCGCTTCTCACGCAGATTTGGCATGCGACACGCAGCTTTTTGGGTAGGTCATGGAAGCTAATAGCAGGCGAGGTTCGTCCTTTTGGGCAGAACAAGGAGGGGTTGCAGGGCGCGGGGCCCATACCATTAATCATGCGCTCTATGTAGGCAATACCGCCATGTGGCTGCGTCTGTGAGGCAGAGCTGGACCTCGAGGAATTTCCCGCACAGGCGCAAGTACCGGAGTGTCCGTAGTGCAGGACATAGTACAGCAATGGTCGGTAGATGATATAGCGTGTGCGGTAATAGGTGGCACGCATGCGAGCGGCGTTGATTTCATTAGCGGGCTCCTCAGTATCGCACCAAAGTATGCTTTTCGGCAGGGACCTACGCCAGAGGTCGAGATTCAAGCTCTGGGCTTCCTGCACGATGGATAACCAAAATGTTCGGCCTTGCTTTTCGACTTTGCGTAGATCCGATGGCACCTGATTGAGGGTTTTGTGGAGGTGGATTTGAGAGTAGTAGAATAATATCATCATCGTGCTCGAAGGGGTATTGGCTTTGGAGCCAAGGGTGGTGTATTGAAAGGTGCCTTTTGGTAAAGGGACCCGGCTCTCGTATCGTGAGATGCCGCTTGCAGGGACGTTGAGTTCCATGAGGAGATCACTTTCTAATTGTAAACAACTCCAGTAGGCAAAGTCGCAGAGGTTTTTCCCGTAATCTTCGAATTCCTCGTAAAGTGGCATTTGTACAAGCAGCTGGCACGCCCGGGCTGCCCGACTGATCCATCCATGACTTTCGAAGGGATGTGTTAATTGACCAGCATAAAGACCAGCCAGTAAACAAGCTTGGATATAGTCAAGCTTCACGTCATCTTGAAGCTGGCTTAGGGTTGTTGCAGCGTACTCATATAGAGCCAAACCGGGAATAGGTGACTGGTTCCTGAGGTATCAGCAGTTATCTCGGCTAGCGGTGATCGTTTTTCTGTGCAGGGTTTCCTAACCTTGGGCTCAGTAGTCGATGATGGGAATGAATGGTTGGAGGCTTGGAGCGGCACAGAAGTGTGTGGCAGCCGACAATTAACGGTTGGATCTATGACAGAACCAAGAAGAGGGAGTTTACTTTCACAGATAGCCCCGAGTGCGAATATAAGCAAGATAATCACATTGTCGATGTTTTGTTCGACGGGTCGTCCGGGCGACGCAAAGGCTACGTCGAAAGGCCATCTGAGAGCCCCTGGATTGTTATGGGAGCTGGCTTCTGGTGACGGCAATGCAATTCGATCGCAGTGGCATTTGATGAAGCCCTCTATTTTCCGATCTAGCTCTTGCTGGTCCAGGAAAGGATGGAGCTTGTACATGCGGTCGAGATAACTCTGATAGTACCGCCGCGCAGTTTCCCCAAACAATTTCAAAAGAACACATTGGTGGATTTCCATGTCTGGGTTGTGGGCGAAAGCCCTGCTTTGATCTATCCACGGTGCGTTTGGGCTAGGCCTGCTCCCGTTACAGCTACCGCCGTCGTTTATCAGGGATGATCTTGGTAGGTTGGTGTCATCTGCCGTGTATGAAGGTATATCACTCGGTCGATTCACGCTGGTAAGCCCCCGCTCCTCCTCTAACCTCATTATATAGTCCTGGTCATAATCATGTGCGTGAACAAGTGTCTTGACAGAGGGCCACAACAGCAAGTTGTGGGCCACTTCGGTGTATCCTGGAAAGAGAACGGTCAGCTGATCTCGATATTTCTGACAATAGTTTCAAAGTCTCACATACCCCGATTGACATTTATTAGATAACTGTCTATGGAGGGGAGTGTTGGCGCCGGTAAGATATTGGGTCGCGCAGATGATACATCTGAAATTCGACTGGTGTTCAGAGTCCTTGCCCCAATGTACTCTGCGTTTGTTTGGGATGACGACAGGGTCAGATCCGGGATATCTTCTGTCTCTAGACTTGCTGTGGTCTCGGCCAGAAGTGGGTTGATGCATTTTCGGCCAGTGAGACTCCGGAAGTGCCGTGTAAGATTTGATTTGCGACCATAGTGCCTACCACATCCCCAGTACTCGCCATTCTTCAGTGGACCTCGGCATCTCCACGGCTTTTCACCGCTGTGAAGCTGTTGATGCGTTTTGCGGTCATGATCTCTTGTGAAGGATTTCCCACATACTCCGCAAAGGAATGGCCGCTCATTCGTATGAGTGCGTAAATGATTTCGGAGGGTAAAGGATCTAGTATACTTTCGCGGGCACAAAGGGCAATGGAAGCTGGCAAGATGAGGCTGCATTTTTGAGGTGATAGCTAGATCTTTTTGGGGTTCATAGGAAAGCGTCTGTTTCTCCACGATCTCGTTCACGGGCATTATTTCGTGCTTTCCAGAGTGACAGGTGCCAAAGATGTGGAGATGTAAAGGAATGGTGATCACCAGAGATGAGAGGTTCAAATAGTCTTAAAATTATAGAATTTTCCGAGTTGCACAGACTCAAGCCCCTGAGAGAACCACCTTACTGCAGCAGTTTCCTGGCTCCAATGATATAAGATGACGACTAGGCGCACATAAATGGACATCTGCACAGGCTCAAACTCGGTGAGCGATCCCCGTACCATGGGCCAATAGGAGGACAAGCACCCCGGACCGTCTACAGTCCACCCCCCCAATTCTCGCATCTCGGCATTGGCGCAGTCTCATAGGCTCACCTCGCGTTGGCACAGGCTCCTTCTGCACTGGCACAGGCTATTTTTCTATACTCCAGCTCAATCATGGCGCCCCTTCTTTTATCTTTCTTGGAACGGGCTAAGTAGGATTGTTTGCTGCAAATATTTACAGTATGTGACCAGTCCGATGGGCATTGGTTCCTTCCTCTTCCTGTCCACAGACCTACAGACTGAGCCTGTGCATCGTGAACTGCGGCTCACTCTGCCTGAAACCATTTTCCCAGATTGTTTATGAATCAGTTTCTAGCTTCGGATCGTCAGTATAATTGGTCATCTTGTACTCTGAGGCAATAACATTCGCTTAATAAGTTACTCCGTGACTCCTGAAGCAGTATGCACTGGCTCCAAAAGCTATCCGGCGAATGACTTTTGTCTTGATTATCTGAGAAAGCTGAGGTATTTCTACCAAGCCACGTCGCCTATCTCTGAAGAAAAATGTATCATACACCGAGGATTTTGAAAGCTCCTCGAGAATACGGATCCATAAGTTGAATAAACAAAAACCCATGACTCCGGAACTCATCTGCTCGATCGTCTTTGGAATGGCAGCAACGATACTTGCCTCCATCGGACTTATCCAGAATTACTTTCGGCAGCCAAGCCGAGGTAAGTTTGCCTGCCTTTTTCCTCCCAGATCTCAAGTCTAATGATCGAGGTAGACATTGATCTTGAAGACGACAGCTCTCCACCTATTCAGATAGGATTTGTCGGATCAATCAACATCTACGGATGAAATACCTGACAGACCTAAGATACTGCTCGGACGACAGTGGAAGAAAGCTCGAGTGTCCTGTCTGTGCTGCAATTTTACCTCCATCAAAACAATGCTATATGTGATACAGAGTATTCGATACCTATCGAGTTTACAATGAAGTGAGGTCGATCCAACGAGAGATTGGGTGTAATCTCTTTCAATGAGAGAACTCAGAATGGAGGCTCTGCCATTCTCAGTCGCAAAGCTTGATGTAAACATACATGCGCAAATAAAAGCATTTCCTACAAATTCCAAAGACCGACTTGATATTAATGCGTACAGCAGCCTGGCTAGGGCTATACAAGCAAAGGGAGCTCACCGCCAGATGCACCCCAATCATATTTGCACCCAGAGCTTCTAGCAAAACCTCCTTTGAAACACCGATTCCTAGGACACCCTTCCGCCTTGAACCATGACCGAGCTTGGTGAACTTAAGCCGACAGAAATCATCTTCAGAGCGAAGCTGTTCGCCTCTGGATTCTCAGATTCATTTCTCGTCAATGTTGGCGAACAGACATGTATCATGAAGGTGGTACAGTAGGTCAGGCAGATAAAAGGGCCCTGTCTATGACGTTTCGCTAATCTGAGAAGCATCATAGAAGAGGCCCATGAGAATACTATGAACCTGAGAATCGCGATTGAATATTCACGTACCTCAAACCACTGCCTACATTCGACTGAAGGACCAAGGGCTCTGTGATCGCGAAATTGTTCCCAACTTTCTCGGTTCTATGAGTAAGTTTGACCCCACTCTATGCCAGCCTCATCTGCAAATGTTTCTCCAGGATGAATACCCACCAAGCGTTATATTCTTGGAGTATATCGCCGGCCTAGAGATGCTCACACTGGATAATTACGCAGCACAGCGGATGAATAGTGTTGACGACATTCCACGAATCCATAAAGTGCTACCGCTACACAAAGACACAAAATCAAGGAACATAATGATCGTCAAGGGTACCCCAGAGAGAGTCGTTTGGATAGACTTTGATCAAGCGGACACGTGCAACAAAAACCAGGTCACCGTCGAACAAGAAGAAAGAATTGAGGTGGAGGAACTAATAGTAGGTGGACTCGGAGAAAACCTAGTGAGTGCATCTGCCACCAAAGATCATTTTAGTCAAGACGGGCTTTCTAGACGTCATCAAAAGGAGGAAGCCCGATGATATATATATCTTTCACTGTACCTGATGATATATATTCCTCAAATTGATATGATCACGGGTTCCCAAGGCTTAATATCAAAATGGGCCAATACGTATCTCATTAGAATCAAGTATAGGCTTGAGAGCGTAGTATGTCCTTATGATTACATCCAATGGGGTAATAAACAACGCTTCAATTATTGATATTTGTTTATGTGAGCCGACCAACCTTCCGAGAATTGGAGATAACTACAGTCTAGTTCTTTGCAATCCATACACAGCTCCGTACTCCTTCCTATGTTTGCTTACTGCGGAGTTACATTTCTGATATTGTGATTGCCTCATATGGTGTTGATGCAGGGCCCTTGTAAGGTTATATAGATCAAATTTTGGACCTTATCGGCCCAGCGCCACATACGTTGGATATTTATAACTGCACGTGTGGCTGACTGGTATCCACTCAATCGAATCACGTGAAATACTTTAGGGACTGTTCACATTATAGAAGTAGGAGTAATGGTTACATCTTTTTCAGGACCCTGTTGAATAACCTTGAAACAAGAGCGCCTTGAATGATTTGCTAGGTAAATGGTGTAGGCCTTGGCGAAGCAAATGACACGCATCATCAATACACCACTTGGTCTATGCTTCTGCTCTAGCTGATTATTCTGCCATGTTACACCGCCTATGCCCGTGTTTCGACCACCTAGGGATCATCATCAGTCAACAACAGACTTAACTCGGAATAAATTGACCCAATCTGTTGACCGAGAGGTCCTTTACACCCAGACCACATCAAACCCTCCACCTTGCAAATTATGGAACAAGGACAAGGAGGCCAAGGCGAGCTCAACTGGCGCCTCAGCGCGCACCCGATCACGCTACTTGTCTTCTTGGGCATTCGGATCGGTTCGTATTCACTTACCCCGAGTAACAGCGCCAACAATCACCTTACTAACGGGATTACTAGGCGCGCTACTGATGTATCTATTTGGTGTACTCTTCATCGATGACTTGTACGGACCCTGCGCTGAACTACCCGCTTGTCAACTCGCGACGCTAACGTATATCTAGCATCCTCGTTTTTATTTTCACCCTTCTCCTCCTCTCTGCGGATTTCTACTACCTCAAAAACATTGCGGGACGCCGGCTGGTCGGCCTACGTTGGTGGAACGAGGTTGACACCTCGACCGGCGACTCGCAGTGGGTCTTCGAATCATCCGACCCCAACGTTCGCACTGTGACCGCCACGGACAAGCGGTTCTTCTGGCTGAGCTTGTATGTCACACCTGCTCTGTGGGTGGGCCTTGCCATATTGGCCATTGTGAGACTTGTCGGTGTGATTTGGCTTAGTCTGATCGGTAAGTTACTTCCAAAATACCTTTTGAGATATGCTGGCACTAGGTATTGACTTTGGTTTAGTTATTGCGCTCATCTTGACTATCACAAATACCATGGCCTTCTCTCGCTGTGATAAGTTTGGCCAGGCCTCCACATATGCTAACTCGGCTTTGGGTGGTGGTATTGTGAACAACATCGCTGGTGGCCTGCTGGGCAGGCTATTCCGGTAATGGTAGACAGGTCAATGTCTGTCTTACCGTTAGTGGCCCTATACCGTGAGATTTCTTGCATGTGCTCTGTATTTCTAGCGGAATATTTGACCACTTACCATTCAAATGCATGCAATTTCTTTCGAAAATATGAAATATTATCTAAAGTTCTAATGTCATTGAGTACCCAGTCCACGGGTCTAGTGTAAGCTGCTTTAGAGATGAAGCCATTGCCTGAGGCAGGTCAACACATCGCTCCTTCCTCAAACAGGTAGTTTCCACACCAGCGTCACCTACCGATAATATTTGTTTTCCTTCTCGTTCCTCTTCCTCTTCTTTTCCTTCCCTCCCCTCTGCGTTCCCAGCGTCATCAATTTCGCGCGTCCACTACGCATCGACAAACAACCCGGTAAGTGTTACTCTTGGCGTTGACCTTGCACCATCTCTCGATGGCAGCGCCTGGGAGAGTGATCTATGTGAAAAGATCATGTTTCGATTTTCCTGGATGATCTTGTTCATTTGCATCTTCTACCTTCTCTCAACCTCCCTCGCCCTCGTCCCCACTCATGTTTTTAAAACTTGCGGGCTTCCATCCCTTCCCAAAACGGAGAGATTCTTCCATAATACAAAGAGTGTAGTGGTGTCTCTGGCTAACACGCATTTTTGAGAAGTCAGCCATAATGGCGACCAATATCCATGGAGCCCGAGATGATGGCTTCACCTGCGAACAGTGCGTTCTCTCCTCCAAAATCCTAGCTTTCCCAGCCCAGGAACTTCCCCTCAAAACTTCAATCACTCACAAACTCAAGGTGCGGTGAATCTGGCCACATGACTCGTCAGTGCCCGAATGTCTCGGTTCCTCTGAGACCCAGAAACAGCAATGCCGAGTAAGTTGTCACTGCTTTTCCCATCTCAATTTGTACCAGTTCATATCATTTAACCAGTCAAATATAGCGATGCCCATGGAAACTACAACGGCGGCAGTGGCGGTGGATATGGTGAATACGTCGGTGGTGGTGACCGCGCTTGCTACAACTGTGGCCAGGATGGGTAAGTCGCTGACCTCTATGTGCTTTTTTAATTATACTGACAACAATGCAGCCATAGCAAAGCTGATTGTCCCGAGCCTCGCAAAGGGGGTGGGGCATGCTTCAACTGTGGCCAGGAAGGGTGAGTGTCGGATATATTCGAGTCTGTTGCGGCGCTTATAGTTCTTTTGGACAGTCACTCCAAGGCCGAATGCACCGAGCCTCGCAAGATGGGTGCTTGCTTCAACTGTGGTGAAGAAGGGTGAGTTATTGTTGAAAATCTTGTGTGCTACGGCATTAATTGTTCTTTTGAAACAGTCACTCCAAGGCCGATTGCCCCAAGCCCCGCGTGTTCAAGGGTACCTGCCGTATCTGCGAAAAGGAAGGTCACCCAGCTGCTGATTGTCCCGAGAGACCCCCTGATGTTTGCAAGAACTGCCAGGCTCAAGGCCACAAGACAATGGAGTGCAAGGAGAATCGCAAGTTCGACCTCAACCTCGTTGCTGACATGCTTCCCCACGAAGGTTGGGCCGCAATGAAGAAAGCTAGTGATGAAAGAGATCTTGATGATTTCCGCGAGGTATCAGGAGTCCATACGTATCTTGAAAAGTTTGAGCTTTAGCTGACCTAATTTCAGGCACTCAAAATCTACAGCAAGGCAGTTCCCCACGCCACCTGGGCTGATATCGAGAAGAAGATGCGGGAGGATGAGTTCAACATCTACATCATTGCTATGGTAATCAATCATTGTCGTTTTGATACTCAGGGATAACGCTCATGAATGAATTTTTAAATGCAGGACTCTGAAGTTGACGACGTGATGAGCCTTATTGATCTCCAGGGCGTACTTGATCGTCAGTACGTGATTGGATTTTTTTAGCCCCAAGGCGTCGCGTGGCCACCTCCGAGACCGATGGCCTGCGGATGTCGAGGAGAACCTCGAACGCATGAACAACGCTGGTATTCCCTATGAGCGCAAAGTCCCCAAGTGTCTGAACTGCGGAGGTTAGTGTTTACTTTGACTACAGATCTCTCATACTGTTACTAAATCATTTAATCTAGCAATGGGACATATCTCGCGCAGTTGCAAGGAGGAGCGCGCGGAGGGCAACGACCGTGTTGAAATCAAGTGCTCAAACTGTGATGAGGTTGGACACCGTGTACGCGATTGCAGACGACAGCGCAAGCACAAGCATGCTTGCCGTAACTGCGGGTAGGTGGTTGTGATGGAGACAAGAAACTGGTTGATGCTGACTTCTGTGAAGATCTCTTGAGCATATTGCTTCTGATTGCACCGAACCCCGATCTGCGGATGGCGTTGAATGCCGCAAATGCAACGAAAGTATGACATGACCTTGAACAAAATGATTCATATATTTCATGATGCTAACATATCTGTTGAAGCGGGCCATTTCGCCAAAGATTGCCCCAATATTGCTGATCGTGGCCCTCGCACCTGCCGCAATTGTGGGTATGTTGAAACATCATAACCAGGAGCCCTAGAATTGTCGCTGGTTCTAACATCAATGCAGATCTGAAGACCACATCGCTCGCGATTGTGATCAGCCTCGTGATGTTTCCACTGTCACTTGCCGCAACTGCGAGAAGAGTGAGTGTGATGCATGCCCTGAAAATTATTACTTCCTTCGGCGATGAACAGAACTGACAGCCATTCTAGCCGGACATTACTCTCGTGACTGTGATCAGCCCAAGGACTGGTCGAAAGTTCAGTGCAGGAACTGTGGAGAAAGTGAGTTTGTCATTCACGCGTTCCAGATACTTGGGTTAGTCCGCTAACAATCCTTTAGTGGGTCACACCGTAGTCCGTTGCCGTAAGCCCAAGCAGGAGGAGCCTCAAGACGAACCCGCTTATTCTCCCGGCTCTCCCAAGCGCGAAGAAACCGATTTGCTGAGCCCGGGGGCTAGCGAGGAACCGTTCCAATACAAGCGCCACGACGATGACGACTTGTGGTAAACACTACATTGCAATAGGGAAAATGGGTGGCTGGTATTCCGATTCTCCCCCATTTATGATCGGCTTTGTGCGAGACTTAGGTCTTGACTGTCGCTGGGATGCCTCACGGTGGCCCAGGATGGACAAGAACCTGATGTCACCTAAGGGGTCTATCCTTGCTCGTGGTTCCCGATTTTTCTTTTTTCCAAACCTTGCGATATGTTTGATGTTAGCCAGTGATTTTACCTAGGAGTTTTACAATGATTGCTGACCGGCCGATGGTCTCACAAGGAGGGCATTTGTTGAGCACTTTGACGTTCTGTTGAGACTTGATTTTGATGCACCTCTGGATGGGCTTGAGGATGGAGGGTCTGGGCAGGAGGCTCTGATCTGGGGAGATTTCTGACGTTCATTGTTATCTGGCTGGCAAGCTCAATTTTCAATGAAACATCGATTTAGTTCAATCTTGGCCTATAGTAGACTGGAGTCGTTGTACTGTCGAAGTCGGTGGATGACGGTGCCAAGTCTGAACTGAACTCTAACAAATTAGAAAGCGCGATGATTCCGACTTTCATCGGCATTGCTTAGTTCGATCTGATCCAATTTGCCGGCTCGAGCAAGCCGGTTTTGTGACCAGTTGAAGTGTCGTATGGCCTGATTTTCCCGATGTCATCAAACCAAGCACTCCGGTGTCGATCATATCGATTTTCTTACTAGCATGGTCAGGGACGTGAGTCTTAGTATATTACCATGTCATTACCGGGTTGTACTGTGGGCCGAATTCGGGATTCCGTGCCCTAACTGGCCCTTTTCACTTGGAGTGGCCCGACACTTTATGGTCATTGGAAGTCCAGACTAATGGACACTCGATAGTGCAGGATATTAAACCGGACTCAAATCTTCACGGGCATAGAAGCCAAATGGGGAATGCACTTGCGAGGCTCTGTCAAAATAATTGCAAGGGTCCCATAGCCATGGAATTATTGCATTGAACAATATGTTGTACAGAGTTATCATTGACACTTTGATATGCAAACTGCATGATTAGGTAGCATTCCAGTGCAGAGCGGTTGATACATCACTGGGGTATCCGAATCGGGCATCCCGTCGGGTACCCCGTGCTTCGGCCTGCGCCGACCTGCCGATTTTGTCCAAGACCCATTCCCACTGAAATCCAGTTCGGCTAATTGACTCGGTCCCTCTTTTGGACGCTAGATCAAATGTGATGTCATTTAGTCTACTCCGTAATGGCTTCGGCTATAGCCGGTTTGACCGGCAAGTTGTCGGGGTCAGATTCCATCCCCGTGCGGCTTATACGGATGGTTCCTATACCCCTTGTTCATATCCCTGCCAAGTATGCTTGGCAAATCAACGGTGAAGGAACGATCAGAATTACAGGTTTAAAGGAGCAATTATAGTCTGAATATGCTGTCTATTTAGGTAGGGATAGTCCTTTTCAGCGAAGATCGGCAGAGAAAAAAAAAACGGGGGAAGTCCGGGGGAAAATGGAGACCCAAGGGCAGAAAAATCTCCAGGTTTTTCGTAATCCACCCTGAGGTCGGGACCAATTCCACCCCCACTGGACTCCATACAACATCCAAGTACCTTGAACCACGTGAGACATTGTATACCGTGCAGCTGTCATGCATTTCATAACCAGATGAGACATCGATGCTTTCGAATTGATTCCATTACAGTACGGTACAATACCGTGGATCCCGACTTGGCCATGCGAGGGCCCCTCGCATGGCCAGCACGCGCCTCATACATGCCGATTTGCCCGGGTTCCGTCGAAAACCTGGAGGAATACCGACGATCACCGTGTCTCGGCCACGGGGTACAGTGGCTCGTCCCTCCCGATTGGGCCATGGTATACATCACCAATGCAACCTTGCTGATGTTTCTCATTGGCCTGGGCCTTGCGAGATTCTGATTTGCACTTCGAAATCTAATGCCAGATGTGGATACCACCTCCTTGTTTGATTCTGGAGTTCATAAAACCTGGACTTCCCCGGACTTGAATGTTGAGTCGGATCTCTTTTTTTCTCTGCTGAATATTCTGCCGATTTCAAATACCTCTTCCGGTCCTGGCAAATAGTCGGACTCTCTTTCCTTTAGGGCTTGACTGTATACTACCTGTTCTCCGGCAATCTATACAACACTCGCCATTATGAAACCATACTTCGGCCTTCGGGGCACGAACCTCAATATCATGATCGGTGTTATTGCCGGTCTTGATTTCTTGTATGTTGGTCTTTGGCAATGCCTACTCTTGGAAGTACCCAGCGCTAATGTGAAATCGCACAGATTATTCGGATATGACCAGTATGTTTTCGCGCCTATACATAAGTGCGCTAGTGTATTTTTCTTGCTAACATCAACAGGGGTGTTATGGGAGGTCTATTGACATTGCACTCATTCGTTACGGTCTTCCCCGAAATCGACACCGTTAACGCAAGTGGCAACTCGACTACACAGGGTATGCATTTCCATGACAGCCTTCTACTCGTATACTAACTTTTTAGGAATCACTATTGCTTCTTATAACTTGGGATGTTTCTGTGGCGCAATCTTCTGTATCTGGGTTGGAAACTACCTGGGTCGTCGCAAGACGATTTTCGCCGGCTCTATCATCATGGTGATTGGGGCTTCGCTACAGGCCTCTGCGTTCTCCCTGCCGCATCTCATTGTCGGCCGTATTATCACTGGCGTTGGCAACGGCATGAATACCTCTACCGTCCCTACATGGCAGTCTGGTACGTACTTAGCTCTATTGGAGTGGAGTTGCAATGCTAATATTACTTAGAATGCTCCAAGTCCCACCACCGTGGAAAACTTGTCATGCTAGAGGGCTCCTTGATTGCTGCTGGCATCACAATTAGTTACTGGCTTGATCTTGGCTTCTCCTTCCTGGACCCTAGCTCTGTTTCCTGGCGCTTCCCAATCGCCTTCCAAAACGTCTTTGCACTGGTCATCTTACTCTTCGTGCTGCCACTGCCAGAATCACCTCGCTGGCTGATCCTCAAGGGCCGTGAGCAGGAAGCCTTGGATGTTCTCGCTGCTATCCTCGACTTGGATGAGAACGACCCCTACGTCCACTCGGAATTTGCCGCTATCAAGGATGCAGTCCTGGCCGCCTCGAGTGTCAGCTTCCGTGACTTGCTCACTATGGATGAGAACCGTCACTTCCACCGTGTTGTCCTTGCCTACGTCAACCAGATGTTCCAGCAGATTTCTGGTATTAACCTGATCACCTACTACGCTGCTACCATTTATGAGAAGTCTATTGGTATGGATGGCCTGACATCGCGCATTCTAGCTGCCTGCAATGGCACTGAATATTTCTTGGCATCTTTGATTCCCATTTTCATCATTGAGAAAGTGGGCCGACGAATGCTGATGTTGATCGGTGCCGCTGGCATGTCGATTTCAATGGCTGTTTTGGCCATCGCGACAAGCTTTGAGGGCCAGAGCAAGGCTGGTGTTGCTGCTGCTGTATTCTTGTTTGTTTTCAACACATTCTTTGCCTTTGGCTGGCTGGGAATGACCTGGCTGTATCCTGCTGAAATTGTAAGGCTTTCGTCTCTTTTTTTTCCTTTTTTTTTTTTTTTTTTTGGCAACCAAAACTAACAATGGGATAGGTGCCTCTACGAATCCGTGCTCCTGCCAACGCACTCGCAACCTCGGGTAACTGGATCTTCAACTTCATGGTTGTCATGGTCACGCCTGTTGCATTCGACACAATCAAATACAAGACATATATCATCTTTGCTGTCATGTGAGTATACTCTATGCGAATTGGTTTTGATGCACGACTAACCCTGTTTCCAACAGTAATGCATTCATCTTCCCCGTTGTCTACTTCTTCTACCCTGAAACTGCCTATCGATCCCTGGAGGAGATGGACACAATCTTCCACAAGACAACTAGCATCTTCGATGTCGTTTCGGTCGCCCGCAACGAGCCTCACCGCTACGGTAAGAAGGGCGAGCTTCTCATCAACTACGAGGAGACCGATGAGCACCTGCGCCGTGCTAGCTATATCTCAGAGAAGAAGGTCAAGCTGGCCAATGAGATGGGCGATATGGAGACTGGAAAGGGTACACACATTGAGCACCGCAAGGACAGCTCATCTGATAGTGCCTAGTTAAGCCTTTTGAAAAGGTCTATTTTCATTTCATTTCAATAAACAGTTTCCTGACATTGATTAACGTCTCACTATCTATCTCCAATGCTGAATGGATATTTCATGAATTATGATGGCATACAGTCATTAAGTATTGCATATTATAAAAACATCGTATATGTCAAAGGGATCAACGACAAAATTCAGCCACAAATGGCCTCCTTCAACCAAATCACAACCTGCCCTAGCTGTTCACAATCCAAAGGCCAAGCCGCCAACCACAGCAACCAAGACAGCAGCCAGGATGCCAGTCCCACTAACTCCCACACTCACCGCAACACCAACGCCTGGCTCCGATGCAGTTCCCCCAAGGCTTGGGCCAGTCGCATCATCTGTCGAATCCGACGCAGCCCGAGCAGTAGCACTCGTTGCGGACAAGGTGACAGGCTCCGACGAGCTCTTAAGAGAAGTCGCCGAGTAAGGAGGGAAGTAAGTGTAACTAGACGACCTTTCCTCAAGCGAAGACGTCGCCACAGCACTGTCCGTCGCATAAACAGACCAGACAGTGCGAGTACTGGTCCTAGTAGAAGTAACCGTCTGAACAGTGTATGGAGCAAAAGAAGTCCAGTAGTAGTACCAGTAAGTCCTATAAAACCATCAGCAAACCCAATCACTAACTCAACCATCCATAGAACATACCAGTAGATAGTCGTATAGTAATAATCCCAATCAACCCGAACATAAGTCGTAGTCGTCTCCCTCTGTGTTGTCGTCGTCGAGGACGTAACATCCGCCGTAACAGTCCCCCCAGACCCAATCCCATCATCAGATCCAACCCCGGCATTCTCCCCAGCACATCCAAGCACCGAACTGCAACAGACCCTCTCCCCTTTCCAGATCCGACACTTCTTCCCAACACGACAATAATACCCACCAGAGCAGCACTCCCCGCCTAGCGGCGCACACCCGTCTGTCCCGTCACAGCATTTATATCCAATGGGACATGTTCCACCGCCTGTGCAGCATGTATCGCCTATCGTCGCGCAGTACCCATTCCCGCAGCACTTCTTGCCGAGTTTGCAGCAGCGGCTTGAGTCGTATTCGCATTCGGTGTATCCAATTCCGCATGTTAGCTCGCGCGTGTTGAGACTTGCGTTATCGCTGAATAGGGCGAATGCATCGTCTGTGTTCAGGCGGGAGACATTGGCGAAGAGTTGGGGTTCTTCTTGGGTTGTTGTGCTGGTTGCCGTGTTTGCGAGGAGGGATAGGGCTAGGGCTGTGAGGGAGGGAATTGGGGCGAGCATTTTGGTGGGACTCCGTATAGAGTGTGGATATGGGAGGTTGAATGACACGCTCGTTACTCGCTTTGGAAACCACCGTTGGATTTTGGGCGCAACTGGGAATTTAAGTCGCCGTTCCCCCCGGGAAATTGCTACTCCTCACTCCGTACATCGATGAGGCTCGGTGAAAGGTCGATATGTGCCAAGATTAACTTTTAAGGTTGCTGCTCGTATTCGCGTGCCTCTGAAGGACAGGTTTCCTGCGGTGGCTGGAGTGTTGTTTTGTAAATACGAGGTGGTGTCTCTTGGCGCGGACTCGAGCCGCTTTTTGGGATTGATATACGGGGTGCTCGCTGTATGCGACCAAGTAGAGGAAAGTGAAAATTACGCTAGACCTTGGGCATTGGTGCTAGGCGGATTTCTCGTTGAAAATGCAGGTGTGAAGGGTCTGGAGATGTTCTTGGCTTTAGGGCTTAGCGACCCCTCGTGATAGGGGTCTACTTTATTTGGTTAGACTTGGATGCGCATTTCTTTGTCAAGAATCAGACCCTGTATATTCCGGTGGATCAAGTAAAATCAGTTCGTTCAGTTCCGAAGTCTCCTTTTGTGGCAGAGTTTGGGCTCTTTCATTGGAGGTTGATGTTGTGAAGACAAGTACGGAGTACACAGAGTTATCTCCCGAAAATCATTTTCTTCATGTTCATATGACTACTTAACCCATATTGTCTTTGAGTATACATAGTTAGTATGAAACATTGAAGCACATGTAGTATTGGAGTACACGGTGAGGCTCTGTTGTAAAGCAATAGTATCCAAACTTCCCGGCTTTCCGTGCTAGATCATGCACGCCATCTTTGTATTTTCCGGCGGAGGCTCTGTTGGGGCTTTGATTCATATTCCAGGGGTATTTCTTTTTTTTTGCTTTTGACTTGTAAGTAGATCGAATCTCGAGCAAACCACGGTGGGAGGATTCCGGGCGATATCTCAAGAGTTGGTATCTTTAGAAATCACCTTCTTTCTCAGGTTCTTATTGCTGGGTAGCTCCTGCTTGTCTTCGACGCCTTTCTTCTTTCCGAAGTTGTCCTCTGGGGTGGGTTCCTGCTGCTCATTGGTATTTCTGTTTTTTCCCGAATCATCCTTCATAGGTAGATCTTGCTGGTCGTCGGCGTTCTGCTTTTTTTCTCTCTGCAACAGCATGCTTCTTTGCTTTCCAGGCCTTCAGAGCTGCGGCTCTCTCAGCAACATAAAAACTCTCCTCCGTCTCAGAGCTCGAATTATCTGAGCTTGAGGCATTGCACTTGGTAGAATACTTGTCCATATCCAAAATCGAGTTAGTCTTGTTGGTCTCCTGGGACTTTTGATGCATGACCCGATGATTGGTAGACTTTTTGGTGGCAGAAGAATCTTTAGCTGTCCTTCTTGTCTTTCTTCTCTCTTGAGTAACGTATGGACACTCGATCGGAGGTTTCCAGTTTCTCTCATCCATCATATCGATTCTTGTTTTGCCCTGGAGAGCCGTCTCAGCACTGCCTAGCTCCGGGGAATTTGGCGGAACTGGCAAATTCAAGAAGTAGTACTTTTGGCCAGTACTTGTGGTCCAACTTCCTCTGTTTCCGTTGCACTTTCGGTATGGAAGTAGGAAAAGGCTCGACTTTTCGTGATCTTCGGGGAGTTCCGGACGCTTGAAGTTTCTCTCGTCCGCCACATCAATTCTTGCTTTGTCCTTGGGATTTATCTCAGTACTTTCTCTGTCTGGAGAATTTGGTGGGACAGTCAAATGTTCCAAATAGTATTTTGTGCCGGTAGTGTAGGTTTCACTTCCGCCTTCAACCTGACCAGTATTCCCATTAGGAAACTCGACTGTGCTCGACTTGTCTTGATTCTCGGGAGTCTGCACATCGAGGTTTACCCGTTTGACAGGCTCAACATCTTCTTCTGACTTGGAGCCATTCTGGATTGGGAGTTCTTTGCGCACGCTCTCATGAGGGCGGACGGATGAAAGGTCAGGAGATCGGTCAGTCTGGGAACCTTTCACAAGATTTTTCCATGTGGCAGTAACTAAGGAAATGATTGAGTGGCCTGGAGGCTTTTTGTGTCGGGGGTGGGTCACTATTAGTTTGCGCAGTCTGCTAGCTGGGCGCATAGAGCAAACGACACGACGCTTATCAGCTCGGGACTTGTTCACAGTTCCGGTTGTGTTTGAAGACATTGTAAGTGGATAAAACTGTCAAGGTTGGATAGGGGAGGTTGTGTTCGCGGACGACTAGATGACCACTGTAGGAGTTCTCAATACAGCAATGTGGATGTGGCCGGGGACCGCAGCCTGGGTGGTTGTTGGGAGCAGACGGGTGGCGTGGTGAAAAGTGCCTGAGACAAGCTCACAGACAAAACTGATGGGTGGTGGGGAGTAATGAGTATTGACACGGTTTTGGATCAAGAGACCAAGGAGGCAAAGGTCCTTGTAGAGAAGACAAGCAGACGCGCAGAGGTGACGGTGGAGAATGTGTCAATGTGGTGGGCGGGACTGTTCCAGGTAAAAAAGATGAAAGAGTGACAAGAAATAAGACTGCTGGATTTGAGACTTAAAGACATGCGTTTGCAGGAGACAACATCTCAGCTTTCATGTGAAAGATGAGAGGGAAGAGTAAACGAATAAGGTGAAGTGTAGGAAACCAAACAACGGGCGTTGCTATCTAATCTGGTAACCACACAGCTGTTGTCCTATGGATAAATACAACATATATACCTTTCTTCCTAGTATTTTGCGTGTGTCTTGCCTTGGGATATCAGATATACCACTCATAGCCTTCTTTAGGCCTCAAGTTTCGAAGATATGCACACTTTTCTAGTAAAGCATATTGTTAGTTATCATTATAGACAATCTTCACCCAAGCCCAACCCCTGTGTAAACTGCTCATGGAAATCTTCTTCAGAAGTCTCTTGAGGCTTCACCTTTTGACATGTGCTTCGAGCCCTAACATTACCCAATTGGGATAATTGATAGAGCACGTGATAGCCCCGAGACCGGCAAGCAAGAATGGCGATGATAATGAGAATACATAAAAAAGATAAGTTGACATTTAAGCATTGCAATTGAAGAACAGTTCTGAGTCATTTCTTGGCAAGGTTTTTCGACTTGAATATGACATATGGGATGGTCCAATGGTATGTCTCCAGCATTACGATAGGTTCTCACAGCTCGTAGCTCTCCAGAGGACCATATCTAAAGCAGCGGTATACCTATCAAAGCAATATACGGAAGACCCATAAGGGGTAAGGATAGCCTCGGGAAAAAAGGATTAAGGTTATTCTCGGTGAAGAGCTCGTTGGGGGAAAAAAGACCGAAGGATTTTCGCTCATTTCAACCTCAACCTCAACAGGAGATTCTCACTGGAGCTTATGAGTCACGCCATTTATATAAGAATCCTATCTATCGGGGACTTTTGAGGATTTTGGTGGTTTTTAAGGGTTTTTTAAGGGTTTTTCTCCGCCAAGATCCACCCCTCTTTATTCTTTATCAGATCCGAAAACGGATTCTTCCTTTTCTTCGGGCATCAACGGGCGAACACTGAGGTATGTTCCCTCGGCAAAGATTTTAGCGTCAAACCCGAGATATACATGAATTCCACTAACTCAGAGTCCACAGAATTGGCACAGTTTCTAGCCAGCTTTGATACAGTCAGTTGACTGTTCGCCCGAAAAGAGGCAAAAGAATATCTATACACATATAATCAAAGATGTCTGAACATCAAAATGCCTCTGTCGGTATTGACAAGCACCCTGGCTCCGAGGATATTTCCGAGCAACCAGAGGCGGCTCAAAGCCAAACATCCGCGGACGAAGTCGAAGAGGACCACAGCGTGGCCAATATCGAACGAATCTACAGGTGAATCGCATCTCCACAAAATTTCTAAATCACCGTCAGCAATTCCATGTCAGGATCTAACATCCAATCACAGAAAACTGGACCGTCGCATCATCTCCGCATTCTGGGTCCTCTACTTCCTCTGTTCAGCTATCCGCTCGAACGTAGGCCTAGCACAGACAATGAACACGGATAACGGCCACGATCTCGCAAGTGTGCTCCATATATCCCGGCACCAGATCTCAACGGGTCTTGCCCTCTTTTACGTCTGCTACGTGATCTTCGATCTCCCCTCAAACCTAATCATGACCCGATTAAGCCCCCACGTCTGGATGAGCCGCATCGTGATCAGCGTAGGCCTAATCGGAAGCTGTCTCGCCGCGATGAAGGCAGCATGGAGCTTCTAGTACGCAGTCTTCCATCCTCATCTCTATCCGTATCTGTATCTAACAACCCCAGTCTCCTCCGCCTCCTCCTCGGCATCGTCACAGCAGGCATGTGGCCCGGCATGACATACTATCTAACCCTCTTCTACCCACCATCCCGTATCGGCAAACGCATCGGCCAATACTTCACAGCCTCCCAGGTCTCCGCCGCAGTTGTCGGTCTCGTCTCCGCCGGCTTCCAAAAGATGGACGGCGCCCAAGGCCTCGTCGGCTTCCAATGGATGTTCCTAATCTACGGTGTCGTCACAGTAGCCCTGGGCTTCGCCTTGCTATGGTGGCTACCAGACAGACCCACGCCACCAGGCGAACCCGCGCCGAAACGCTCTTGGTTGATGCGCTGGGTGCCTGCCACCTCGCCCGCGTTGAAGGGAGCCGATGCCGTTGTGCACTATCATGATCTGAAGCGTGTCTATCACTCGTCTGCGTGGACACTGCGGGATCTTCTCGCGGTGTTTCTAGATTGGAGAATGTATCCGTTGTTGGTTATGTATTTTGGTGTTGTGGGTGTTGGTATTGGTGTTCAGTTGTATGCGAACTTGATCATCAAAGCTATTGATCCGACTTTGAGTGATGTTTCTTTGAGTTTATTGACGGCTCCGATTTGGATTGTATGTTTCCCCCCTTTTCTATCTTTTCCTATTCATCTTCCAGCTCTGGTTTCATCCGCTAACCCATACCCACAGATGGATCTAATCGCCATCCTCCTCGTAACACCCCTCTCAGACCGCTTCCATCGCCACCGCGCAATCTTCTTCTCAATCCCCGTCCTCCTCCAAATCCTCGGCCTCCTTCTAACAAGCTACGCCGGCACAGACGCAAACCCCTGGCCCCGCTACGGCGGACTCCTAATCGTTGGATTCGGACTCGGCCCAACAGTCCCGATAACAATGACCTGGACGACGGAGGTATTCCAGCCTCGACACGGCGAGCTGGGGGTAGCTGCTGCGTCGGCTGTTGTCTCCGGACTCGGTAATCTGGGCAGTATCCTTACGACGTATGCTCTGTATTCAGGATGGCAGAGTGACTACGAGGCGCCGGGTCGCCAAAAGTATCGAAAGAGTAACCTTGTCATGATAGGGATTCTGGCGGGAAGTATTCTCTCTGCTGCGCTAATGGAGCTAATGTTGCGATTTGTTGATGGGCGGTATCGGGGGGGATGATGAGGCGGTTGATGGGGCTGCGAGACGGGAGGTGCGTCAGCGTGGGTTGCATGGATTGGGGGCTGGTGTTACACGTTGGTTGAAGCGTGGGAAGTTGATTTCTGCGTAGACTTGTGTGGCTGTGTGCGATGGTAAAAGTATTGCTACATTTTCTCTAATCTTGCTGTTTGTGTTGTTGGGACTTTTTTAGAACCATAGAAGGAATGAATACGATCTATTCTTGAACGTGGCTTTGGGGGAAATATCCTGCTTGGAGGCAAAACTAGTCAAATAGATCAAGTGTTCTAAATCCATGCTACTTGAAAGGTCGCGGTCGGCTATTTGATATTGTCATACACTCCCCCTACAAAGGGGAAGATGCCAGAATGTCATACTAGATTGAGTTCAAGATCCTTGTTTCACGATCTAAGATGCCCAACCTAGATAAGACCAATGACCAGAAGAGTACTTCGAGAAGTACAAGAGCTGAATTGTTGAGCAATGTTGGCCCAAATATGTGATTACTCCAGGAAGTTGAGGGTCAGTGCAAATTGGAACTTGGTATTAATTGTCGATTCTCCAGAGGAATGATATCAAAATGATATCTCTCGATAAACGATGGTGTGGTTTTCCATCCATGAATATTCTATGCTATTGTACGTATCACATTACCCAACAAGGGGTAGTCGAGAGAAACAGAAAAAGAAAAAAAAAAAAGTGCGGCTGGTGCAACGAGGGAGGGCCAGCATGAACGCAATAAGCGGACACTGGTACTGGGAGAAAGAAAGGATAGAACACGAGAAGAAAGACAGGAAGAGGAAGAGAGAAAAGGCAGATCACAGAGCATCTATAGGGGCTCCCTCACGCAGTCAGGCCGCTCTGGTCCGACTCCCAGGTTGACGCCGAGGGTATCGGAGCGCTAAGACCAAATGATTCCTATCCATCTAGAGGCCACCACACATAGTCTCAACGATGATACCAGTGATCTGGTAGGGATCAGCGTTCGATGCGGGGCGACGATCCTCAAAGTAACCCTTGCCGTCCTTAGCGCACTGGCGGGGAATACGGATGGAGCCACCACGGTCGGCAACACCGTAAGAGAACTTGTCGATGTTACCAGTCTCGTGGCGACCGGTGAGACGCTCCTCGTTACCCTCACCGTAGACGGCGATGTGCTCAACGTGGCGGGCCTCGAACTTCTTCATGGTGGCCTCGATAACCTTCATACCACCCTCGGCACGAGTGGCGTTGGTGGAAACGTTGGAGTGAAGACCGGCACCGTTCCACTCACCCTTGATGGGCTTGGGCTCGAAGGAGATGCGGACACCGAACTCCTCAGCGACACGGTGGAGAAGGAAACGGGACATCCAGAGGTGATCACCCACTGAAGAATGGTTAGTATTTGAAATAGACCGATTGAGGGGGTTTATAAAACTTACTATCGATACCGGCGCAGGGGCCGACCTGGTACTCCCACTGGGAAGGCATGACCTCGGCGTTGATGCCGGAGATGTTGATACCAGCGTACAGGCAGGCACGGTAGTGAGCCTCGACGATATCACGGCAGTAGACCTTGCCGGTACCGACACCGCAGTAGTAGGGACCCTGGGCACCGGGGAAACCGCCACGGGGCCAGCCGTAAGGCCAGCCATCAGTACCGAGAAGAGTGTACTCCTGCTCCAGACCGAACCAGAAGCCCTCGCTGGCGTTGGTCTCCATCAGACGGTTGGCTTCGTGACGGTAGTTGAACTTGTTGGGGCTTCCATCGGCATCCCAGGTCTCGCAGAGAACGAGGATGTTGTCACCTTGACGGAAGGGATCGGGGTAGTAAGCGACGGGACGAAGGTAGACATCGGAGTTGTCACCAGGGGCCTGGTTGGTGGAGGAACCGTCAAAGTTCCATTCGGGCAGCTCATCGACACTTGTGACGGGCTTGGACAGAGTCTGTGAACAATTCCGGTTAGTCAAATTGTTCCCAAGGAGCGCTATCTCACGTGACGGCGGGTGGCTGCGTTTCATGATCAATCCAGGATCCCCGTGCACAGGGCTTATCGAGGCCCGAGAGAGGATCCCAGATAAGAACATGCAGCAACCACCGAATCCACAGTGTAGTCCCACAGATAAAAATTTGGAAATCAGAGATGAGTCATACCTTTGTCTTAGAGCGAGTGCCACCGTTGGCATCAATCCAAACGTATTCAGCCTGGACGCGACCACGCTGGTCAAGGTTCATGTACTTCATGAGCTGTTTCCCATGTCAAGTCAGTATATGTCATTCCTCTCTGGCTCTAAGGCCATTGTGGAAATCCAAATCAAAGAATCAAACGCACATTCCCCGTGTTGGAGACGACAGTTGCAGATTCAGACGCCTGTAGAGAGAATTAAGTCAGAACTTTGGTTCCACACAGAAAGAAAAAAAAAAGACTGATGACTCTTACCATAATGAATATGGGTATATGTGTGTTTAGAGAAATTTCAAGCAAGCAATTAAGCAACGACTTTTGGATAGAGGAGTCCCGAAGGATATCAACGTAGAAAAGCAAATAAAATATGGATGAGAAAATCCAAAGGAAGAGAGATGAGTTTTAAAGATGTGGAGGGGCAAGGGAGGGATGATAACCTTTGGAAAAAAAAGAATTTAAATTTAGTCACTGACTTTCTCGTTTGGGATTTTTCTTTTTTTTTTCCTTTTCGGGGGAAAAATCAGGAAGGCGCGGCTCAGCCACTCCCTAAAAGGGTTAAGCGTGGTATTGTAATGGTAAAGCTGGAGCCCAATACAGGGTACCGAGAAAGTACCTCATACATTTTACGCGTAGTCGGCAAATCATCTCCTGAAACCGGTCGTTGGGGGAACAGAAAGGGAAAAAAAAAACCCTCACTCTATTTTTGTAAATCTCTCCTATTATTTTCAATATAACACTTCTAAAATGCCTCAATATCAAAATAGAACATCGACTATGTACTAGATCAAATGGACCTTTTTTTTTTCTTTCATAGCCGAGAGGAACGCGTTAGCCTGTGAGATTGAAGTTTCAACTTTCAACCGGATTCAACGCCACTCTTTTACTAACTTCCACCGGGTGTCATCATCGTCGCATCATCCACACCCTTGGCCGGTCCTCGCCGAGAGATCTGCTCGGATGTCCTGTACTTTGATTTGTTATATTCGAATCTAGATGCGAACTAGCACTATTGTGTACAATGTTGTCCGCTTCCTCTCCGTACTCCGGGCATAGCTCTTCTCCAGGTTTTCACCTCCGCATCAAGGATGTCGACAAAACAGCTCCCGCCACCCGAACCAGTCAGATTTTCATGCTGACTGGCGATAACCCTAACTAGCGCCCAATCAGCGGTCTGGCCTGGTAATATAATTCGATGAATTGCAATAACATGTGCAATCCTCCGTCTCCCGTTGGACCGATAAGATCTATAGGACAAGGTGCTTGACAGGGGATGTTGGATGTAGAGCCGAACATAGCGCATGGCCTTCCCAGATCTGGAATCCTTATCCTGCGGCATTGTCTCCGAGCTATAGCTCCTCCACGTCTTATCCGGCCTCCATGTTGTATCCGGGCTCGTTCACATCTTATCCCAGGCTCCTCCACGTCTTCTCCGGGCTCCGGAGGTCCTCCACATCTTATCCGGGTTATCACGAGATACATATCTTCCCATTCCTATCCGGAGTGGGAAGTTCAATATATGGAAATATTCATCTATAACCCCAAGATAGCCGATACGTTGGTCATGCTTCTTAGCAACCGACGCCAGGACCCCTGGACCGAGCGCATATCAGCTGCAAATCCCGCAAGTGCATGAGGAAGGTAATTCGAGAAATCCAGAAGAACGAAAAAGCAATTTGCATTCTAGATCCATTTTGGCCTTTTACAAGGTAAATTAAAATCTATGATCCGCTTTACGATTTTTATCGCGCGCGCGTCGCGAGAAACCCGTACACTGTACGAAGCACAACGCGAACGGCTGAGGACTCCGTAGTTCCTGAGATGCTCGGAGCTATCACCAAATGACAATAGTGCGATTTCTTATCGCGTGGCATGTCAGCCTGGCTAGAACTTCCATTCTGCTAGGTATCTGTACTTTTTATACGCGCCTTAAGATTTGTAGATGTTCCTGCAGGATAGACAGGTACCCACATGTACTTATCACGCGAGTCGGTCCGGTATAGAGTACATCCGCTATACCTCCGTAATACAAAGGTCCGCACAAACTCCATCAACTGGAGAAGCCAGCCACGCCGCGACTGGGATCGATCAAGTCATAATTGGGCCAGTGGGGTGGACCGTGGCAAAACGTTCTCGAAACCCCCGTCGATTCATCGTGAGACCAATCAAATCCGTTTTTCTAGGACCGCCCCGACACCGGCCATGGATAAGAGAATCAAGGCAGTATTACAGGTCGACAAGGCATTTCACTTATTCATATGTGTGATTTCAATTATGTACTATAGGAGTCACGAGCCCGGTTAATTCCTTGGTGCTTTTTCTTAGGTCAGAGCCCTTAAAGAGGCCGAAGTTTAACGTGGGTGTACAGAAAATATGCATCTCGGGAGATTTAGGTCAGGGATTCTCCAAGTAAAAGTGGCGACCAGATCTCCCCCGTATTTTTTTCTCCGGCAAATGGAAGACTGCCAAAATGTCGGGAGTTTCAGGGAAGGCGAGTGGCTGAGGTTCCGATCTTCAGCCCTGTCTAAGATCATTTCTCCAGGTTTTGGTATAATTTTAGTGCAATATCAAACCCATCTAGCTTAGAGTCATCTATGATTAATAGTATGTATTTCAATCTGAATTGCCTCTGCAGATATATATTAATAGCTTGAGACATCTAGATCCGGGCTTAGTCACCGGCCAAGTCCGGGGGCTGTGCGGTAACGCAGTACTGCCCGGGTGTGTACTCGCATGTGTACGAAAAGTACATTGTGCAAGGAGTACTCTGTATGCACAGTAAAAGAAATGCAGTCTCAAATGGATGTAAATGAGAGATATATTCGTGCATATAGAGAAAAA